GCCTAGACATCATCGCAGGTAATCGGATTCGACAACCCTTTCAGTTTCCCTCTTGCACCATCTAGAGGTTCTTTGGGTGCTATGTACGTCAGCCCTTCCCCCTAGTCAAAGGAGTACACGTTCCTTACCTTCCCCTGAGCAACGCTGACGGCTGCAATAGTTCCCCAAACTGATGCCTGACAGCCTCAGGGTCTCTACCACAAACTTATTACAGCGAAAACGCCTAGGACAGCCTACGCGAATCATACAGGTGCCTACGCCAATCAACAGGTGCCTATTACTACGTCGGCCGCATTTAAGGTATGCCTTGCTTACATGACGTATGGGACCGCCCACCCACTACCGGAAGCGGTACGCCCCAGCCGGGGGCTCTACCGTCTTGGGAACAACCCGCCCCGCCACCTTGTTTGCCAGGATGGCCCGCATCACGCTCCGAGACCAGCCCAGCGCCACCTGCTCGGAAGGAACCGAAACCAGCAGGCGGGGGGCCTGCGTTAGACTGCCAGGCACTAGCACAAAACCGTACCATAAGATAGCAGGTTGCTGGGGTATGTAGCAACACGCCCCTAAGCACGAGATTAAATTAGCGGACAATAGTACTGACAGCGTCGCAGCAGGCAGACAATCGCCTATAGGGCCTCCAGAAGTCCGTAATACCGCGCAATCGTCAGTATCATGGACTCGTGGGTCAGCGGGCCTGGACGATTGGGAAGAGGGTAACGGCTTGCCAACACAAGCAACACAAGGCTTGCTCATGGACGCAGCCCATGAGTTCTGTTGAGTCAGTCGTTTAAAGGCTTAAACTTACCAACTTGAGCTGCGGCAGCACCTCTTGCTCCTTCCGGCGCGACTTGGGCCACTTCCATCACTCTACCTCCATTCCTCACACCCTCCCACTCACCTTGCGTCTCTCCTCGACGCCGCCACGGGCTGTGGCTGCCACCACCTGCGCCGCCACGTCCCCGGGCAGCCCCCCCTCCGCTGCTCCCGCCAGCTCCAGGGGGCACCAGAGCTGCTCGAAGGCCGCACTGCTGACGAGTGCCATGCGGCGAGACCCCTCCGCAGTGGGGTCCGTCAGGATGTCCCGCGCGCGCGGCACACGGGCCGCCTCCCAGGCAGTGAAGGCCTGGTCAATGTTACAAACCGTGCATGCACGTACGGATGTAAGTACCATGCATGCACGTACGGTGGAGCACATACGCCCATAAAGTCGCTGGGCGCGCTCGTCGTCCACCTCTTAGTTTCAACACGCACAGCTCCATGTCGACAAATAACCGCCGGCCTGCACCCGCCCTACCCCCCGCCCCACCTGCTTGCTGAGCCCATGCCTCCTGACGCACGCCCCCAGCTCCGCCGCATCCTCCAGCGCCAGGTTGGCGCCCTGGCCGTCAGGGCGACCCGCGTGCGCCGCGTCACCCAGCAGCACCAGCCCGCCGCGAACCCAGGCGCCCTGGGCATGTGCACGCACGTAAGGGCGCAAAGGGCACACGGGAGGCCGATCCCGAAAGGCAGTGTATTCGGAATGGACGTAACGGCTAGTGAGTTGGGTTTAGGTTGCTGAGATGGGTTCTTTTCCACTTCAATGCGTTGGAAGGTAAGGAAGACAATGTTGACACGCACCGACGGTCTGATTCCTGCCTCACCGGCTGGAAGGTGTCCGCCGCATGCCCGTATATCCCGAACTCCATCACGGCCTCCGGAGGGGTGGCGGCGATGACAGCCCGCAGGTCAGGGGGCAGGTGGGAGCTCACAGCTAACGCGCGCTGAAGCGCTCGGGCGCCATGCTTGCCTGCGACGTCTGCGGGCCGAGGGGCCCCGCAGCACTCAGTGAATAAAGCCGGTGCTTAGGGAACCGTTTTCGAGAGACGTGGTTTGGGGGCAATCTGGGAGCTTCTTCCTTGACAGTGTCTACCAGTGTCCTCAAGATCAATGGCGGCCGCCCAGAAGCCCCAAAGCATATCCTGAAACATTCCTACAAGAAGTAGCATAGCGAAACCGGGCCCAAAGCTGCCCTCCGGCCAGGCGCGCCGCCCTCGACGTACCCGATACGTGCACGCTTTCACGTGCGGCACCTCCCTCCACAGCGGTATGGGCGCCCGCCGCCTCATCCTTGCGAACCAGACCACCCTTCCTCTCCCCCGCTTTCTTCTCCGCCTCCTCGGACAAAGCCGGAATCGGAAAGGCCTCCCCGGCAGCCGTCAGTGCCTCCACAGGCGCATACAGGCCCCATGTGATCAACGGGTCACCAGTCTCGTCCAGCGCAATAGCGTGCAGGTTGAAGCTTCTGCTGGGCGCGGAGGTGAGCGGGTTGTCTCGAGACGTGGGTTGCCAGGAGTGGAAGCTGAGTGCTGCCAAGGGGTCGGACCGGGTGTCCAGCGCAATCGGCAGGGGGACTGCGCTTGCAGCTAGGTCGGCCTGCTGACGTAGGACGTGGGTTGGATTGGGTCAGTTTGAAGGAGGTAGGTGGTAGGGACATGAGGGTATGGCTGCGGACGTTGAATGCGATGCGTTGTTCAGCTAAAGACCACGCTAGCTACCCTCCACGCTACCAGGAACTTAAGGGGCTTTCCTGGCCTCGCCTTCCCCGTTCGCTTGGGTGCCACCAGCACCCGGGGATAGAGCCAAGCAAACCCACGCACCTGACGGATTCGACCGATCCACCTCACCCGGCCACTGAAGGTGGGTGCCTGGCCATCGCCCGCCTGCATGTGTGCGTGCAATTTTAGCCTGCGACCTTAGCCTATTGGTGATATTTCAGTGGGAGATAACTCCTTGTGGAACAAGCTTTGCGACGCCAAGACCCATACAAGAGTTACGAGGCAAGGTAGGAAGACAGCCTACAACTTGTTGAATTGGGCAGACCCATGGGTCGCGTTCACCCGTTATGAGGAGCTCATGTTCGGATGTGTCTTAGCGTGAACAGGTGTTGCAGGCAGAGCTGTGTACGCAAGTGTACGCCGTACGTACCGTACGACGGACTCGGCTGAAGTACCCATCCGCCCCGATGACGTAGCGTGCCCTCGCCCGCACCTCCTTCACCATGCCCCCAACCGTCCGTGACATGTGGATATTGTACCAGCCATCCTCATCCCCTTGCTGCTGCTCTTGCTCCCTCTGCTCCTGCTGGCCATTGCTGTTACGGCCAACGCCGCTGTTAGCGGTGCTATTGTAGAAGTCACCATGGCCGCTGCAGCCAAGAACCTTGCACCCAAACTCCACGGTGCCTGTGGGGATGGAAGCCAAGCAAAGATGGCAGTATTTATGCGGAATAAGAGTGCTGTGCCGTGCCGCATAACTTAGATTTACCGAAATAGAAGGCAAGACAATTGCTGGTTGCAAACTTCCGTGCCGTAAGCCGCAAACCACTTCGTACTGGCGGAACACGACAGCAGGTTTGGGGTAGGTCACATGGGAGGCATGACAATATGAGCTGCAGGTGTTTAGCGTCGCACTACAAGCTACGCGCTTACCCTACCTCCTCACGTGCATCGACGAAGAACCTCTCCTTTATTTGACATGACTCTTACTGCCGACCTTACCTTCAGGCAGGCTGCGGTACAGCGCCGTACGGAGGGAGTTCCAGGGTACGACGGCCGTCGCCACACAGCCCAGCCGGTCAAACATGGCCAGATGGTCAAAGCCGTTCATCCAGGGCATGCGTTCGCCGGTTGTATCGCTGTAGGTGTAGAAGGCATTCAGGAAGACCGCTTCGCGCAGGAGTCTGCAGGGCGTCATTAGATAGGAGGATGCATATTTTCATGTATGCTTGGAATTCCAGCCTGGAACCCCTTATGAACGACAATCTTGCCTGCTGACATCCTTAGCGGCGCACTTGCGGACTAGTACTTCGCATGCCTCAGCAGGAGGCATGTCAGGCAAACAGAGGTGCAGCGATTGTCTATATGCGCCTTACTTGGGATAAACACGGGCACGCAAGCATGTAGCGAGGCCAGTTACGTCTTCAAGTTAAGCAAGGCAACTCCAGCCATGCATGTGCAGCTCAAACCGCATGCGCAGTGCAAGCATACAAAGAGAAACTCAAGTTGCAACCTACCCATGCAGTAGGGCCGGATCAAGGGCTTCCAGCGCCTTGATACCGTTCGAGGCAATGGCCACGCCCGCCCCCTGCACTGTGTATGCTGGGCTAGCTTCAAACACCTGCAGGTATCAAGGCAGCGGCGCAGCGCTTTCAGAACAGCTGTTATAGTAAAGCAGTCGCAGCAGCCACAGGGGGCATGCACCGACCAAAGCAGCATGCCATGGTAATGAGCGGCTCAGCAACGGCTGGAAACCGTTGGCTCGCTTCGCCGCTGAAACTGCCAAAGGTACTGCTTAGCAGAACTCAGTTGGGGGCTTCGTATAAAAGACATGAACATCACGCCTCATTCCCTGACGTGCATGCACTTGCGATATCGTGATGAGTCAGTTCGGTTCTTACCTTCAACCGCAAGGCAGGCTGCACTCGCAATAATGCGAGTGCCGTGGCCAGCCCGGCAGGTCCGCCGCCCACTATCGCGACGTCCAGATCGAACCGCTCGAGTTCAAAGCAGGCGCTGTCCATTGAGCTTAGAACAGCCAGGCCGTGACCTGTACTATCCGCGCAGTGCGCCGTGGCGCAGCGGTTCGACGCGTCAGTGGCGAGGGTTCTAACGCCGCCGGGTTGTCAGACGGCAAGCTGCAATTAAGATAGCGTTTTCCTTGTAAAAGAGCAAGGGAAGTAAACGCTAGTGTACGTCTAGTAGGATGCGATAAGAGGATGCGACACGAAGGTCGTGTCGCTCGTGCGTCGTTGATAACGGTTGGATAGGCAACAAGTGCATAGCTTGGTTGGCTGTTACATGGTCAACATTCAGGCATCGAATGTCGTTTGGCGGGCCCAACTCATCCAAACTCTCACCCAAGAGGCCAAGACCCAGCTTCCAACTGTTTGGTCACACTCCGAGACCACCTAGATCCCAAGCAATCTTGGCCGCGGTGCCACAGATTATCAATTCGTCTTCGCTCATCTGAAGTGCTTCGTATTTATGTACAAGATGGAGCGCACTTGCAGTAGTTCAGTCAGGCCTGCGTATTCGAAGCTGCCAAGGTGCGTTGTTGTTATGCTTCTAAGTGTTTTCCACATAATAACGTCGCATACTAATATTACTTTTGCAGATTAAAGGGATGGCAGCCGTTTCAGCCTATCGTGCGACCGCTGCCTAGGACCATCGCGACTTCTTCTCCCGTGGTTACTGTCACAGAACCATCAACAGGTTGGTAAAGATCAACGGTCTTTTCTAGGTGATTGGCGACGGCAGTGTCTGGGCCCTGTTGGATGCCAATATGCTTGCATCATGGATAGGAATTTCAATAAGATGTTGCAGCCACCAAAACCGAACCTCGTTTACACGCCTTCCGACTAGGTCCCTGCAACCATCAGACGGATGTTGGAAGTCCGCCAGTCAGCTCTTCAGCGGCCCCCGCTACCGTGCCCGCCCCAGCTGCTGAGCCAGCTGGCCAGCCCTTCCCCTGGTTTTCGCACTGGTACCCTGTTGCCGTGCTGTCTGACCTGGACCCCCGGCGACCGCACGCGACCCACCTGCTGGGCATCCCGCTGGCGCTGTGGCGGGACGCGCAGGGGCAGTGGCGCGCGGTGGAGGACCGCTGCCCGCACCGCCTGGCCCCGCTGTCGGAGGGGCGCGTGGAGGCGGACGGCTCGCTACAGTGCGCCTACCACGGCTGGCAGTTCGACGGGCGCGGAGCCTGCACGCACATCCCGCAGCTGCGAGGGGACGAGCGGGCGCAGGGAGTGGCGTGCGCCAGCCGCCGAGCCTGCGTGCGCGCCTTCCCCTGCCAGCAGCTGCATGGGCTGCTGTGGGTGCTGCCGGACGCGTCGGAGCAGGGGTGGAGCAAGGTGCGGTGGCTTGGCGTTGTGAGGAAGAGAACGGGGGTCATGAGGGCTGCCGTACCACGGAGAGCGAGCGTCTACTCCTTAAAACTGCAGCCGTCCCCGCCATGCAGGCTGCTCAAGAGCCGGTCCCCAGCACTGCGATCAAAGAGCTCATGGGAGGGCCGGAGGCGGAGGGCTGGCGGCAGACCACCCAGTGGTATGCTCGGGACGTGCCCAACCGGTGAGTTTTCCGGGTGCTCATAGCGTATCCGTGACGATACGAGCGGTTGCCCTCCAGTCGATAAGTGTTGGGGTTTGGAGGCGACCAGCAGTGGATTTACAGACTAGCGGCCGGCTACCGGCACAATCACAGGTTGACATGCATGACCTACTGAGGCCTCAATCGCGTCTTGGAGCGCCTTCTTGTCGCGGATGAGGTTTCCGCGCATTGTGCGGTTGCGTGCAACCAACTATCAGTAACCAACCCTGCTGCAGGTTCGACACGTTAGTCGAGAACCTCATCGACCCCTCCCACGTTCCCTTTGCCCACCACGGCGTCCAGGTACGGCAACTGCGAGCTGCCAACCGTCACTGTGCTGCGGATACCGTTGCTGCTCCTGCTTGTGATGCCGTTGCTGATCCTTCTGGTGATGCGTTCAATGCGATTCAAACGCCCCTGAATCTGTTCCACTCCTGTTACACACGGAATGCCGCGCCCGCTCTTCTCCTGCCTTCCTCCTAGGGCCGTCGGGAGTCCGAGAAGGGAACCGTCACAAAGCTGTTTGAGGAGCTAACCGCCGGGGGCTTTAGCTTCGATTATGACCCCAAGAACCCTAGGTTCCCGCCATCTCGCCCGATGTTCCGTGCGCCTACATACATCCGGTAAGGGGCATGCAGGGCAAAGGTGACGAGGTTGCTTGGCCATGCACGGTTGGTCCTAGCAAGGAAGTTCATTGCCAGAGACGTAGGATCTATCCACAGTTGCGTGCTGCACCCAGCACCCCAACTGCATGCTTGCACTTGCGGTCACAACACCTCTATCGGCTACCTTTAAGCTCTAGAGTCAGCCATGCGGACGCAGCCACCATCATTTCCCATCCCTGCTGTCTGCTGCAGGTACGGAAGCAAGTTCCGCACGTTAAACGCGTACGGCGTACCGACCCGCCCCGGCTGGTCCCGCGTGTACGCGACCTTTACAAAGGTGTGTCGGAAAATGGATTCAGCGCTTCTCCAATCAATTGCATCCGTGGGAGTCCAGGGAATTCCATACTTCTAGTGTCATGGGACGTTGCTTGGACGAGACAGTCGCGGTCGGATTCCCAGCAGTCTCGTGGGTCATTCGCCAAGCTTCGCTTCGCTCCGCGTCTGCTGCGCTGTCCCTGCACATCGGCACTCCAAGCAGCACCGGTACCTTGACTGGCTGTGCCCACGTCCCCATGTCCCATGCATGATAGCACCCCTGCCTCTCCCCCGTGCCGACCATGCAGGACACCCGGTCGAACCTCCCGCTGCCCTGGTTCATCAACGCCATCTACAGCTTCATTGAGTCCACCCCCTGGTTGGGTAGGTGTGCCCAGCTCGTGCCTGCGAGCGAGGCTGTGTATGCGCCGAGCCTGGAGAGATGTTGGTAATCTGCATTTATCGCAAAGAACTCGGCTTCCAACATCCTCTTCCAAGCTTTGGCTGTGCTCTCAGCGGAAAGCATCCGGGGAAGGGGGTTGCCGTGCCACAAGCAGCCGCTTAACCCCATCGAGCCGCATCTAACTCTTAACCATGTTAGTCACGCATGCATCTCTTCCATGACGCGTGCGACCCATGTGTTGCTTGCTGCCACAGACACGCGCATGTAGCCACAGCCACGGTATCTACAACGAAGCGCTGACCTGTGTTTCCCTCATCCCCGGCATGCAAAAGCTTGGGCACATGATGCACCTTACCTGCTACCCCCCTTCCCTCTACCATGCGCTGCTGCGCTGCAGAGCACCTGTTCCAGCGGCACCTTGTGCTGGAGGGCGACGCCTACATGCTGCATGTGCAGGTGGGTGCGGTAGCCCGCTGAACGGGTAGATAGGCACCAGTACCGGCACTGTTGCGTCCTGGTACCGCCGCCTGACGACACTGTGGCCTGTGGCGGTCTGACACCGGAACGCCCACTGTGAACGCACGTATGCATTTTCTAGCAGTGCGGTCTTGCTTTAGGTTGTCTGATCAGGTTGCATTGCAAGGCTTCCGTTATGGAAGGGAGGAATGAAGCCATTTGTCACCGGCTGTTCCGTTCTCGTCGTATCACAGGAGCGGCTGCTGCTTCAGGAGAAGGGCAACTGGAAGGACAGCTTCTACATGCCGGCGCCCGCGGATTCCTCGGTGATTGCCATGCGCAGGTGCGTGCGTGTGGGGATTTGGCAGTGGAGTGGCATAGCGTGGGAGTAGTATAGAAGCTGTCAAGTTGCATGGACTGGGCAATCTCCAATACGTGTGTTTCCACATTGTGTTTTGAGCGCTGACGGCATGTGAAAACGTGCATGCAATGGCAGCCGTGCTCCTTCATGTCGCCGTCCTTGCCGCCTTTTTGTTGTCATATGCTTTCTTCTGCTTTGTGCCCGCCTTGGGGTCGGGGAGAGGACCCCCGTGACGGCAAAAGCCTTCAGAGGCAGGCCTCTGTGCACGTTCCCTAACTCGTCCCCTCTCCCCTGGCAAACAACCCCTCGCAGGTGGCTGGACGAGTTCGGCGGCCGCGTGCCCACGTGCGAGCCGGACACCCCCATGCCACCGCAGATGAGCAAGCGGCAGGTGCTGGACCGCTACTCGCAACACACGCAGCACTGCAGCCACTGCAAGAAGGCCCTGCGCAACATCGAGCTCGCCACCCTGTTCGCCGGCTGCTGCGGCGCGCTGGCGGCGGTGTGGCTGGTGGCCCGCTGCGTGGCCGGCCTGCCGCTGCTGGCGCCCGCCTCGGGGCTGGGGCTGCTGGTGGCGGCGGGGTGCGTGGGGGCGGTGGCGGCGCTGCGGGCGCTGCGGCAGCACTTCTTCTACGTAGACTATGTGCACGCGGAGAAGAAGTAAGAAGGGAGCTCGGGAGGGGAGCATCGTAGTATTTTTGTGAGAGGAGAGAGGACAGAGAACGTGAGAGACCCCGCGTCGGCTTCATCATTTTGAGACTGCATTCTCTATGATCAGGGTCATGGTATATAATCTCGGCGCTCGAGAGTTCTTGGCGGCGGCCAAGTTGGCGCTAGGGTTTACAATCCAATCCTAGTTGTGAAGTGTGCATTTGCCAGCTCTGTCCCCCGGTGGTACTGGGTGGGCTGCTGAGTGGAGGGCGTGGTGGGCGTGATGAACAACTGCTTATCATCATTGCTGCACTGCTGCAGTTGGTGCAGTTGGTGCTCAATGCTTTGCTGGTGTCATGTATGTAAGGTTGCTATGTGCGTTGGTGCCAGCAGGACGAGATCCCGCATATTTGGAATGGTGTGGACCCAAGGCAGGATCCGTTGTACGTGATCACGCACAGGGGTCCGTCGCAAGCAAGGCCATAGTAAGCTTTCTTAGGTAGGATTGAGATAGGTCTGCTATGCAGCGGTTGAGGTTGTATCGGTATGTTGTTCGCCCCAACCCAATGCCGTAATTTCTTTACCTGGATGGTGGGCAGCAGTAAGCTAGTAAGCAGCACGGGCTACCTCAATGACTGTCCCAGATCCGGTGCCTCATTATTGCAATCCCTATACCGTTCCTCACACCCTCCCTTCAATACTTAAATAACCGTACTACATACACTGGAGCCCATGTCTTGCATGCATGTCATCAAGGATGACCTGTGGGGCTGCTGATACGTTATTGTAACAGCCAAGTGCTCCAGAACGACATAGATGCTGGCCAAAGCGCAATAACAAAACGGAAGTTTGGAATCTGATACAAGTGGGAGGGCAACAGTCACCATCAGTCGACCCATGGGTCGTGATGCCCACCCCTTCATTCGGCGTTACCGCTGAACCCATATTCGGTCCTATTCTGTGGGATTGGGTATTCCTCACACATGCTAATCCTCCTCGCCAAGCACACCCTATCGTGTCCAGGCAGTCCTCTCGTAACTCCCATCATGTCGTGAGGGGCACGTCTTCCAACGTCCCGGTGAGAATCCCTCTCTCCTCCAGCTGTGCTGCATCCCGGCTACCAACCGCTAAAACAAGTAGTCAGAAACGCCACATGCCTATCAAAGCTCATGAACCAAGGCAGTCTGCAATCATGACATGACGCCCTAATCCTAGTCCCCAACAATATATGCGTCAGGTTGGAGTATAGTGCTCAATACCGTGCCACGGGCCACGCAGCTTCAATAACATAGGCACATACAGTGTAAAGAAATACATGTGCAGCTCAATACATTATACGCTTGTACCGATGCCTCACTAGCAACCCCCCCCCTCTAGAAGTCGCAAAGTGAACTTAGGTGCCCAGCTAACGTGCCCCTCTGGGCCTTGGAAATAAATCAGCAGCCCAAAGCGGCGCCACCGCTCTCCATGTGTGCTACGAAAACTGGCCGCGGGTCGGAACGTCCTGTGATTGCCGGAAGATGAAGTCCTACAGCACCATGTGTGCGTATGGGGTATGCACATAATAAGGATGACATAATCTGCTCATGCGCGCGATGCCGTGTCCATAATGCAAATTTACAACCTCGACGCAAATATAGACGTACCATGTGCTGTGAACCCGATCAACCCACGTTCCTTACTGTACAGTTTCCTGCTTCCTCCGCCTGCTGCTGCCCTATCTACTTGTCAGCATACACGAAGTCTACGTAGAAGAAGTGCTGCCGCAGCGCCCGCAGCGCCGCCACCGCCCCCACGCACCCCGCCGCCGCCAGCAGCCCCAGCCCCGAGGCGGGCGCCAGCAGCGGCAGGCCGGCCACGCAGCGGGCCACCAACCACACCGCAGCCAGCGCACCGCAGCAGCCGGCGACCAGGGTGGCGAGCTCAACGTTGCGCAGGGCCTTCTTGCAGTGGCTGCAGTGCTGCGTGTGTTGCGAGTAGCGGTCCAGCACCTGCCGCTTGCTCATCTGCGGTGGCATGGGGGTGTCCGGCTCGCACGTGGGCACGCGGCCGCCGAACTCGTCCAGCCACCTGCGAGGGGTTGGGGTGCGAGTACGTAGATGGAGAGAATGCGTTGGCAAGGAACGGGAAAGTGAAGTCATAGCCCGGGCTACGAGGTTTCACAGCGGTTCCCGTCACACCCACCTGCGAATGGCGACTACGGATCCATCTGCGGGTGCGGGCATGAAGTAACCCGCCTTCCAGTTGCCCTTGTGCAGCAGGTTGCGCTCCTGCACGCAGGTAGGTAGGTGAGCAGCAAAGGACGCAGCCATATTACCAAGCAGCTAAGATAGCACACAAGAATGCAGGCAACCTACAGTGAGTATTGAAACGTGCGTCATCGGGTTTTGATCCCCCGAGTTTGCAACAAGCTCGTTGGTCAGACGCCGTTCTTTGTTAACGAGGCCTTACTCCCTGCCCCTCACCCACGCCCGCGTGCACCGACTGTACTGTGTTGCTGGTAAACCCATGTTCCGCCTTTGCAAAGGCCGCTGCACTAGCCCAATGCACTGGTGCTGGGTAGCCCATTAGGTAGGGCGGTAGGTGCTGCGCTTTCATCATAACCGACCCATGGGTCATACCTGGACGTGAAGGACGTAGTTGTCGCCATCAAAGACGGTGTGCCGCAGAAATAGGTGGTCTGTGGGCAAGTGGGTCCCACTAGGTCATGTCAAGAGTTTTGGATCACCAGCTTACATCTATTGACGGGCGGCTGTAGCAGCGCTAACCGGCAACTCGGCATACATGCATGCCCCTTCCTGGACAGCAAGGATGATGCCTTACCTAGCCAGGGAACGGACTTGATGAAATCATGGACGGCCGTGACATACCAGGGCATTGGGTTGGGCGCTCGGGTGTCCTGGATAGGCAGTCGGCACAAGTGTACTTTATCAGCGTTACTTTTTACGAACTGGGCATGGGCATGCGGCATGGGATGCTAATGCAAGTATGCAATGCAATTCCAATTAGAAGGAGCTGCGCACCAACAAGAAACAAAGCCGTGGAACGGCGCAGTGACATATTGCAAGGTTGCAGAATGCAGATAATGTGGGGAGAAGGTGCTACACAGGATGCCCAAAGAGCAAAGAACCGTTACAACAAGTGAAGGATGCAGGTTGCAGGACGCACAGGGCCCACCTACCGCCGTCATGGTCCCATACAGGGTACTCCAGCCCGGCCGAGTGGGCACGGCGTAGATGTTGAGGGTGCGGAACCCCCTCGAATACCTGAGCACACACACGTGCACAGGCGCGAGAACGTACGAAGTGAAATACCGGTAAGCATGCGCGCTCCATGCCAAGCGTAAACTGGCGCAAAGCATCGCCGCCCTAAAGGCAGGGTAGCTGCTGGATGTCATGCACAGCTCACCCACTTTTTTATTTTCGTTGGCTCCTTCAAAGGGGAGCATGTCATGTCTAGGCAGTCTAGCGATCTTCTTCCATACAGGGAGGCTCACCGGAGGAAGTTCGGGGCCTGGAAGGATGAGACGAAGGTAGGTGCGTTCGGGATCTTGAGGTCGTAGTCAAAGGAAAAGCCATCCATACCGAGCTCCCCACGCAGCTTGGTGACGGTGCCCTTCTCCGCAGCCCGATTGCCCTGCGTGCGCAGAGGACAAACGTAAGCAGGGGGGTTTCTTAGGAGCTGGGATGCGTAAACACATATCGCTTAAGCTGGGGTGCGTAAGTTGGGGGATGGAGGCACTGGCGGTGCAATTGCACACTGGTAGACGGCTTGTGCAAACATAGAAGCCCTGCTTCTGGCCCCATGCGCCTGGGCCTTCCTTCCTTATTGCTGCTCGCTACCTCCCAGCGTTACAGCGGAACCCCACAACAAGTCCCATTGTCCGGTCGCCACCGGGAACCACTCACGAACCCCCATTTTTCTAATTTGAATAAGTCGCCGACAGTAACCAAGCAAGGTTGCACTTCCTAGCCCGCGGGTGCATCCCCGGCAGAAGGCCGCCGTGTGCACCCCGGCAACACAAACCGTGCCACCCAACCTGTCGCCACTAGTGGGACCTGCCGCCGGCCCTACGCGGCGCCCGGCGCGGCCCGAGGGGTGGTTGGGTGGCAACGCCAAACTAAACGCTGAACTCAGCCGAACCCTAGACCTCAGGTGATGCGCCACCGGCCCTGAGCGGCGCCCGGTGGTGCCTGCAGGCTGAGGAACAAGTATAACCGAGCCACACAAGGCGAGCCCAAACCCATAGTGCCAGGAAAAAACAGCCGTCCCTATACGGCGCCCGGCGCTGGCTACACGGGTGGGTGGGTGGGTTCATGGGGCCCGTCCTGGCAGAAGGACGGCACCTCTTGCCTGTGAAGTGGCACTGTGGCAAGTTAAGAAACCAGGCGCAGCCTCTGCGAGAAAGCCACCGACCACTGAAACGTACGACATCGCTTACACGCTGATCGGTAGCTTGCGCAATAAGTGAATTTTTTACTTCGTGATAAGTTGACACTTCTCCCACCTGGACGCCGTGGTGCGCGAAGGACACGTGGGAGGGGTCGATGACGTTCTCCAGCAGCGTGTCGTACCTGCAGGCACGATTGCGACAGGCGGAGTTAAGGTCGTCGTAGGGTTGTAGCAAGTTGGTGATCGGGTGAGGAGATATGGCATGCAAAAGTGCTCGGGTGAGGGCATTGGATGGAGGCAGGGTAGGTAGCCGTGTGTCTGTCCGCAACTCTTGAAGGCGCTAGTCCAACTTGCAACACCAAACCAGAGCTCAAGAACGCACCGCATGGGGACCTCCCGCATGAACCACGAGTCCACTTGTCGCCATCCCTCCGCCTCCGGGCCCCCCAGCAGTTCCTTGATGGCGGTGGCGGGAACCGGCTCCTGTGCAGCCTGCATATGCATGTGTTATATGGGGTCCGCATGTTGTTAATGGACATACATAGCTGGCACCTACATGTCTCTTCATGCAATACAGTGGCGTGTCAAACTCCAAGCTACTGTAGTGTCAAGTGCCCCTGCTGCACACTTTGGGCTGCCGTACCATCTCACCTTGCTCCACCCCTGCTCCGACGCGTCCGGCAGCACCCACAGCAGCCCATGCAGCTGCTGGCAGGGGAAGGCGCGCGCGCAGGCTCGGCGGCTGGCGCACGCCACCCCCTGCGCCCGCTCGTCTCCTCGCAGCTGCGGGATGTGCGTGCAGGCTCCGCGACCGTCGAACTGCCAGCCGTGGTAGGCGCACTGTAGCGAGCCGTCCGCCTCCACGCGCCCCTCCGACAGCGGGGCCAGGCGGTGCGGGCAGCGGTCCTCCACCGCGCGCCACTGCCCCTGCGCGTCCCGCCACAGCGCCAGCGGGATGCCCAGCAGGTGGGTCGCGTGCGGGCGCCGGGGGTCCAGGTCTGACAGCACGGCAACAGGGTACCAGTGCGAAAACCAGGGGAAGGACTGGCCAGCTGGCTCAGCAGCTGGGGCGGGCACGGTAGCGGGGGCTGCTGAAGAGGGGGAGCTAGGAGGGGCAGGCACTTGGGCAGATTGCCCTTGGACAGATGCATCTGCACGGCGTCGGCAAAGGAGGGCAAACCGTTAGCTGGGCTGCTAGAGTTGTTAGCGCGGCCGCGAATGAGGAAGGTGCCATCAGCTGACGCAATATGGAAGCAGCCACCGTGCAACTGACAATGGTCAGCTTTAGGCACTAGTGAATGGTTGCAACACCCGGAAAATGGTGTTAAAGACTGTTACAGATGCGAATCCTACCTTGCTGCACAACTGTGTCGGTGGATGTCGTTTTCAGCGGTGCGAGTCGCGGCGCGGTGCGAGTCAACGGCAAACCACGGCGTGTCCGACTGCGAATTGACAGGCGGGTCATTGCACGGGCGTTACGGGACTCAGTAGTTCGCTGGCTTAACAATAACAGCACGTAAGCCCTTATCGCACCATGTCAGCAACGAGGAGGTCGGTAGTCCTTTCGGAGCCGCACGCTGGAGAGCGGGCGCACGAGCGGATGGCTTCATTTCTGTAGGCAAGGAAATGAAACGCAGACACGGTATTTCTCCTTCCTTCCTGCTGGCGTGTGGGTGCCGATGTCGGTGTATCGGAAAGCAATTGAAGGTACTGAGGAGCTGCGTCAAGGTACGGATGTCTGCATCGGACGACTGCGAGACGTACAGCGGAGCCTCAACATGGCGTTCAAGTGACGCAACGGTCTGGGATTGCTCGGTCGACCCTCTAAGGTTTGTCTATCATCTCAAAGGCCCCTGCGTGTTCTGTCGACTGAAGTGCAATCGGCCGGCGTGCGTGTAATGATTTAAAACCAACGCAACTATGGCACATCACATGACCCGTGGGTCGGCCCGTCTTTGCAATCCTATCCATAATCCAAATCAACCCTCAAACAGTCCCAGAGATCTGGTTAGCGGATAGTTGCTCATCTGCGGTGGCATGGGGGTGTCCGGCTCGCACGTGGGCACGCGGCCGCCGAACTCGTCCAGCCACCTGCAAACAGACAATAACGCCATGTCGTACGACCGGCTCCCACATCTGGTGTTTGTGTGCGGCAGCGATCATGGTTGCAGTACAGGCGCCTCCATCCCAATTGCCCTTGTGCAACTGCTCCTGTCATACTGAAGGAGGCTGATACCAGCTAACGGAAGGTTTGTGTGGCTTTGGGCCCAAGGTCTGGTCCAGGTTATAGGCACTGACTAAATTGCTACGGTTCCCATGCGTTTTAATAACGTGCTCCATTTCCCATGCACTAAACGCAACAAATGGTGCGTTGCAAGCTGCAATGCATACTGAAAACAGTCCATTGAGTGTGAGATCGGCACAGTTGCCCTTATGGCAAGCCCATTGCGCCAGACGTAACCCCGCAATATGCTGTTTACACTGCCCACAACTACCGTACTACAACTCCATACACGTCGGAGTAAAAGAGAATACCAACTACGTTGGCTACATCTGAGATGAGGGCAGAGGGTAGTTTTGCCAACGGAACGGTCAGCTGTCGTCGCTACCCCTGTTGCCTGCAGAAACAAAAGCCATACTGTGCGTCGACCACGCAAAGTCCCAATAACATGTACGCATCGCAATAGCGCTATTGAGTGTGGCATAGGGCTATGCCACACTCCTGGCTTCAACGCAGCATGTGCAGAAAGTGGGAGCATTCTCCTCGGCAAAGGCACCCATGAAAGGCCTGCTTTAAACACCGTCACATACCCATACTCCACACTACCACACTCCTCTCCTCATCGTTTACATAGCCCACCTTACCCCACATTCACTTGCTGCTACCAAAAAGTTACCAAGTACCTTGTATTGTCTACTTCTCTCACCCTGCATGCGGCTGCACACCATATACCGTCCGATACATGCCACAATTCTTACGCCCTCCTGCTGCTGCAGCTGTACACACACCGTTACTGCACAGCTCACAATCACACCCCGCACACCAGTAAGGATATAATGTTCCCCTCTCCTCACACCAAACACATCCCACGCAGCACAAGGACGTCATCTAGAGTCCATCCGGGGCACGAAGGGTCGTACTCTGCAGCTGCGCGGTTGCTGCTGCCGCCAGGTTAGCTGCTGCGGCCATGGATGGCGACCGGTCAATGCTCGCATCGGCGCCAAACACTGGGTTTCCAAAACTGGACATGCCGCCGGGTAGCGGCACCTGCGGAAGCGACAAAGTGCCGCCGCTGCCGCCCACTGCGGCGCCGCCGTCGCCCGCCGCCGCTAGGAACCCGGAAGCATGCGTTGAACGCGCGGCGGCGGCGGCGGACGCCGCCGCTGCCGCTGTGAATGCATTGGCGTTACTGCTGCCACCGCCGCCACTGCTGCCGCCACCACCGCTGCTGCCTCCACCTGTGGCTCCGTTGGCGCCCTGGTGCATCTCATGAGGGACCTCCTCTAGTGCCGCCACGGCGGCTCGAAGTACGGCGACGGCCTCCTTGGCTGCCGTACGGCGAGCCACGACGTCGTCCGCCTCGGTGAGCAGCCCGTCTAGTAGGTCGTCCCTGCGTCCGGTGGTATCAACATGCAGATACGTAGGAAGTTAGAATAGACACAATAGACAGCACGAATTTCCATCAAGTGTGGTCCAAGTGACACGCATGCACGGCGCACACATGATATGCGACAATCCAGTACGTTCCTACTCACGGCCAGTCTTCCCAACACAGGGCACCCACATGCCACCCCGGGCAGTGTCCACACCCACATGCCCGCACCTGTACAGCGCCTTGATGAGGTGTTGCTGCAGGCCCCTCTTCGTGTAGTGCACCATGAAGTGCATGATGGCCTTGGGCACCAGGTCCGACAGGTTCTTCCGCGAGATGGCAAAGTACGAATCCACCAGCCGCCGCACCACATCCACCTCGGCAGCCTCCGACTCCGTTAGGCGGGCGCGGCCGGGGACGCCAGCGCCATGCTGTTGGGGTGTACGCGCGGGCGGGAGGGGTGTTAGGGTTTTACGAGGAGAGGGTGCGAGAGGCGCATGGGAGCCACGGACCACCCATGCCCCAGCCATCACTAGGGGTTATCACCGCCCTGCCTTGAGCCCTTGCTCTCACTTGTTTGCCACGTCATTCATCGGCCTTTGGATGAACACCACCAACACCCGGTTATCATAACCATGGTCAACATCACCATCAAGTGCCCCGCCTCACCTGTCGTGGTAGGAGAGCCACGCTGCCTGTGGCAGTTGCCGTCGTCGCCGACATGCCCTCATGGCCTCCCGAAGGCCCGTTGCTGCTTTGGCCGCCCACTCCGTCGTTGCGCAGCCAGCTGAACCAGCTGGAGGTCATGCCGCCGTTACCTGCAGCGCCGCCAGCGCCGCCGCTGCCGCCGTGCGCGACCGCTGAGAGGTCGGGTTCGCTCTCGCTGTGGAGACGCCGGCCGCTGGGGGGAAGCAGCACGTCTTCTAGGGCGGCGTTGGAGTCCGGGAGGCCCTGCAAAGGCGACATGAGTTGGTACGACAGAAAGCAGGTATTTTGCATGACGTACAGATGGCAACGTGGCTGGGCCATGGCAAGGTACTGCGGATGGGCAGTTAGTTTCCACGTAAGGTGTAAGGAGGCTACGAGCATCCGACAAGTACCGTAATGACAACGCACAGCGCTCTGCTAGTTACCTTGAGGCCAACCGCAGGTGACGCCAGGCGGGCGCCGTTGTCCAGCTGTCCATGCGGCCGGCGCGGCAGGGCACCTGACACTCCGCCGGTCGCGGTGCTTGCGGGCGCACCGGAGCCCTCACCCGCCTCCTTGCCGCGCTGCGTGGTGGCGGCGGCGTGACGCGCGGCGCGGTCCTGAGGGGGGTGCGGGGCCATGCAGGGAACGGTCTCATGACACGGTGAAGCCTGTAGGTATGCGGACGGTTCAGAAGCAAGGAATATTCCGCAGCTGTTCATGATCCCTCCTGGGAGACATCATCGCGTCCGGCCCCTCCCCCTCCAGTCTCATGGTGAAGCCTCGTCACACAGCTCGTTAGTTTCCTGCTTTCACCCCTCCCCCACAGTTTCCCCACCTGCATGACTGCCCGCACGGCCCCGCGCCCCCCCACAAAGTCCGGGTGGTCGCAGTTGATGTAGTCGCACTCGCACTCCACCAGCGAGCGAATCATGGTCTCCGCGGGCACAGCGCCCGAGCGGATAAAGTCCACCACCGCCTGGGCCAGGTGGCGCTGCAGAGCGGGGAACCTGAGGGGAAGGAGGGAAGAGAGGAGGGAGGGGTGAGAGTGCACTCTCTTGGATGGCGGTAATGGGAAGGACGGTCTGAAGAACAAACCAGCAGCAGGAGGAGCCATGCTCCCCAACGACGGACGCTCGCCACTGCCTTCCCTACACGCGCCTGCCACCATGACAGCAAAAAGCATGCCAGCCCCGGCCGTCCGAGCCGCCCCTTCTCCCCCTCCTCGCTTCCCCTCCTCCAGCTCAGTTTATCTAATCCCCTCCTCCCCCTCACCTGGCCGCCTCCGGCGGACACGCCTGCTCCGCTATGCGCACCAGCTCCTCGTGCACCCGCTCCTTGCACGACAGCGCGGGGGACATCAGCTGCAGCACCGCACGCCGGGCGAGCAGCTCAAAGGGCTCCTGGGGGGGAGGGATGGTGAGGGGGTGGGGGGTGGGTGGGTTGTGACGAGAGGATGGCAGCAGGGAAACGTCCCGGTCTTGTTCCTGCGTTCCCGCAGTATACCCCATACCCCCCAACCAGACAGAACAACGCCATCCCCCGCTGCCCCCCCCCGCCGCATCCCGTCAGTTGCCTCGTCCGTTTCCTCACTGCTAACCCCCCGCCCCTGCCCCTTACCTGCGGCACCATGAGGCTGCCCGACACGCCCGCTCCGTTCCTGATCACCGTCGACACCTCCGCATCGCTCAGGTCGCGTGCCGGGTCCAGCCGCCCAATGGCGGGCAGAAAGAGCTCCGTGAACACCTCCCGCACGCGCGCGCCGCCGCTGAGCTGCTGCGCCATGTTGAGGTCCAGGTGGCGGCCGTCCAGCATGGCGGCGTATCGCTCCGCGTAGTCGCACAGCAGCTGCAGCAGGTAGGCGCCCCTGGAGGGGGGGTGGGGGAGGGAGGGGAGAAGGAGGGAGGGAGGAGCAGCAGGAGGGGTAGGTTGGAGGTTGTAAAGGGGAAGCAGCAAGGCGCCTCGTGCGGAAAGAGGGCATGGGGGGAGGTAGGAGACTAAGGGTTAGGGCTGAGGACACAGCCTAGGTAGGCGACCGACCCTGGATACTGGAGTAGCACAACAGCCTCTTCTCCTCAGCTCTCCTCCCACTGCACCTCCCTCCCTTCCCCGCCCCGCCCCGCCCGTCCCTCACTTGGCGCTCCTGCTTGCTACCGGCTCCGGGTCCCCCAGCGTCCGCAACTCCGCTAGCCGGGCCTGAAGGAGGGAGGGAGGGAGGGAGGGAGGGAAGGAAGCGGCCGGGCCGGCGGGGTCAAGAGCTGTTTTCTCATCACCAAGCAAGCAGCAAAACGACGCAGCAGCTAGACTGCTAGGCTGGCTTCGGCAACCGCCACCCCCTCGCCCCCTCACCTGCCTGACCCGCCAGGCCGGGGAATACGGCGCTCCTTATTGCCCACAAGCCCACAGAGCCCCGCAGGTCCACCTGCTCCCCTCGCACTACCTTTCACAGCATGGTACTTTCTCCCCTTCCCCCCTCCTCCCCTTGGTTTCCCATGGTTTGGTATGGTCTTTGACCCCCCTCCTTACCTCGAGCGCCTCGTGTATGCGGCGCCGCAGCCCCGGCAGCAGCCCCCTGATGTGCTCCGCCAGGATGGTGTTCAGGCGGCGAGCCAGGGTAGCCACCCCGCAGTGAGCGGCCACGTCGCGGTACTCGGGGCGCGAGGCGAAGAAGGCCTCCTCGCGCCTGGGTGAGAAGCAGGTGTGAGGGGGGGACGCGCGTGTGAGGGGCGAGGCACAGAATGACCCAGATCGAATGACCATGCGGTTGTTGGCAGTGGCCGATGCCAAGGTCCTTGTCACCTAGTGGTGTTTTCTCCCCCACTGTCGCGACCCCCGTCTTGGGGTGACAACCCGCAAACCCACCGCTCCACCCCCCCGAGCTCCCTGGTGGAGTCCCGTCGTATCACATGGTTCGTTTCTTCACTTCTTCAACACTTCACTTCTTCACCAGGAACCCCGCTCCCCGCTCCCTGCGCGTCTGCACACCCACTTGCGGCACTCCGGCATGGACAGCCCCGCGTTGATGTCCGCCTGCGCGCGCAGCACCAGCCCGATGTAGCCCAGCCGCAGCGGGATGTGCGCGTTGCGCAGGATGTGCGCCGCGTCCGTGCCGCGGTCCATAATGTCCAGCTTGGTCAGCACGCCTGGGGGCAGGGGGGAGGCGGGGGAGGCGGGAGGCAGGGGAAAGAGGCAGCGTTCAGCGGAGTGCGGGTGCATGGGACGGGGCCACCCTCGCTACCACTCGACCCACACCCCCACTACAGAACAAATGCTCTCGCTCCCCTCCCCCTGATACCCACCAATGGTGCGCACCCCCTCCGGGTCCGCCACCTGCGCCAGCTGCAGCGCGTCCGAGGTGGCCAGGTCGCTGTTGGCGGGCGACACCGCCAGGATGATGCAGTTGGGCCGCCGGATGTACTCCAGCGCCATCTCGCGGATGCGCGCCTCGATGTCGCCCGGCTGGTCGCCCACGGGGATGCGCGTCAGGCCGGGCAGGTCCACCAGCGTCATGGTGCTGCGGGGGAGGGCGGAGGGGTTACCAAACCGTAGGAAACCAGGGTGCAGGGGAGAGGGGGAGTTACGACGGGGTGGCAAGATGGGGTGGTATGGGGGCCTTAAAGGAAGGTGCACGTAGGGCAAGGGAACCCGCAACCCGGCCCCGTGCCCCCGGGTAAGCCATGCTAGGGTAGCACTAGGATCGTAGCGGGCACAAAAGGGTAGCGACAGGGCTGCTATCAAGTTGCGTCGGCCCAGGTTCGGGGTCCCGTTCCGCCTGCTTGACTGCTACTCACAGCACTCGCGGGCTGAAGATCTTGAGTCGGATGGGTTTGTCGGAGACGTTCTTGTTGGCGCCCACCAGCCGCTCCGTCTCCTGCTGGATCTCCTGCCTGCAACGGGGGGGGGGGGAGGAGAAGACCCATGCATGGGGGGGGGTAGGGAGTGTATACAGGGTTACCAATGTCACGTAAAAGGTTCAGTATTGCATCATCATCAGCTGTCCAAAGCATGGAGGAGGGCAATGCAGGTAACGCCTGATGACGTCATGAGGCCACGCAAGCGCAGCGATCATACAGATAGGGAGGTATGAGGACGCATACGAGACTCATTCAGGGCTTTTCCTCCGGAACGAGGCACATGCAGTGTGCAAGCAAGGCACGTGAGCGGCACAGCCACCGGGACGCACCTGATGCGGTCAAAGTCGTAAAACATCTTGCCGGGCGCATGCAGGAACTCGCCCCACTCGGTGGGCCGGCCGCTGGGGCAGGACGCGGTCTTGACGAGCTGCAGCAGCAGCGGCCGCCGGGTGACGATGTCATTGCCGCGGGGCAGGAAGTCGCGACCGACCTGCAAGGGGAGAGCGAGGGAGAGGGTGTGGAGGAGAGAGGGAGGGGGAAAGCATGGGGCAGAATGAGGAAAGAGGGCGGTGGAGGGTGAAGGAAGACCTGGGAGTGTGGCCCGCCCTTTAGGTCCGTAAGCCAAGTAATTGGTGGAGGCATGAAGTCCATGCTAACAGGGGCGTGGGGTACGGTTGTGTGAGGGGCGTAAAGGGGGGAGGTGCTCGGCAAGGCTGTTGCGCATGTTGCCAGGCCTCATCCAGGTTGATTGTTGGCCACCAAGCTGAACTGCCCCGGTCCAACACCCCAACTCCGGGCGGGGTGCCTGGTGGGCTGGCCCCTTCGGTTGGACTTCCCTCGCTACCCACTCACCAATGCCTCCAAAACACTGCTTTTGCCGCTGCTTTGGCTGCCCACTACGGCAACTTGTGGCAAGTCGAGCTTCAGGTCAACCGTCACCTGAATAAACACGCAGGGCAGGCATATAGAGGCGCATAGTGTTCGTCGGCGCAAATGGAGTACCAAAGAGGAGTCTTCAGGTCGGTGCGAAGAAGAGGAGCCGTCACGCCGATGCTATGCAACCAGAATCAGTCGAGGGCGTTCAACTACACAAGCCTGTCTTGTTTACGAGTACCACAGGGACAGCCGCGCAATTGGCACAACATCAGCTAACACAAAAAATTCACCTGGGCGAAGATGTCCTGTAGCTTGTTGACAATTGGGATAAGGCTATTTCCAAGCGTATCTTCAGAAGACTCTGGCGCCATGGCTGCTCGAGCCCGCAGCTACCGCCCCCCTGCCCCAACAACCGCAATCCGCCAAGCGTAATTTGAATGCTTGCAGCGCAAGAACAACTGATAGGTAGATCTGTGAAATAATATGTGCGATTTGGCAAAAAAAGCTACCTCTGTCTAGCCTGAAAGTAACTTGGCCAACCAGCTGGCAGTCCAAACAGTGATCTAGTGGTTATCTTCTATGCAACCCAAGGACCAAGTTCCATATACGCTGTTACACGCGATGAGAACAAAAAAGAGCAACCACACATGTACGACAGCCGGAGAGCGTTCATCCTCAAAGCAAAGCTACTCGCCGCCCTTGCACACGAAAGGGAAGTAGTATTTTGTTAACAAAGTCTTGACTATCGCAGTCCGATTGAAACTTGTGGGACTGCTAACTACCGTGACGGGAAAATGGCCGCTTACGACGAGGCGGTTAAAGCAAAGGTCTTGAAGCAGGTCGGTCAACTTATAGGCATAGATCGTTTTACTTTAGCCTCTGAAGCTACGGACTCGGGCGCTATTGCCGCCGGCTGCCGCCGCCGAAGTCTGCAGGCCGTGCGCTCTGGTTTTGCGCGAAACTGAGTTGGTATTGCACGGGAATTCGCAGGTGGAGTTCTACTTCTCGGACAGCAACTTACCCAAAGACAAGTTCCTGAAGGAGAAGATTGCGGAGGACCCCGAGGGATGTGAGTACGCTTTACGCCCGCTAAGCACTTTCACGAGTAGTTTGCGACTCGCCGTGTAGAGGGGCATTGGGAATTACTACATGCGTCATCCTAGCGCGCCAGCGCCAGCGGAGACATACTTGGAACTTAGGATAAAACCTAACCGAACCCCTGTCGTCTCGAAAACAATATCACCGCTTACCCCCATCACCAACCTCGGGCATCGCTTTCCTCTTCATGCAGATGTCGCGATCAATGTTATTGCCGCCTTTGGGCGCATGCGTGACACCCTGAAGGTAGGCGGCGGTTGACTCGCACATGTGCGACAGGCGGGTGTGCGTAACCCTAGCAATGCCATTGTCCCATGACGACCCAAATCGCTCTGGCTTGCAACCAGGCCCAACGGAGGGGGATCATTTAGCCACACCATCAGCCATCACTCCAGTCGTATGCCTCATACCTAAGTGCAACACCCCAACTAAACCTATAACGGTCTCAATTCCGCATGCCGCAGCTGACGGCCACCACCCCCGCGGAGGTGCCCGAGGCGACCGTTGCGGCGGTTGCGGACATGCTGTCCGGCTCCTCTTCGCTGCAGCTGGACGAGAGCAAGACCAAGATCAAGCGGAAGGAGGTAGGTGAAGCGGAAGGCAGGCAGGCTGGCTAGTTGGGGATCAGCGCCACGGGCTGTACAACGACCTCTCCAAAAGGGCGCGCCTATGCCGTACACGCATGCATGACAGCGTCAGAGCTATCCTCACGATTTTTTGTTCATCTGGGTCAAAGGGCTGAGGTCTCCGTTGCCCACAATTGTTGGCAACGAAAATGCAGCAGCACCTGAGCAGCCCTTTTGCTGATGCCGTCTGCACGCCTGCCCCAACCCTTCCCCCAATTCCAACCTCTATTTCGGTAACCCTTTTTCCCATGCAGCCCCTGGCTAACGAGGCGGAGATTGCCCGTGCGGTGGATGCTCGCAGCATCTACGCGCGCCCCTTCCCCATGGACGCCACGGTGGACGCTATCACGGAGTTCTTCAGCGGGCACGCGCCCGTGAACTGCGTGCGCATGCGGCGCCACATGCGCTCCAAGATGTTCAAGGGCTCTGTGTTTGTCGAGTTTGCCAGCCTGGAGGATGCTGAGAAGGTACGGCAGCGGGGTTCGTACGTACGGTACGGTGTCGTACCGTACTAAGGGTGTTTTGTTGTGGAAGGTTGGGTTGTGGATGTGAAGGTTTAAGAGCTGTAAGAGTTTTTTTTCCGTTGTGCATGCATGCCTTGAGCTTTCGTGGCTTGTCTCTGCTCTGCTTTTGAGATGTTGGGATATGTTCTTCTTGGTGTGTGCGCTGAAAAAACTGGCGTGCGTGTTGTCATGTCACGTGCAGGTCATGGCCCAGTCCCTGGAGTTTGCGGGTGCGCCCATCCGGATGCTCAAGAAGATGGAGTATGTGGAGTCGAAGCGTCAGCAGCGCAAGAACCGGTCTGGGGGCTTCAAGGTAAGGAAAAGGGGGTCGCCTGGGGTTGCCATGTGTGGGAAAGGAGATGGGCGAAAAGCCGGGAAGCGTGCACGTGCATGTAGCCCCGTTGCCGTAAAGATAGTAAGGAAATCCCTTGACGACTGTATTCTATGCCGTTTCCGACTGCAACTACAAACTCAACACATGCCATGCCATGCCCATAGCTACCCTATATACGGGTCACATGGCTTGTACCGTGCCCTCGTTTCCGTTATCTGCGAAACCCCATGCTGCTGCATCATCCACCGTCCCGCAGAACGATGGGGACTTGTCGGACGACAGCAACATTGGCAACGGACTGCCGGACGGCGTGGGCGGGGTGGTGGACTGCGGCGCCGTGACGTCGTCCCACGGCCAAAGGCAGCAGCAGCAGCAAGCCAAGCGGGCGCCAAAGCGCAAGCAGGTGGGTTGGAGGGCCAGGGCTTGGGGCGACGTAATGGCGGTGAAGGGATAGTTTCCAGGCGCTATGCGTCATGTGGAATGCCAACGGCATATTGCGTGGGTGGTTTAGTGTTGGGGGACATTCTCCAATCCTGAGGTTGGAAAGCAGCACAGCCATGCTTGCGTAGCAGTAGAAGCCTTCAACCCAGTTGTGCCGCTGTAACCAACCCACCCAGCCAACATGACTCGATTTAAAAACTATTTCTCCGCACTCGCATGCTAACAGGAGGAGGAGCCGGAGGAGGAGCGCGAGTACGATGAGGGGGACCTGGGCGACGGGCCCAGCGCCAAGCGCACCAAGCCGGCTCCGAAGGAGACCGCGGAGGATGGGGCAGCAGCCGGGGAGGCGGAGGGTGGGGATGAGGAGATGGGCGAGGGAGAGGAGGGCGGTGATGCCGAGCAGGCTCAGCCGTATTTCACTGCAGGTGAGGAGGGGGGTTGGAGGTGGGAGGGTATCTGGCAGGGGATATCGCGGGGAGTTGGGGGAGAGCCTGGGGCTGACGATGTGTTTGCCATGCTTTACGTTAACACACTAGCCGTCGAGTTGTCTAGCATGTGTTGCGGGTCTAGCATGATTGCGGGTCTAGCATGCGTTGCGGATGTGACTGTAGGGATAACCCTGGTCCCTGTTTGTCGTCGTATGGCGTTGTCGCAGGGTGCCTCATTGGCTTCACGCTTGAAGCTGAGCTGCCCGAGCTGACTGGCCCACGGGTCATTTCGGACGTCTTTGGTGGACGCGACAAGGTTCGCTTCGTTGAGGTACGTCCCACGCTTCTTGCAAAACCTCCGACCCACCTGAGGACCTGGGGACCCGACTTTCAAATGCCCAGTTACAATTTGCATTGCTGATTGGTTGACACCTCTTCCTCATCCTAGCATGCACCCTTGGCATGCAACCCTGCCTTCTCCTCCCTAGCTGGGCTCCCTCCCTAGAGTAGTTCAGGCTCCCCTACCCCAACGTCATGTACTGACCCCTCCCTCCTTCCCTCCTCCACCTCCACCACCACTTCATCCTCCACCACCGAACAGCTCAACGCGGACCGCAAGGGCGGCTACCTGCGCTTTGTGTCTCCCGAGTTCGCGGCGGCGGCGCTGTCGGACTTTGAGGCGCGCGGCGAGGAGGCGCGGACCATTGCCGGCATCAAGGGCACCATGAAGAAGGTGGAGGGCGAGGAGGAGGCGAGCTACCACAAGCGGGTGAGATGGGGGCTGGGGCTAGGGGGTAAGATGTGTCGGGCATGGGTCAGCCTCAAGGCGTATGCACAATTGCAGGCTTCATAACATATGTAATGTATTAGGCCCTTCTTTCCTTTGCATCCACGCCACAAAGTATACCTCACACGGCGTAACACTTAAACCGTGCGTTTCCTCCTTTCTGCTTTGCTCTGTCCAGGCTGCGGCAGCGGCGGCTGCTCGCAACAAGAACGGCGGCGGGCGGGGCGGTCGTGGCGGGCGAGGAGGTCGCTTCGGTGGCCGGGGCGGCCGCGGGGGCTTCCGTGGGGGCCGGGGTGGGCGGGGCGGATTCCGGGGTGGCCGTGGAGGCCGGCGGTAATTGGTTGCTGACGAAGAGGAACCGTTGGGGAGGGTGATTGGCATATTTACAGCATTTGCAGGCTGGGATGGTTAGGATAGGAAGTAGAATGTAGCTGGGATATCGGGCCTGGGTTGAGGGCACATTCAGAAGGATGTTTTTGCTGCTAAAGGAGGCTTAGGTAGGCGCAGGTGAGGTGGGTTGGGGCTTCCACTGCGTGCGGAAACCGACACTGATGACAACAATGTTTGCTGTTTTACTTTGCTCTTTTGGTTTGTTGGCTAATGGTTGGCATAGGTGGGTTGATTTGTTGGCAACGGCTGTGCTGGTAATAAGCTTCTGGTCTGTCAAGTGGTGGAAGCTGCGATGTGGGCTAGGCGGCGCAACGAACCAGCAGGAATTCAGAGGGATAAGGTGTGAGTGCAACCGCATAGGGAAATCCCTTTAGCGGCGATGGTGGGAAAAGCCATTGACCGGCTGTGACCGGCGTAACTTTGCAATTTCTACTAGGACTACTGGTTTCTACATTTTACGACTGCAGACGCCTTCACTTGCCTTGACTATGGATGTATGTGACCAGCTGCATGTGAGATGGTAGCATCGCGGGGCACCAGGAACGGCGGCTGGTGGGATCCACGGCATCCCACCTTTGCTGTGGTAATGGAGCTCGTGCCAACTATGGTTCCAAAGGCATGGCGTTAGCCAAAAGCATAGACCAAGCATATCCATTTGACCCTATATCCAGCGCTCAATCCGGCACCGCCAGCTTGCAAACGACCTGCATGAAGGTCACCTGTGTGTGTCGGACGGCGCTGATCCACACCACTTCCATCCACCCAACGACCTGGCGACATTACAGGCCCCCCGCATCCAAGCTGACATCACAGCAACACGCAGCAGCATTAAACGCGGCAACAACACAATGCATCAGCAGCATTGGACACGGTAATATCACAACACCCATCATCAACCCATCATGAACCCTCCTCCAACCTTATCCGCCCCAGAGCAGATCAGCCTCCGCCCTCTTGCCCTTGTGCCCTCCAGGTGCCCCTACCAGGGGCCTATCTCCCTACCCCTCCTGCTTCCTCGCACACAGGCGCTGTGCACCGAAACCCTCTCTCCTCGCCCACAGAACGCCCTCGCTCCCTCGCGCCCTCAGGGCCTCCTCCTCTCCCCCTTTCCCTCTCCCTCAGAGCCGGTTGATGAGCGCCTGCACCTCCTCCGTGCTGTACAAGTGGAACTTGGGCGCCACGCGCGCGATGTCCACGTTGGTCGCTGTCACCTGAGGAGCAGCGACAACACGGCACATGCACGGCAGCGGCAGAGGGACACAGCAGCGGCAGAGGGACACAGCAGCCCGGGTTGAAGGGTGTTCAGTCAGTCGATCGGCAGTGTGCAAACAAGTTACAACCTCGTATACCTTGTAGCTGGCAAGATATACGCCGACTGCACCTCGCACGTTCCCTTCCTCTGTCCCACATGTCCCTTTGGCTGCGAACCCTAGCTCTCCCACACACCCACCCAGCCAATCCCACGCCCTGATCAATTCTGCCTCCATCAACCCGCTTGCCCCTGCCCCTCGCCCTCCCTCGTACACCCTACCATCTCGGCAGCCTCAGCCGCCCAGCTCGACCCTATGCCACCCTCGCTACCACAAACCCTCCACCACCGGCCCTCCCCTACCGCGGTTTCCTGTGGTTTGGTCTATTTCAATCCCCCGCACGGTAGCTAGCCAGTTCCTTCCTCCTTCATCCCCACCGCGGCCCGCCCTCCGCCTCACCTTCTCCTCCATGACCTGCTTCAAGGTGCCCAGCGCCAGCACCTCCGCCTCCGCCAGGCTCATGTCGGGCTTGTCCTTGAGCGCCTCCTGCAGGCTGCTCTGTGCGCCCTCGCTGCCGCTGCCAATGGCCTTGCCGGAGTAGCTGACGTAGGTGCCGGAGGGGTCGGTGTGGTAGCTGCGGGGGGCGGCGTGCGGGTATGGGCGGCAGCAGGGACAGGAGCAAAGGTTGAAGGTGCGGCGGATGAGCGAGAACGTGGGGCCGCGTGCGGACGAGTACTTCTCGCTGTTCCCAAGCGAAAGGGATTTTTCCACCTCCACATCATGAGTCCACATTGCAACGGCCGAAATAGCCCGGATTCCCTAAACAGACAGCGCTGAGCCCTGGGGTCCCTCTGCCTCAGCCCCCTGAGGCCCTCTCCCTTTTCCACGCCAGTGCTATCACATCATTATCACATCCCGATACTGCCCGCTCCCGCCCGGATTCCTGGCTCCCTCTCCTCCCCCAACACACAGGCCCCGCCTTGCCACATGGTTGGTTTCGTCCTCTTAATACCCACTCAACCCAGCCCCACCCAATCCCTCGGATACTCACAGCGCCGGCCCCTTGTCATCCCAGCCGGCAATCAGCAGCGCCACGCCGAATGGCCGGCTCTGCAGCCAGCCATACGGGACGCAGCAGCGGACCAAGAAGGGTAAGGAGGCAACAGAACAGTTGCGATACGGCTTCGGTGCGTGAGCGGGGCGAGGAGCCAGGCAACCCGCCATGTCCGTCAGCATGATCCACCATGCATGGGCACCTAGGGTAGCTTCCCTAGTTCAATTCTTCCCTCGTTCCCCCCTCACCCACCATGCCGCCGCCCTCATCCGAGTCCTCCCCGAAACGTAGCGCCAGGTCGCACAGGGACTGCGTGGTGGACTCCACCGGCATGGGCTCGTTGTAGGAAAAGCGGTGTTGCTGCGGGGAGACAGTCCGCAGCGGGACGAAGTTAATTGAGAGGAAGGGCCCAACGCGTACCGAGCCATTCGTGCAACGTGCCGGTTAGAGGAGTCAGGATGTGAGGAGTGCCCTCCGAGTCCCCACGGCTGGACCGCATGTGCATTCCCGGACCCCGCCCACCGACCTGCGTATCAGCACGTGCATGGTCTATCAACGTCTTTGCGTCGGCCGTAAGCCCGCTCATCGCGCATGCCATGTGCTCGTCGATCTCCATAATTTTCTCAATGCTGTTGGGCTCCTGTGCGCCGGAACGACAAGTGTTAGCTGTCATTCGACCACAGGCACGAACCGGAAGCCTCTTTTCACCAGCGTTCTTTCTCACCAGCAGCGGAGATGTGACGCGCTTCTCAACCGCTAGGATCACGCCCTCCTTCGTGCGAATGCCGATGGCTGTAGATCCCAACTACAACAACAAATTAACCGAGCAAGTAAGCAAAAAAAGCTAAAAACACTGTTGTTGTAGGGCAATGGATCTGACGCTGCCTCTGACCTTAATAGCCTCAAGCGCATATTCTACTTGAAATAAACGACCTTCAGGGCTAAAGGTGTTCACGCCACGGTCATACTCGCTTCGCGTTAGGAACATGCTTGCTAATGTAGAGGGCAAAGGGTCTTACGAGTGCAAGAGCTACTCACTGGCCTAGTTAGCGTTAGCGTATGCACACTATGAATCAAGCAAACAAACGTGGGCTAACAGCGAATTGCTGGCAACTTTGCCAGAACATTAGGTGAGGGTTGTACGGAAGCTGTATCAAAAGAGTGGCCGTGCTCGTCGTAGACCGCGAAAGAGCCTGTAATATGGAAGACCCAGGGGAGTTTGCTGAAAGGGCATATGCAGGCATGCACCATGTACAGATAGACGACGAGCACACTAGCGTTACCAGTCACCAGCCATACTGCGCCAACACGCACCCACGAGAGGTGTACGACGACATAGCGTGGCCCCCCTGTTCCGCACAGGAACGTATACAGTGCCAGTGCTTTCTCTCACCGTCTCGCAGATGGCTGCAGGGCCACATAGAAGAGTACGCTGCAATAACCAGCGAACAGCTTTACCCGTCAAGGCCTCCCTGCGGATCCAGGCTCGCTGTTCGCAGGACCTCTCCTGTGCCACCTCTTCCACAAGCCACCATAGCTCTGTTACGCTTCAAAGCTAATTGACAGTTTCCGCTCATTGTTGGGAACAGAGGAGGCCTCGCCCTAGACCACCGCCCTAGACCATCTTGCCCTAGATGGATGGGGCCCGTCCTGTCCACGCTCCCCCCTTTTCCCTGCTGCTTATACCAGGAATCCAGGATCCCTGACATCTTCCTAGCTTGCAAGGTCGAGTAGGGCTTGCACCGCAACCTCGGGGCCATACCGGTATTGGTAACTGTAGGGTAGTAGGCGTTGAGTCGGTGCACACATATGGAAAATCCGCCGGTGTAGCTCATACGGCTTACCCACACGACATGGCTTTGTGACGGCACAGAATCATGGGAAAGGGTGTCGGAGAGATAGATGTATGGCAGAGTAAACGCACAGAACCGTGGGAACAGGCTTTGGAGAAACAGTCGTATGGCCAAGTAATGGTGCGCTATAACGGCACCGTGCCTAGCTTCATACGTTTGCCCTTGATAAGCGCTAGAACTGGACTACCAGCGTAGCCCCGATGTTGGACCACCGTGCCGTCTACGCAGCACGGTTGCACACCATGCACTGCGCATGACCTTTCGATGCCAGTGGATGAGCTTGTTCAGAGCCCGTGCTAGGGCGTAACGCCCCAAACTGCGAGCCACCGGGCCAAGAGCTCCCGCATTCCCTCATTGCAAGAATTTCCGTCTCCTATCTCCAGCGTGCATGCCTAAGTCCCAACCGACGATCGAGCGACTGGAGAATATCGCCGATAAGGTTCTAAAATATGTGTTACTTGCTAACCATATTACCTCGCAAGCGAACCTGGGGGTTGTGTGCATGTCGAGTGCACAGCGTCAGTTGAAATCCTTCGACCGCTGCAAGCAAACGCGTACCTGGACCATCGTCGTGGCAGCCACACATACAATATTGCAAACCGCCTTTTCAATAAAGCGTTTAGCAGGAGTGAGTGACGCCTTAAGATGGCGCAACCTGGGCTTGTACGGCAAAGGAGATCAGCCATCTCCTGCCTGTTAAGTCTCCATACCCACACAGCAGGAGCATACTTGGCAGTCCTACGCAAGTATCAGTTACCTACTAGCAAAAATGGCCCTCGCTGTCCGCGCCAACGCCGCCTCCGTGCGCCCTGTTAAGGTCGGCATCCGCGACGCTAGGGGATGCGCGTTTAGGCGCAACCAATGACTAGCTGTCGTTTAGTATGAACTTTGGTCTTCTTGTTGACCACCAGCATATGGTGTTATCCTATCCGCAGCTGTAGAACCCCCTTTGTAAATAGCGCACTGTCAATTGGTATAAAGTCGATGCGACTGTTTAGGGGACTGTGGAGAAGGTTGCGCGTTTGGTGAGCCCATACGCTTGCTCACACCGGCCGTGTCGACCGCGTCCTGCAGGCCTCTCGCCGCAGCGCCGTTGTGGTGCGGGCTGATGGTGGCTTCATTGGCTCCACCACCAACCTGGTAGGCAGGATACTTTGTTGAGCGAGTGCAGTTTGCTCATAAGCGTTGCATCATCGGCAAGCGACTCGCGCTTCCGCCATAGCGCTTATAATATATTGGCTACAACGTATTAACATGCATCTCTGATGATAAAATATGGTTATCACGTGTGATGCTCACTGTCTCTTGTTTTGCTTGCAGATCATGGTGGCGTCGACTGGTGCCTGCCTCACCGCTGCTCGCCTGGGCTTTGCCCCGACTGTGAAGAAGCAGGCGACCGCTGGCCTGAAGCTGGTGGAGGGCAGCAACGCTGCTGGCGTCCTGTCCAACGACCCCTCGGGTGGGTTGGCTGGCGGGTTGGCACTAAGGGCCTTACTCCGCTAGGGAAAGAGGGACTGGGGGCTCTACCCTTGAATGCCAGCTGGATATGCAGGAAGGCCTCGGCACACGAGGCATTAGAACACGATACGGCTATCGAATGGCATCATTATTCTGCGTACCGGGATCATGAATTGCCACAGAGGCACTCCTACAAACACACGCCCCCGCTGTCCAGTCCAAGATACTTCTCCCAGGCCCTCTCCACTCACAGCCTTTCCTCTTTACCTCTGCCGTACGCATTTCCGTACACTCAATAGCATGGCTTATCTTTTACGTGACCATGTGCATGCAGGCTTCACCATTGTGGACACCCTGGCCATGGGCTCGGCTGGCCACATCATCGGTGCCGGCATCGTGCTGGGCCTCAAGGGCATTGGTGCCCTCTAAGCGAGACCAGCAACAATATGCTGGGCCCGCATTGCAGCGCTTTGAGAGGGGCGCTGTTTTTGTCTCCGTATTGTGTACTACTAGGTTGAGAAACCCACTTGACCACAAATCACGCTCCTCAGGGCCTCATGATGGTTGTGCGGATTTGAGCTGGGGGAGGCACGGCCAGCAGCTGATGATCCGTCGCACTGCGTTCCGTCGGGACTGAGCACAGCGATTGAGAGAAGAGAGATGATTAATGCATTTAGGACGACAGTAATTGTACTGGGTCTTGAGGATGGTACCTGAACCCACCATACCAATCCCCAGCATGTAACCCTGGCCGTGCAGTAACTGTCGCGTATTGGATGCGTGCGGAATGCAGTATATGACTACGACTGTGTTTTGCACTGCTGCAATAAACACGGCTGGATACCAGTTACATTTACAAAACTAGCAATTTCAACGTTTCGATTTCAAGCAGCAGCGCCGTACAGTGTCATGGTACGAACCAGGACTCGCCTGGGCATAGATGTTGGCATTAGAACGTAAGCTACATAACCACATCACGACCCGCCATCTCTCTGCACCACAACTGTGACTGGGATTCAACACAAACGAAACCGCTAGAGCCAGCAACTGAGCCCCAGACTGGCAAGACATGCGCACATACCTGCCTAAGCAGCCTAGCGCTCTAGCAGCAAAGCTGGCTCACCCGGCTAATCAACAGAGCGAGTCACTAGGATGCAACGAACATTCAACAAAAGCGGGTACGTGGCCCGGATGTGGTAAGCGTGGCGACGGGCTGGCCTCAATTCCCGCAAGCTTTAAATTGGCGAGGAATGCAAAAGAGGCGCATGTAAAGGGCACTCCCTAACCGTCACCGCACACCCGTTAAGAAATTAACTGGGACTGCTACAGAGTGTTACACAATCCTACCTAAAGACGAAGTCCATATAGAGCTACTATGGATCAATGCACTAATACTTATTACGTCATTTGCCGTCAACACATCGCACGGGCAAACATACCAAGCGCAATCACAAGGTCCACCCAAGTTGCTCGAGCTGCCCGCTAATGCATGCACCCCATGCCGCAAACGGATGAATGCAGGAGGAAACATACCTTCCCGCTAAATACCCATCGTCCACACCTAGCCAAGGCCACATGAGCCAAAAGCCGCGCGCAACCGCTGCCTTTCAATCCATCCTGCTCACCACACTTGGACTCCCCAGCCAATCAGATATACTCCGACGCCGCATCATTCACTACCTTTCCCAGTCAACCATAAACACAAATGCTCGCTAGCATACAAATAGGCCGCCTCAAACAACCCTTCCACCACACAAGCACCGTCTCATGCTTCCATGCTAGCCATTACCTGCTTCAGCCCCCCTTTTCAGTTCGCGCCCCATGCGCCGTTTGCCCCCCCCCTCAGCCCCGCGCGACCCTTAGCCCACCCTGCTCCGCCCGACCAAGCCAGGCCTCCCTCCCTTGCCACGCGACAACGGCGAAGCGGACCACGCACAAGTAACAGGCGGCGCGTAATCCGCGGGATGGCTCGGATTATCGCAGCAGTTCAGCCTCTCGCGCTCCTCAAACGGCTTTGGCACGTAGTCATGACCGTAGGTCGTAATGGTGGGCACGTGATTGGAGGGCAGGAGCGGTTGCGAGGCGCGCAGACTGCGTGCCGGAATGGGTTTCCGGTGGTATTGGTCCTTGTATTCCGTAGCACTGTCCAAAGGAACCACTGGCGGCGGCAGCGGTGGCTCCGCAGTCCAGGGCCGGACCTTCCGGGGAATGTACTCTGCATTGTAGGTGGTGACGCCCACGAACGGTGCGGACCATGCAGCGTTGGCGGGGCCGGGGGGCGCCTCCAGTTGAGCGCGTTTTGGCGGGAAGTGGGACTTGTAAGTGGTGGAGTCGTCCAGGCGGTGTGCGGGGATGGGTTTGTCGGCGGGGCGGGCGGACTGCGAGCGGACGTGCTTGGGTGTGAAGTCGGCGCGGTGGGTGGTGGTGGCGTTGAAGGGGAGGCTGTCCAGAGGCCCGTGACCTACAATTGCGGCGGAGGGGATGTAAGGGTAAGAGGGGTTGGGGAACGTTTGCAGGAGCAGTAGTAAAACAGCAGTGCACGAATTGTGGAGGTTTTGGGGCACAAGCCCTGACCTGCCCGAAGACGGCAAACATGCTCAGCTGCTTGCCGCCATGCTCAAAGCTGTTTGGCGGGTGCCAGGATAGCGCGCCCAACATTCACCTGGGGTTCTTCGCTCCGGCATAACGCCTTTGGGCGGGTACTCTCTCTTGTACTCAGTATTTAGCTGCGGTTAGGGGTCGGGGTTGGATGGCCAGATGGAAGATGAGGAAGGTTTTCTCAGGACGACTAAGCATGTGATCGGAACCCAAACAAAACACGTTACTAGGAAGCGGCCATCGACTTGCTTACCGTGTCGTCGAGCCACTTCGCGTCTCGCGCAGCACGACATTTAGCCACGCCGCAGATGTGACACCAGTTTTTACAGCAGCAGCAGCATCCGGCCATGCTGCACTGCTTACATCCCGAAGTCTTTCGTGTGGACCGCATCCGCGACTGCAATAGGGACAGGGAAACCTTGCATGAACTTGATGCGAGAGGAGGACACACAGAGGCCAGCAGTAAAAGGCATGGCGTCTTAAAGAAGCGGCAAGGATTGTAAATAACGGTATCGATGCTTTTGTCCTTCCTTGCTTCGACCGTCATAAGCCTCAGCGTACTTCGCTCGCACCCTCACCGTATCGCCTCGAGCGGGACCAGTCCAAGCCATCCTTTGACGCAAGTGGCCTTCTCAAACCCTTGCGTACTGTGCCGAGCTCAGACCTGTACTTCTGTTGGAAGAAAAGTGCTCTGAAGGCAACGCCGTTTCTTCGTGTACCTCTACCCTATACCTAAAAACTAAGGTAACCAAGTAATTGTAGTTTGACTGAGCAGGAAACGCCCAAGCTTCGAAGTGCTCGGGTACTTGGGGTACGGGGCTCCGAGGCCACGCAACCTGCTTTGTTTTGCAACGATAGTGATGACAAGACAGCAGGTCAGTATAGATTGAACCTTTTATAAATGACTTTTATAGTGTTAAAAGCGGACAGTCCTGGTTTTGGCGCCCAGTTGTGAAACCTGTTGCAGGAGGACCAAAGTACGGGGTAAGTTGCAAGAGCGCAATAGGCATACGTCTTAGCACTTTTTATTTTCCTTATCCGCGGGCACACTTGCTCACAAAAAACCCAGCAGCTCCTCCAAACCGCCGTCCTCACCGTCAACAAATCCCTCATCTTCCCTGACATCATCTTCGACTAGCCCTTCCCTTTCCCAGCGCTGTTTTCTACCTTCCTCCACGTCCGCCACCTGCACTCCCAAGAGCCCATTCACTTCATTGTCATCGAAACACAGCCCCACCTCAACTTCCTCATCGCTCTCACCCCGCTGCCGTGCAGCACCCTCAGCCCACCACCGACTGTAACGGGGGCATTGCCGTACAAACTTAACCCGACTCTCAAACAACAGCTCATGCAGCGTTACCGCAGTTCTTTCCCCGGACATAGCCAGGTACTCGCAACGGTCAACCACCTCATCATCAACCGTTAGCGCCCGGGCAATGACCGACAGCACCTGCGGGTCTAGCTCGACGCTCCCACGGCCCTCCAAGCTGCCGCTCTGACTTCCCCCACTGCTACCGCCACTCCTGCCCATGCGAGCATGGTAGCCCTTAGCAGACGCCTTCGCAAGCGGCGCCGCATCAGGGGTATCGGAGGCGCCGCCTCCCGTACCGGCTGTGCCGTAAATGACGACAGAGGCAGCCGCGGGAGCCGTGGCAGGAGGGGCAGCAGCAGCAGCTGTAGCGGCCCCTGCCTGCAGCCATGCACCAAGCTCCCGGTGCCAGGAGGCTGGCCGGCGCAGGGCGTAAAGACGCAAGCGGATGAGGTTCCCACGGCAGGCAGCTGGATCGCGCAGCAGCACGCCCGGGGCAAGCGATACGAGCTGTGCTACCTGCGCCATGGCCGGGGCAAGGGGAGAGGAGGCGAGAGGGAGGGGTTGGCGGAAGCACGGTGAGGGAAGGTGAGGGGCAGGGTGCAGGGTGGAAAGGGGGAGGAATAGGGGAGAGGATTGATGCATGTCGGCACCTCATACCGTACGCGAAGTAGACATGTGTAGCAGCCAGGCGCCTCATCAGCTGCCGAACTTTGTGCCGAACTTTCCTACGTGTACTAGCAAGACGAAGAGCACAAGTGAACAACACGCGTTGACTGCATTGCTTCCATCCCTGCGCAGGTCCCACACCCTGCGCCCTAGCGTGCCGTCACCCCTTAAGGACCATCACCTCTAGCAGGTATCATGGTCAAGCCCCACCATTGCACCTCCCTGAAACCCCGCCTATTGCGGAATATGTATCCCTATAAACCTCCCTAGCCGAACCCCACCTGCGACGCGCCCCACTCCAACGCCTCCGCCAGCTCGTCCAGCCTCCGCCGTACCTCCGCTACATCCAGATCCAACACCTCTGGAGCCTCCTCAAGCATCCGCGCAGCCGGACGCATCATGATTCCGGAACCACCGACGCCAATGCCAGCGAGGCTGCCTGCCATACATGTAGGCGCCAGGCTCGACGCGCTTGCCGTGCCCGACACGGCCCATGGGTCAATGGCCGCCACCAGCTGCGACAGTTGCGCCGCCAAGTCCCGTGGGTCGCGGTCCATGAGGGACGGATGACGTTGTACGGCAACGTATGCGGTTTCGCGACCGAAGAGAGACACCAGCTCCTGTGGGATTTCAGGCAAGCGGCGTGGGCAATGCTGACAGCCAACAATCGCACATTGGAAGGTATTAAGTGTAACGCCGTCAGTACCTCAGTATGCATACGAGGCGTGGGACAAAAGGGCTCGTCTGGTCGCACCTGAAGTCGCTGCAATACGACCCATGGGTCCACGTACCGCCGCTGGTGCGGCAGCGGATCCCGCCAGCGCTGCTGCCACTGCCCATGCTGCTGCTGAGGTTCCTGCCGGCCCTGTCGCACCTGCTCAAGCTGCCATTGCTCTTCTCCCTGTCCTGCTCCTCTCCTTGCGCTCCCCCGCCCTGTTTCTTCCTCCTTACCCCGCCCTGTTGGCTGCGCAGGTTGCGATGGAGCCTGTGGGCTGGCCGGAGGGCTCACGGCCGCAGGCCCCATCACCCCGCCCTGAAGGGGAGCTGCTCCTGCAGCGGCACCAGCAGCAGCACCAGCAGCAGCAGGCGCCCCTGCCGACATTGTCAGCTGCTGCTGCGGCGCCAGGAGCACACTGGCACCAGGAGCGCGGAGCAGGTGAGCGAAGGCGCTGGGAGGCACGCGTGCACCGCTGAAAGCGCGACGGAAAATGTCATCCAGTTCGACAAAGTTCATTGCCGTCAGGTAGGGATCTCGATCCAGATGCGGAAGTATGGTGGTAATCACGTGGGTTGTGTCGTACGAGGGAAGTAGCGCAGCAAAGCGTGCGGCTCTTTCGAGCAGGAGCTGCGGCTCGTGCGCGAGTACGGCGCGCGGCACGGCGGTTAGGAGTTGCCGTAGGCGCAGGCGGGGCTCCAGGGGATCCACGAGGAGAAGTGTCAGGGCCCGGTTTCGGAGCAGCTTGGCGTCGCAGGGCAGGCGGCCCTAGGGACAAGGAGTGTGGAGAATGGGAAGCGCATACGGGTGGGTAGTTTTGCGGGCAGAGATACGGCAACCGCTGGATAGTGCAATGCTCTTCAAGTTGTAAGGTGAGGGTGTTGGCCAAGCCACGCGTTGTTTCAGGTTGTGAGTGAGGGGACATAATGAAACCCGGACTTGGCATGTAGCGAAACAAGGTAGCGTAACATCACCACTCGGGGGACTGGGTAACTTTTCGGATCTTTGTGTGCAGGTGCAGGCATGAAAGTGCGGGGGCTGAGGGCAAAATCTAGGTGGAAGACGAGAAAGGGAACCGTACTTGGGTTTCCAATAACCCTCCCTGTGATACCTTTTTCACTTCATCTAGAACGGCTGTGGCAGCTTGCTTTCCCAGTTGTAGCTCCTGGCGGTATTCAAGCCACAGCACCTCAAATTGGCGCAATGCCGCAATGCTTGGCTGAACCGGAGGAGATTGTGATAGCTGGTTAGGCTGTTTGTTATTATTCGGCCTTTTCCTCGATTTGCTACTAGGTGTGGAGCTTTTGCCAGCGGATATGCTTGAGGACGCGCCTAGCGGCAACGGCCAGAACGGACCGCAGGACCTCCGTGTGACACGCGTCGCCCTTGAAGCTAGACGACATGAGATCAGAGGACATTGCATGATTGAAAATTTTTCACGGTAAACCGCCGCTGTTGTGAGCTTTACTGTGAGCGTGCATTAAGTTAAGCACAGCAAAATGCGGTCCTGTGTAAGCCCTGGACTATAGCCTACTGATGCAGAACTCCAACGACGATTTGGCCGGAAGCTTAGAAGTCGTCGTACAAGACACCGGATGGGGATGGTCCTCCTTCTGCGCCCATAGCTGATATTGACCTGGGCGCGCGGACCTCACGTCATTTCGTAGCTCCATAGTCGCCCAAGATGGCACTACGCAGCACAAGGGTTTAGGACGTCAACCTGATGCAGGCACGACGCATGCTGTCTCTGTGGAATTAACACGTCTTCGGCGGGGAGGAGTTCGTGCAAAGACAGCGCTCCGTTACTTGTCTTACCGAAAACGTTTACAACAAACCATAACCTGCAGGTACTGCAATCCTGATACATCAATAGGCATGCAGGCACGGGTAACGCGGCACATAGCTGTTAACAATTTCATGCACACATATCGGTATGGGCATGTTCTTCTCAGGCAGCTCAGGCACTCTGGTGCGACCAAAGTAATTAAAGTGTAATACACAGCCAGAAAAGCTTTATTGATAAAATCCAGCTTTTATTCACCGGAGTGTTAATAAACCACTAGGCCATACCCCTACTCACCACACGCAGAGACGGGCTAGGTGACTAGCGGACAACAGTAGCATGACGCAGGTCGAAGGGACCAACAGATTCGCCACATATACGGCGGTCCCCAAGACAGGCGACCCAAGAACGATGAAGTCTCTAATTCCAACCTTCATGACTCCATCTTGCCACCGAACCCGTCCAACCGAATACGGTACCAGCAGAAGCGCCAGCTGATGGCGTATTAAGAACAACAACATAACAATCTGGGGCGCCACTACTGCTCCCTTAACTAGTAGCCTCCACTTCCTGGTGCAAGCAAGTTTCAGCAGCAGAAGTACGAACACCTATGACGCTGCCAGGGCATATGTCCCCGGCGAAATGGTGCATAGATAACAAGCCTACACCTTTCGGTCTTCGGGCTCTGCTTCATAAGGAAATACGCGCCTCACGTTAGGAATGGCGGGTGTCTTCGTGAATACCAGCCCAGCTAGCTGAAGTGCACTCATGTTGCGGCGTACGACGGCATAACAGCAGACGCGCAGTACCATGCCAATACCATGTGTGTCGTACAATGGCCTTGTCATATGCCGTACAAAGACGCTACGCCACCGTTCATCAGTATTGGCACCACTTTCCCTCTGGGACATCCAATCTAGCACCTATCAACGGCAATGATAGGCTTTCACAACAGAGTTGCAATGGGACATCAGAAGAAGTGCCTGATAGAGCTCGGCGTTGCGCCACATGTTATAGCAGAAACAGGATGCATCACATGTGCCGAGCCAACTGGCTATCGTCGTTGCAGCATACAACACCACTAATAAGGAACAAATACAGTGATATATGCCGCTCCTATCGCTCCCAATCGCCCGTGACAGGAATTCCCAGAAGATGCATCTAACGGAGGAAAGGGGCTCTGCGGCTTCCGAAGAAACCCGCATTCTTGCAAGCTCAGCGCGTGGGAGGTTGCCAAGCACTAGGAGACCTTAAGCAGCCGCTTTGCAACCAAAATATCACACACGTCAGCCACATAGCCGTCAAGACACCATGACAGACACATTAGGCTTACTGCAAGCATGGATGCAATTTTAAAACCGTCGCATATTGTCATTTGGGCAAGCAGGCAGCAACCATGCCATTGGAAGAACCACAGCCTATGCTTCACTTGAGGCGCAACAGATAAGCACGACGCAATAGCCCACCAGAGTCAATAGCACATCAGAACCTGCGTGGAAAAGGACGCGACAGGCACTGAGCACACAACACACGCTTGCTAGCCTGCATTGAAAAGCTACCAAATATACATCATGGAGAACTGAAACATGCCACGCAGATGCTGAGGCCATGACACTGATAAAACCGCCCCTCGATGGCTTACTGTAGGGGACGGAAACGGATGATAAACCATTAACGGCATCTTTTACCGTGACATCCGATGTTGACTATGGAAAACCTTACCGACATGCCCATGACACACCAGCATCTACCCAACAAGCAGATTGCACCCTGGCAGGAGGGTTCGTCCATTTCCTGACACACCACCTCGCGAGTCACAGCACCAAACCCACGTGCACGAATAAAAGCGGTCAAGAGGAACATGGACAACTTGGCGACGAAAAAGACCTTTCAACAGTGTCACACGTACTGTTTACACATTGATACCATACTTGTTTATAAGGTTTGTGCCAGCCATAAGCCGAATTCTTCATAACTCTTTCTTTACATGCATGCCTTCGGGCGACATTACCAGAGCACCTGCGTCTACAGCCGACGGCGAAAAAGAACTGCCCGTGTTCGCTGTCGCGGGCCGCGGTGTGGCGGAAGCCTCCCTCGTCTTCAACAGCTGCCGCTCCTGACGCAGCCGCAAGCTCTGGGCAGCCTTGCCGCGCAACATAGCGCTTACGCACCAGCCCATCAGGTTGACCGCTAGCGCTCGTACGACTGCTGTCTTTGCGTCATTCGTGACGCCGTACTTCAGGTACATGTGCGACGCGGCGAGGCCCTCCATGAGGCGCAGGACAAGGTTGACTCGCCGACAAGGCTGCATGGAAGGGAGGGGCAGCATGTTGCCCGAGCGTCATGAGAGCACGTCAAAGGATACGGGGAGGCATGGAGAAGCCGGTCAACATTTGGTCAACATGCTCAGCCATTTCCCGGACGTCGAGCGTACGTCGTAAGCCACAATGATTGGGCAGCAAGCCGCCGGAAGCTAGATGGTTAAACGATTGGCGCCTGGGCATTTTAAAGGGCCAGTCCACGCCAGCACTAAATTTGTAATTTCCGTCGCACCCAACCGCACCTGATTGCAACAGGCCGTGATAAACACAAAAAGCACGTGCGCCACAGCCATTTGCCAGCCCGTCGCATTCATCTCGGAGGGAGGCAGCAGAACTCCGTCGCCTCCCTGGAAAGCGCACCGCAGGAATGTGAGCACGACACAGCATGCCGTGTAGCGCTTCAGCCCGTAGACCGCCACCGCCGCCGCCACAGCTGCCTCCACGGCCGTCCACCACAGCCGCCCCACAACGCACCGCCCGGTAGCCCGCACCACGGCCAACCATGCCCAGCCGCCGCTTGATCCGCCGATACCGGCGTCAGATACTGCTGCTGCTGCAGGGGCAGGACAGGTAGCGCCGAAAGCGCTGACAATAGCCTGTGGCAGACGATGTACAGGCATCGGCATGGTTTGGTTAAAACAAAACTGGCCGCGAGTTGGGCCGCTTGGGTGCGCGGAATATCAAGAAGGGTCAGTGTGGCAGTTCAGGATGCATGATCATTGGCACTTCGAGCTTGCACACAGCACCACGGGATTACCAGCAAGAACTAAAAACGGTGCGGCGTGGCGGTGGCATCTCCTGCAACCCCGCAAAGCCTCGGCCGAGTCAACAGACACTTTGGAGATGCCACTGCTCATGTGCTCCCACAGCAGAAGCCGTACCTTCAGCTGCGACAAGGTCTGGTTCAGTATGATGGCGCACTGGAAGCCCAACATGAGAGCCCGAGTGCGCTGCGCCACGAACCTGAGCGTGGGGCAAACCATTCAAACGACTGAATTACCCCACAAGGACGCTAACACTGTCAAGTGGCAAGCGAACCGGAAACGGCAGACAGGCTTAGCGTTAGCAACCGGTAGAACCCATCCCGTAACTCGGTTAGGAAGAGCACCCCTTACCTGTCAAGGTCAAGCGCCGGGACTCCAGATGGCGTCGCCATGCCTGATTTGCCCAGGGCAGCAGCAGCTGCAGCCAGCCCACAACGTCGGGACCTCACGCCCGCAGCCTTGGGACCAGTAGCTGCATCCATCGCTCGCCAAGAAGAGCCTGACACTCCCACGCTGCTGCCACCTACATCGCACACTGTCGGAAACGCGGCTGTGGACCCGGACTTCGAAGCTGGGCCGCCCTCCAAGCCGCATGCCACGTTTTCCGAGCTAAGACCTCCGGCCTCACACGGGAGCTGCGTCGAAAAAGAAGCCACAGTGGCGGCCTGCCGTCGTGGCTCCCGTCGCCACCAGCGGCATAAAGCAGCCGCCGCGGCGGCAGCAGGGGACAGCGCCATCCTTGCATCCTCCGCCAGGACTGTTCGCCACAGCCCCGCTGCTACCGCCGCCGACCGACCACTTGCACCGTTCACGGGCACCCGCCAGGCAGCGAGCGCCTGGGGGTGGTTACGGAGAATGTACGACAGGAGGAATCCAGGCGGTACGGACGCTGACGCCAGCACCAGCGGTGTGAGTACCGCGGGGGAGCCCCCCAGCCGCACGGGTTGCAGCCAAGGCTCCGGCACGCAGGCGGCGGTGTACCAGGTGAGGACAAGCTGAACCTGCGGGGCAGGTAAAGCGACATTTGTTTCCGGATGTGGACGCAGGGAAGGCGTTTGCAAAAGTGGGTACGTGCGTCACGATCATGTAATGCCCGAAGCGGAGTCAGCTATCAAGGTACTATTAACTCCTAAGATACGGTGTACGGGTCCTGTGTGCTGTCTGCATACCGGAGATCCGGAGACCGGGAACCACGCACCGGTTGCAGCTCGCCCGATGTGACGGCCGCATGCAGCAGTGGAAGACCGTTCTCTATGCCAGACGCGTGTAGCAAAACCTCCTCTGCTCCGAAATTTAGCTCCTCCAAGCTGCGCCATAGCAGCTTTGCCAGGGAGCAGGCGCCGTGCTGCATTGTCATGGTCGTGTGGGGCGCACGACCAGTCATTGGATGCAATTGCGGGCTTCCCCGTTGCTATAGATCACCCCAGCAGCTAGCAGACACCTCATACAGCAACCTTCAAACCTCGCAAAGCCGTGTTTAACACCATATCAAACAGGACGCGCCTCGCCCATCGCAGAATCGTGGGCGCCAAGCCGCTTATTCACAGCCCCACGTCACGTACCTTGAGCACCAATGACAGCAGCCCGCAGCCCAAGTCCAAGATGAGCAGGGTTTGCTGGTCAGAGGCGGGGTCCCTGGTGGCCCCTCCCGATGGCTCCTCCGAGGCTGCGGCGAGCGCCCCTGCAGCAGCCATTCCAGCCCCCAGCAATCCAGAAGGTTGCCGACGGACACAGCGCCTGAATGCAAGATTCTCGAACGCGCCAGACAGCAGCAAACCCAGGTCGATCAGCACATTTTGTGCGGCGTCTGCCGGCTGGGTGGACAGCAGCTGCCGCAACTCATCTGCCCAGGGCCTGTCCGCAAGCCGACCCTGCTCCTCACTACTGCCCCTGGGAAAGGCAGCAGCGTGGCCGGAATGGCGATGGGAATCATGCTCGTCTGACGGTATCAGCAGTACCACGCGGGCCGCAAGCAGCTCTCTTCCGCGCCAGAGGCTGAGGTCGACCAGCTGCGGCTTCCAAGATGGAAGGGGAAGAGCGCCAGCTGCAGCGGCGTTAGATGTCGTGCCGGAAACACTACGGAACCCCTTGCGCCATGTCAGCTCCGACGTTGCCAGCGGTGTGGCTGTGTGCGGCGACGGCTGCTGCTGCCGCAGCACAAGGTGCCAGATACCGCCCGGCACCGAAGCCTCGGCCGAATGAAGAGCATCCGACATGGCCGGCTGAGAAGCTGCCTCCGCAACAGCAGCGGCGGTCTCCAACCCTGAGCCGCTGTGTCCTGCACCGACATGGCTCCCACAAGATAGCAGACTGTGCCCCTTGTCACCAATGACCCCACCAAGAAAGGTATGCTCAACATGCAGCTCCGAAACCTCTCCCGCCATGCCAAGGAGCTGCGCTTGAATCTCCAAGTGCGCTACATCATCGGGTCCGAACAACTCCATCGCGCTGACATCGTTGCAGCTGCCATCTGCGCCACCACCGTCCGCAGGCGCGCCACGACCTTCCACAGCCGCTGGCAACGAAGGCCTCGTCCTCACTATCGCCTCGTAGCGCTGTACACTCCAGCCTTCACCCCCGGCTCCGTCGCTGACCATGGCGGCGCCAACGCCGCGGCTAAGGGCAGTCCCCATCGCAGCATGAGCCGCACCAGCTGCAAACCCAGCACCTGCACCCTGCGGCTCCGGCACCCCCATAAGCACCAGAGGAGCGTCCATGTGCCACTCGCGAGCAGCACCCGGCGCGGCCGCTGTCCACGATGCTGCTGTTGCCATTAGCGGTGGCAGCAGCGCCTCCTCGCGGCTAACAGCATGCTCGGCTGTACTGCCGCTCGCTTTTTTGGAGACATCCGGTGCGTCGGCGCCAGCAGGCGCATTGCTTTCCGCTGCATCTGCTGGCAGAGCCGTGCGGTCTGGTGAGGCGGTTGACCCGGATGCGTCCTCAAGGCTATTTGGGCAGTGGACTTCGCCGAAGCCACTCGGCAGCAGCTCTCGAGTCCAACAGTTGTCGGGCTGGAGCTTGTAGCAGACACGGTGGCAGCGACCGTCGTCAGCGACAGCCTGAAGGGCGAGTTTGCAAATCGGACGGTCCGGTAATGGTTGTGTTAGCCTGCATTGCGATTGGCGGTGGTGGCAATAAGGTGCACAGATTATGGTATGAAGGGCTCAGCATGCGGCATGGCCCACACATGACAAGACCACCTTAACCCCATGGCGTCATCCAAAAAGAGAGTCTCGTGTATCCCACACGGCAGGCGGTTACCCAGCTTACCCAACACTCCGAGCACAACACACAAGGACACCAAGAGACGAGGAAACGCGACCGCGCTCACCTGGACTGTGATGGAAAAGCCCTCCGGCAACTCCTCACGCCGCAACCCAAGGCTGGCCAGCAGTTGCTCTGGGACCGACAAAACAGACGCCACGCAGTCCAGGGCGGCTTGCAAGGACGCTGCACAGGCGTCGACGGGGGCATAACTGCTGTTAGCGCTTCCATCGCTACTGCCACCGCCGCTGCTGTGGTCAGGCCCGCGTGCGGCAGCTCCCTGGCCCTCGGCAGCAGACCCCGCAGCGGCGGAAGCTGAGGCAGCCGAGGTGAAGAAGCGCATGCCCGCAAGCGTGAAGGATATGCAGATGCTGCCGCGCCGGACGGCTGAATTGAGGACGCACCAGCCCCTGGACATCGCAGTGGTGCCGATGGGAAGAGGAGCAGCCGCAGTGGCAAGTAGGCACCAACCATGTGGGGTTCAGTAGCAGCACCTAGCACGCGTGCTACATCTTCCTCAGTACTCATCTCCATTGCTACCAATGGCCTGCGACAGCCTTGATAGGGCCCCAACCACATTGCATCACAACACTACCAAAAACAGCGTTGAGCCGTACGGCTCCTTACCTTGAAGCAAAGAGCCTGCTTAGATGCGCCTGCCAACCAAGCTGAAGCTGCCCAGGTTCCAGGCCTGCCAAGCGAAGGTGCACCTGGCAGCTGTGAGTAACCGGGCGGTACTGCAACCCGTGTACGGCACCCAAAGCTGCCCACAATGCGTTGTCGTACATGGTTGTACAGCCCAGCAGGCAGGACTCCTTGTCAGTCGGAGCATTGCGCCTGGGGCAAGGGGCAAGGCTGCACTGCTGTAGTTCCGTTTCTTGCTGCTGCCAGCGCGAAACGCCGCAACGCCACCCGCCGCCGTGCTGTTGCTGTCCGCGTCGTGCCAAGCCTTTAACGGTGCTTATGCTGTCCACCCCCTTACGGTCCTGATGCTGCCGCCGGCGACCCGCCACCGCTAGCAACGCGGCCGCCAAGGAAAGGACGCACGCGGTCTGCGTCGAGCCATTAAACAGACCAGGTAAGCCGCTGGGAAGGTAGTGAAGAAACGCATCGCATGCCCAAGGCTTAATTTGGCGGCAGCCTACTGAAACCCAGAATGGAAGCCCAGAAAAGGAGGGTAACGCACACGACTATGTGCCCATACCATGCTGAGGGATACAGACGCGTCTGCAGCTTACCACCAGCAGGACCATGAAGGTGTGAACGCTTGCGCACCGCAGCATGCATGCGTGTCCAGATGAGCCTTCAGCTTGGGCCGCATGTACCAGACATGCCGGCAAGCCGGTAGCCCCCTTAAGTGCTGGCAGCCAGCGCACCCCTAGGAGCCAGCATAGCCCGCCAGATAGAGCAATGATGGTTGGCAAGAAGGCCCACACACCCAAAGGCTTGCAGAGCATGAAAACCGCCTGTGAAGAGGGCACCCGCAGCATCCATGTGAAGGGTGTCTGGTGTACTGCAGAGAATACGTACAAGCCAAAAAGGCTTCGAGCCGCGTAACGAAGCCATGGCTTCGTCAAAAAGACTAAGCCATGATAAGGGCAACTGCGAAGCGTGTAGTGCAACAAGGGGTTCCTAGGAGCGACGCGGGACCCTCCGCGGCTCCGGGCACTGCGTGCTGGGTTCGCTGGATGCGAGATCATTCCTTTGATCGACGCAGCCGAGATCACCCCTTTGATCGACCGATAAACCCTGGCAGCGCGCAAGCCGAAACCTACTGACGACACTGCCATTGTGCACTCCTGCCCCGTAACCGCCTCCTGCCGGCCAGCACAGTCTTATACACTTAACCATGAACTAGTCTTGCAGAGTTATGCAGGGCGACGTCATACGCTTTGGCCGCCCCCTGGGATGGTGTCTACTTCTTGTCTTCCCCTTGGCACATACGCCCTAGCCTTGCCTGGTAGGCACCCGTAGAATGGGATGTTGAAGACCATACGTCCTGTTTCCAGACTAAAGATGCAGTGCGACGCAGAGACGACTTGGTAGAGCCGCTGCAACACCGGTCCAGCTGCGTCCGCGACATAAGAGTACAGAGAGTGCCATAAGAAGGTTGGTCATCTGGGATAAGCGCATGCTTTAAGACTGCGAATATTGTCCGGTAAACCATTCACTTGCTTCCAATTGCCCTTTTCCTTCTACATAGCCTTCGACGCTCTTATGTGACCAATAATATGCTATGAGTTTATGAGAGTATATGTTATGATATTGAAGCTATAGGAGGCTAGAGGTCATCGAGGTCATCGCCAAATCATTTGCCCCATGCAGGAAAGTACTACAAACTACAAAGAAGCAAGTCAGGTAGAGCTTAGTCCAAGCATCTATTTTTATCCCTTACTCTTGCTGATACGTACTAGGTTATACCTCCTCGCGCTTCTGTACCTAGTGCCTTCGAACCCGACAGAGACAATGAGCGCACAGGGGACAGCTTTGCAGAACCACAACAACGAGCTTGTAAAATGTAGGATATGAATGCCTTGTCTACACTGGCTGAGCACGCGGCCTGACGTAGGGGACCTTGCTCATATCTGCAGGCATTGAGGACCTTCGGGAGAAACGCGAGGAGATCATTAAGCAGCTTCGAGAGGATGATGCGGAGAAGGCAAAAATTACGCAGGACTTACAAATTCTGACAAAGCGCTTGGCACAAGTCAACGAGTCTATCGCGCGCAAGGTGCGATGGCAAGGGTAGTCTCTAACATTGCTTGTTGATCTGTTAACGGCTTTGCCCTTAGTTGAATCTAGCTTACACGTGCGCCAACTGTTAGGGACTGTCGCTCCATATGCTTTAGCGGCCATTCACCTTCTTGGGCCCCGCCTTCACGGTGTTCGTGTTCAGCAGCGTGGTTTCGCTGTTCCGCAGCATCGTGCTTGTCATCTCATGCATAAGCAACATATTTGAAGCTTGGGCAGGCTCCGACAAGAGTGCGAACCCTGTGGCTCGTGAACCCTGAGGGCAGTCTATGCACAAGCGCCTGATCAAATTATCGGGCTTACCAAAACGCCATATCACGCTGCCGAAGTTTGGCAATAACAGCCTCTTGCCACGTCAGGTGCACAAAGAAGCATCTGTTTAGCAAAACATCTAGCCACGGCGTGCCTGTGCAAGACGTGGTTTGGCAACTTTCGTGAAAACCCCAGATAAGGGGAACGGTTGTACTTAGGCTCATACCCGAAGCATGTCATCATCCATGTCGGCCAAGTCTTGGCGGTTGGGACGCCCTGTTATCGTGCTAAGGGCCAGGAGTGCCTGGGTCAACCCAAAGGATCCTCGCTTAACCATCGCCATGTCATCCTCCATAGCTCACATTACGACGTGTGCCGCCCACCTTTGCGCCTTCCTCAGACTGAGACCAAGAACGAGTACGACAAGGTGATCAGCGAGACGGAAGCAGCATACCTGAAGATCTTGGAAAGCTCCCAGACGTTGCTGACCGTGCTCAAGCGGGAAGCTGTCAACATTGCCAAGAAGAAGCAGGCGAGCTCCTAAGCTCGTGGGATGAGAATGTCCATGGGAGCAAGCGTGCGTTGGGAAAGCGACCGCAGGGCATTTTGCGCGCGGACCCACGGGGCTGTGCGAGTCGCGTGCGGTAGCAAGGGCCGCTATTCATCGGTGTTCGATTAATGTTTGCGTGTTTCAAGGAGCATGGCAATGGCTTGGCCAAATAGGCCGTGTTCCAGGACACTGCTGTTGCAAAGAGGATGATTGTAGTGAGCTTGGCTCATGACATAGGTGGCGGTCACTTAAGGGAGTGCTGGTCATACTGGTCAGATAAATAGCTGGGGTTTCTGGCCATTCTTGCGACAATGACCGGTAACAGACTGACTGAAATACCTGCACAAGGCGTACATGCCTTTCTTTAGAGTGACGTTCAATGACAAGTAGAACTGCGTGACGCTTATGGGGAGGCTCTGCGCCTATACTGCGTGATTGTGCGCCAGGCTAGCAACCTCCTGGCAAGCCTGAGTGGCACTAGGGTGGTGGGTTTTTTTGAGGTTTGGAGGGAAGGTGAATGGCCGGGAACACTAGGAGGAAATTGAAGGGACACGGGAAAGTGAGGTGTAACCTTGGCGTGGCTTTGTTGTTGTACGAACCAACCGAAAAATGGCGGGGAGGCCTATAGCAACTCGGTAGTAGCAAGCCTAGCAACCTCCAAGAGACGTTTCCACTTCCATCGCACATGAAGAGCCTTTGCTTTCCGTTATGGCTCGAACTACGACGTACGGCATAGGCACTGTGCCGTACATGGCGCATGCAGGTTTCTAACCAATATCAGCAATTCAAATGGGTCGCCAATGTCCAGGTGAGGCCTCCATCGCACGCGAGCAGCACGCCATGCAAAGCATGTACCTTGCCGTACGAAATAACGTCCAAACGTCCACGATGGTCCAAGCAATGTTCACGCCACCCCAACGTTTCCAACCCTGCATTCGCCCGGTCGCTTCTGCGGCGTTTAAGCAGTCGTTTAGCTAACCGCATCACCGTTACGCCAAAACACATTAAATATACGTGGTTCCTTATTTAGGGTTTCTAAGCAGTTTTGCCCATGCAGATCAATTTCAGGGAGATCTGAAGGGAAACGCGCACATGCAACCTGCTACTTGTAATCGCACGTGACCCATGTCCTCACTTTGACCTCCGCTTTGTGACATCGTGCAATTAATGTCCAACAACCAGCAACAAGCCCCATATGGCAGCAGCCTCACATACGGCGCGCGCCATGCAATCCTGATGTGGTGTCCGAGCTATCGGTATGTCCCGGTGTTTGTCAGTATCCTCAGTGCAGCAGCAGAGAAGTCACGCAGTCACGCAAGGGCTGTTAAGCAATGACGTGTTATTGTTCCCGCATTCCTCGCTACCAGTTTGCCCTCCGCTGTTCCGGCAGTTCCAGGTAGCTGAGCGCCGGGCACTTGTCGTACCAGCGCTGGTAGGTGGCCGCCGCCTCGCCCTGCATCCCAACCACCTCAACCAACCGATCCAACCAGAACACCGGCATCACCTCCCGCTGCAACCGCCGCAGTACGGACTCGGCGTTGAGGCGCAGCAGGTCGGCGTACGGCACGCGTTGGGGCTCCGTGTTGCCCGCAGCAGGGGGCAGCGGGGCAGTCGTGGTGGTGTCCTGAGGGAAGAGGTGCCAGACACCCAGACGTGATGTCAGCAGCCCAGACGGGAACAAGGGGATAGGAGAACGCACAAACATGGACGGATAGGGCTGGGTCGGCTCCTTGGGTGGCCAACTCTTATGCTCAAGAGGTCTGCTGCTCTTGCACGGCGCTGGGTGCTTTTGCACCTACTGCACCTTCGCAAGCGCACTGCACGCATGCAAGCATGCCACAGGATTACCGAGCGAACGCCGAAGACAACAACCACGATAGCGAATAACGACATCACACAGGCATAGATTAGGATACTCATAGGGAAATGCACGTGTGAAAACCCCGCATGTCCTCACCTCCCCAAGCACAAGGGTGCTGTTTGACGGCGGTGCCGCCCTAGATCCGTTGGTCAGGTGGTGGAACTCCACAGCCAGCATGCCGCGGCCCACCTCGGCGCCACCGAGCCGCCGGTTGCAGATGCAATCTGGGTCGGATGGGGTTGGGAGGAGCGAGGGTAAAGATGAGGGCTCACTGGGGGTTTGCCAAAGAAAGCTGCACGGGACAGCGTCATGCGCACGCAGCATGCTACCAGTAGTGCTACAAGTGTTGCACCCGCCCCCTGCAAGCGCACCGCACCCACCTGCATGCGCGAACCCCGGCCACTCGCACTTCAGCTGCTCCAGCGAGTCGCCAAAGGGCTGCACCTGGTAGTTGACATCCAGGTAGCTGCTCCAGGGAATGGAGTGCTGCAGCGGCCGCTGCGTAGTGTTGCGAACTTGGGGGAGCAAAGCCTGTGGCAGCGAGTGGGGGTTACGAGGGCGGACGAGGGAGGTGAGCAAGTAAGAACGTAGGCCGCCGCAAACGAATTCCGGGTCGTACTCCACCCGCGCTAGAGCCCTCGATCGACCGGATGTCCTCGAGCAACTCACCCAGCCGCTGTCGCACGGCACCGCGGGCCAGGCCGCAATGGCCCCCAGCGTCACTGCCACTTGGGCGAGCCCTTGAGCCGCACGGATGAACTGCTCCTTGCCTGAAACAGTACGGCAAGTACGGCACACGTGACCGTATATGGGACACGAGAAGGGATCAACAGAGGCTTGCGGATTCATGAATTAAAGAGGCCGGGCGCAACCCCATACTAGTCACCATGCACATTGTATGATATGCTGCGATTGGCAGCAACGAGGAATGCATGTGGTGGCTAGCTTTGCATAAACTCATGCATACAACCATGCATGCGTTACCGAAGCATAAGGGTTGCAGCTACAAGCTAGGAAAAGCGGCAACAACTCACTCATGGCGGCGTGTATGACGCCGGGTGCGAAGGCCACAACGGTGCGAACCTCCGGAACATGGTGGTGGCTTGTACTTGTCGAGCCGGGGAGTGGCTGGTTGGTCAAGTAGACCCGTGGCCGGCTCCGGGCAACCCTGGTGGCAAGTACGGCGGGTGCATAAGTAGATGGGTTGCGGCAATGGTTTGTCCGCTCACAACCCAGCATCATAGCAGCCTTCACCACGCTTTGAATGGGGCCCCGGGCCTTACCAGCTGTGTCCATCCGGCAAAGCACTATCCCCTTCCTCGGTTAGGATCCTCCCCTCATGCTGCTGGCCCTTGGCTATCGCCATAGCAACCTTTCACTTGACGCCCAACCTACCTGGCCGCTACACGCCAGTCGTAGTGTCCTGTCAACATCAGCACCATCTCCTTTTGGAAGTCCCCAGGGAAGAGCCGGGCCCAAATGTGGCCCATGGCGACTTTGGGAGCAGTGGAGTTCCCCAGCAGGTGTGTGTGCCACCAGCCGTGGCGACCCACCATCCACCAACTGCTCTCCGCCCAACACCCCGTGCAGTCCCCATCCGCCCCTGCAAGGTTTGGATACGGTATTAGTGCAAGCATGCATGAGCCAAACAATAGTCAAAGTATGTCGTGCCAGAGTTGCTCGAAGGGGAGCAGCAGGAACTCCCAACCATGCAGCTGTGTATGGTGTTATGAACGCCAACCCTCTGGTTCATGGTCATGCGAGCAATTATGCGTGCATGCACGGGCATGCAAAGGGAGCAAGTGGCAAAAAGGCAGGGGCGTGCATGCTTGTCTGGGGTGTTGGGGGGGGGTAACTGGGTGCGAGCAGTTACTTAAAACATGCATGCATGGGGGCGGTAATGCGGGCAGTTACTTGGTTGCAGGACATCTGTCGTATCTATCGTGCTTACTTCGATGCGCCAGGTAGCCGAACTTCTCGGTCTGTATGGCCCGAGCAGCCGCCTCCGTGGCAGGGTCATCTGGGTCGGGAGGAAGCGGCACGCCTGCGGAATGGTGCGATAGGGAGGTAGCAGGGGGGCGAATGAAGCCGACCCATGAGGGTTGGAGGTAACATAAAGTATTGGAAATGGCAGGGTGTGTGGGGCTAACCAAATTTCAGTGGTTTCTAAAGGTATCCAAGGCTGGATGGTTGGCATAGGGTCTAGCCACGACCAACTATGCAACTGTGTGGTTCATGGCAAACGGGTGTGTCGGGTTAGAACACGCCTTGCGAAGAGCAACGGTAACTGCCGTAACTTACCCAAATCGGCAAAGGCGCGCCGGAAGGCGGCCGTACGAGGCCCGATCTGCCGGTTGAAGGGGTACCTAGGAGAAATGCGTGAGGCAAGACAGGTAAGCCGTGTGTTAGCTGTCTGTAATACGGTTTGAAAGGGTTGCGTGACATCCATGACACCAAGCTGGCTTGTGCGTACCAGCAGGCACTCGCATGCAGTTAGCCGAGTATTTTTAGGGCAACCTGCGCGCTGACCCCACACTGGTTGCACTCTTACCCGCCGAGTTTCAAAGGCCAGCTGCCGCCTACGGGTACAGGTTTCCGCAAGGGGCAGTGTCTCACAAGCAGAAGAAGCGTAACCATGTAAATCAAAAGCAAACGTGTAGCAACAACAACAATCGTACAGCCGTACGGGTACGACAGTACGACAATCACGACACGCATCGCAAACACAAGGCAAGAAGTGCCTTCCCAAATGCATGTTACTCCAAGCTCACCGCTATGTGGCGCTTTAAGGATAGCTGAAGAGATGATAACCGCTCCTTCAATTGTCGTGTTACACCTGGCGTCCATGTAATGTTCACACACGGCTTTCGCCAGCTCTCCTTGCACGGTATGGTTCTATGGGAAATGGAAAAGGCGCGAAATATTACCAAAAGTTGAGCAGGTTAACATTTCAGGGCCAGGGCTTAAGTTGAAAGCAACACAAAAGCCAAGAGGCAGTAACACATCTACCCATATGCTGTTGCAAGGAGTCAGAGGCGTATCTTACTTGAAGGTGGTACCATATCTCGAAGACGGGAGTCATAATGTCAGCATATAACTGCAGGGCAAACGTAGGAGGGTTACAGCTCACTCTTTGCCAAGTTGAACGTTCAAACCCATTTTCGAGGTGTATACAGCCCACTCGCCAAGGAGTTACGAAAGCCACAGCCCAGCGCGCGCCTTTAGATGCCTTGCACTCATCAAGGGACTTGCTGACCCATGGGTCGGGAACCAGAGACGGGCCCGCACCTGTTTCTCTGTCGTACCCAGCTTCTCGTACGCCTCCTTTTCATTGCCGTACATGTACAACAACGACGGATAGATGGGCCTCCCGAGCGCTGCGCTGTATACGCATTCCTGCAGCATCCCCTGGTCGTCAATACGAAGACCGCGCTTTTCCCCTGCACATCACGGGGAAGTATCGACTGCATGAGCGATAGCTGACAGGTTCTGCACCCGATACGACAGTACGGCATTTGTGCAAAGGTCCGCAGGTGTTCGCGCGAGCCCAGACAGAGGATGAAGCACGTGACCATGACATGACCCAACTTACTGTATCGGGCTGATGTGTTCTGCAGGACTGAGTCGTCCTCCGTCCATCGCACTGCCGGGGTAAGGAGGGAGCTAGAGGTCAGGTGGGCCAAGAAGGTCTAAATATAGTTTTCATGTTAAGATTGGAACATACAAACGCATCAAGGCATTGCATGCACAAGCCCCTAGGCGACATACAGCCAGAGGCCCGGTACAGCCGCCGGACCCCCTCCGCTACCCCGCCCATGAGCCGCCACCCCACAGCACGCACCCACGCGGTGAAGGGCCTCATACAGGAGCCACGACACGGGTCCGTTCGGTGCGGCATTCTGGATGTAGCTGAAGCCGCCGTTGAAGGACAGCCCACGCTCGTTCTGGCTCAGCATGTTGTACTGGCTGAGCGGCGGCTGCTTCACTCGCCAGTACCTAAGTGGCAAGCACACAGGTAAGTGCAACCTCTGCACTCATACATGTTGATGAATATGTTTAAATACAGTTACCGCTCATCATCATCAGCGTCAACATCAGCACCAGCAGCTCACCAGTCATCCAGCACCAGCACGTCCTGCGGGGTGCATGTGTGGAGGGGGGGGGTCAGGGGCCGCAGCAGGTCAGCAGCACGTGTCGGAATGTGCGGGGTCTCGACCCTATTTTATTAGTAGGAGCGGTAGCAAGACATCGGCAATCCTAAACCATACGTTGATACATGCCGGTCCCAGACCCGCAGCCATCAGTGCTACTTTGCCCAAAGCTAGGCCCCTGCTGCGGTATTACCCCACACCTACAACCGCATACAACCGCACTCACCGAGTCCACGGCCATGACGTTGTACCCCAGGGCCACGGCTCTAGCTGCAGGAGGGAGGTGGGGTATGAGGTAAAGGTGCATGGGCGGATAAGGGGCTGGGCTGGGCGATGGTACCGTTGGCAGAACACCGGTCACCGGACAAGCTGGTAGCGATGGCAAACACCTGAGCAGCAAAACAAGCCGCAAGCTTTCCGAGGTGGGCATATGTCGTAAGGGATGCCCAAAGTCACTGCCTCCGTGGGGCTGTCACCCGCCCCACATACAACTAAGCTGGGTGCAGGGCTTACTCTAGCTTCTCATCAGCAGCACCCAACAGCAAGCATGCAAGTGGGTGGGCAACCGCAACCATACGCACCCACAACCATGAACTCACGCCACCACGCCATCACGACACAGCGCAGGCAGGTGCAGCTGATGGCACGGATCTCGACATTTACGCCACATGCACTGACATGTAAGCCACATACGCACTAAAGCGACATGCAGGGGAGCAGGTCCCAGGTATATGCATGCAGGTTACACGCACCCACGGTCATCCACTTGCGCCACCATGCCGTCACGCCGATCGGCCGCTCGAAATACTCGAAACGAGCAGGGTAGGGCTCGCCTCTGCAGGAGTGCGGAGGCATGCAGAGGGAGCAGGGGAGTGAGGTGACGATTAGGAGGTGTAGTTAGCTTGTGTGCCAACTGTTTGCCGGCACGGTAGCGATGGCAAAATGTGGGGAAACAGACGCCAACTGGATGCCCCCCTTTCCGCCGAAGGTGGCAGCGTTTAGCCAGCCGCTGTCAACGTGCGGCACGTCGTACGGCACACGTGGTGCAAACCGAGATCAGCGTTAAACAAGCACCACGACGGTGCAAAGCCCCCCATGCAACAATGTGACCGGTGTGTGACCCAAGGCCACGATTCCCACGTTTATTAGGCATGCTTGTTTCCGTGCACAGGCGATCTGCCTCACGTGCCCTGAGTCTACACTTGGTGTTTGCAGCACGCCCGGCGACATCCCCAGCGTTCGTTTATTTGCCCCTTATATTTTCCCCGAAGTCCTTGACGAGGACACACCCATCCCAGGACTGGACGATGATGGCTCTGGCGAAAGCTCACATCCAGTCTTATGTAAATGAAAGCTCACCTTGAGTCTTTTGTAGCGTACGTCCCGCAGCTGATCGGCCCGTCGCTATATAGCCAAGGCACGAAAACGGACCGCACGTATTGGCATTGCAACGGCTCCTCCTGCGAGCGAGCTGGCATGGTATCGGCCGCCCATCTGGAAGTTGAATAGGCATTAATCGTCCACACTCACCATAACCGCAAGCACGTGACCATATCCGGCTCCTCTAAAGCGTGCAAGAGTCTGAGCTGCAGTTGATATGCGAGTATCGGCAAAGACGATGACCTCTTTTTTAAAAGCTGTTGACTCGAGAGCTTTTTGTAGCTGAGCCGCTGTATCTAACGAACCAACGTATCCTTTCAGCTTGCCAGTGGAACAGTATGCGCTCCGCTCGCAGACGCGGGCGGCACTTGACAAGATACATATGGAAAGGAAAGCAGCCGTTCGTAACAAAAGTAGCATCCTTTATTACAGCATCTGTTACAACTCCAACTATGAGAATCTTCAGTAAATTAGTAGAGCAGCCAGTATTCCCTGCCAGTCAGACCGCGATTACAAACGAGTATGAACATAGGGTGGGCATGCAGCGCATAGAATTTAGGCCTACGTTATGTTTAATACATTGTGAGATTAGGACGGACGTAAGAGGCGTTCATATGATACCCATCCCGACCGTTGGAACCGTTCGCGGGCTTCGGCGCACTGGTCACCCGCATGTGAGTTCCGGATGCTAGATGAAAACTTCGAGCACCCGATATTCAATGGAATTTTTTTGTTCGCGACGATCGCTTCTTTACAGAGGGGCTCATTCATCGCCACTGAATCTGACCTGATTGGGCTGGTCTGCTGCGCGGTTTTGTCTGCCTACGTCACACAACTCCCACTCTTTGAACACCGCACTCGCCCCATTCTCTTGCGGTGGGTTGAAGACTGCTATAATCGTCATCCTTGCATTCATAGAAAGCGCACGTAGCAAACCTGGGCTGGGCCGACTCTGCGTTCGTTTTCTTAGGTGCTGCATCTGCCTGTCTACAAGGCCACCTCTTGAGGCGCGGAAGGCATGGGTGCTGGTGGCGGTTTTGGCACCACTACCGGCGGGGCCTGCAGCCACACGGCAGTGTGGCCAACCGGTATCCGCGCATGCGGTGCAGGCAGTGGGCGCGGCATCATTAGCAGCGGAACTTACTGGAGTGCCCCGGTGCTGTTGACCGGTGCTGATAGGGGCAGGATGGCCCGGGCGGATGTTCGACGGCGGCGGACGTTTGTGCATGGTTGACACGCCGCAGCCGCCCTCGTCTTGTCCTTTTTCGTGCTTTGTTCGCCCCAGAATATTTCGTCTCAAAGCCGAGAAGGGGTTCCATGTTGGGATGGATGATGTAAATGCTGTTGCCGCCGCTTATGTGACTCCGCTGAACTGAGATGAGCGAGGAAATGACCAGGAGCGTGAAACATGAGTTTGATTTGGTACATGCGTTAAGAGTGGTAAATGTAGTGTAGCGCAGTGTGATTAGTATTTTGCAGCTGTGGAACACGAGCGGTTGCGCGAACGGTCACAACGGCCGGGAAGGTTTCCCGGGAAATCCTTCTATCCCCACCCAGCTGCCTCAGTATGCTGGAGTACACTCCTTCTTAGTATTGCATTTTGCATCTGTGCTTTAAATGCCTACTTGGGGTCTACCGAACGTGAAGCTTGTTAGCTGCTCGACTACATACTTGACGGGTCTTAATGCATATTCAGTCTCACACACAATTGCTTTTTGAAGAGGATGCTGCGTTTGTTGTGCACGACCGCTTTCCTTTCCTTATGTATTTTGTCAAGTGCCGCCCGTGTCTGCGAGCGGAGTGCATACTGTTCCACTGGCAAGCTCAAAGGATACATTGGACCACTAGATACAGCCGCTCAGCTAAGAAAAGCTCTTGAATCAACAGCTTTTCAACAAGAGGTCATCGTCTTTGCCGATACTCGCATATCAAGTGCAGCTCAGGCCATTGCACGGTTCAAAGGAGCAGGCTATGGCCACGTACTTGCGGTTATGGTAAGTGACCATATTATCTGCCAGGCTTCCATTTGGGCGGCTGACACAATGCTCGCGCGCAGGAGGAGCCGTTGCAATGCCAACACATGCGGTCCGTTTTTGTCCCTTGGCTTTACAGCGACGGACCAATAAGCTGTGGAACGTACGCTATGAAGGACTCTAGGTAAGATGCAGTTGCCACAGCCAACATGGTAACGCCGAGGAATTTCCAAGGCGGTATTTGGTAGATGCACTTTAGGAGTTGGGTTCCACAGCCCGTAAGAAGAATTCTTTGCAAGTTTTCGAAGCGTGTTCCAGGTGCCCCAAGCGCAGCCGTGTTTAGCGGGCCACCGTGATTGCATTTTGCTTGGGTGATGTATGGTGACTCGGTGCATCGGCAATAATCACCCGAAGGAATGGTAACACTAGCGTGGGCCAACATAATGGTACACAAATGTATATGACGCCGCTAAACCATGTTTGCCCGAGCTTAGCTTGCCAACACTTTCCGACATTTCGGGAGTCGATTGCAAATAGAACTCCTCGCAGACAGCGCGTCATGTAAGTAGGGATATCGGGATACGTACTTGATGCACCAAAAAAGACTACTGTTGCGGACTTCTTTCGAAAGTCCGTATATATATGTACGACGGCTGCGCTGTCATTATAACGTTCCTGTATTCTTTCACAGGCGCGTCATTTTATAAGCATAGTGCTCAATGGTGGATGATAAACGTGTGCCGTACAAACCCACTGGGCCCACTAGACTTGCGACGGGTGATGCTACCGGTACCTTTGATGAAGGGGGCCATCCACTCGATGCCTGTTTATCCGCGTGCCCTCGCGACCTTCAGCCATACTGGCTCGCAAATTGCAGACAAGCTGCAATGCACAATCCAGCCTCCTGACTAGCAACTCACTCCATTGCTCCTCCGCATCCCTCCGCCGCGCAGTGGCGAGCCCTACCCTGCTCGCTTCGAGTACTTCGAGCGGCCAGTCGGCATGATTGCTTGGTGGCGCAAGTGGATGACCGTGGGTGCGTAGAGCGAGCATGTGCTTGAGGCCGACTGGGAACCCCGGCCTCGAGATCCGTGCCACCAGCTGCACCTGCCTGCGCTGTGTCCTGATGGCGTGGTGGCGTGAATGCATGGTTGTGGGTGCGTGTGGTTGCGGTTGCCCACCCGCTTGCATGCTTGCTGTTGGGTGCTGCTGATGAGAAGCTAGAGTAAGCCCTGCACCCAGCTTAATTGTATGTGGGGCGGGTGACAGTCCCACGGGTCAGAAATGTAGGGCATCCCTTATGGCATATGCCCACCTCGGCTTGTTGTTGTGCCAGCGTGTTTGCCGGCGCTATTATCTTGTCCAGTGACAGGTGTTCTGCCACATAAACGTGCAGGTTTTACTCGCACATGCACCTTTACCCCATACCCCACCTCCCTCCTGCAGCTAGAGCCGTGGCCCTGGGGTACAACGTCATGGCCGTGGACTCGGTGAGTGCGGTTGTAGGTGTGGGGTAATACCGCAGCAGGGGCCAAGCTTTGGGCAAAGTATCACTGATGGCTGCGGGTCTGGGACCGGCATGTATCAATCAACGTATGGTTTTGGTTTTGATACCGCTCCTACGAATAAAATAGGGTTGAGACCCTGCATATTCCGACACGTGCTGCTGACCTGCTGCGGCCCCTGACCCCCCCCACACACATGCACCCCGCAGGACGTGCTAGTGCTGGATGACTGGTGAGCTGCTGGTGCTGATGTTGACGCTGATGCTGATGAGCGGTTATGCCATTGATATGAGCGGTGGTCAGCAGCATGCGCAGTAGTAGGAAGAAGGGAAGGGCCGGCGGGTGTCATTGTTATGCGCTGACATGGAGGTCTTGGGGCCTCTGCGCCACATGGCCTGGTGTCCGTGCCGGCATCTGGGCTACTGCCTTTCCACCGGTGCACGCATGGCAAGGTTGCATGCATTTGTGTCAAAGGGTTAACAGCATACCTGTGTGCTTGCCACTCAGGTACTGGCGAGTGAAGCAGCCGCCGCTCAGCCAGTACAACATGCTGAGCCAGAACGAGCGTGGGCTGTCCTTCAACGGCGGCTTCAGCTACATCCAGAATGCCGCACCGAACGGACCCGTGTCGTGGCTCCTGTATGAGGCCCTTCACCGCGTGGGTGCGTGCTGTGGGGTGGCGGCTCATGGGCGGGGTAGCGGAGGGGGTCCGGCGGCTGTACCGGGCCTCTGGCTGTATGTCGCCTAGGGGCTTGTACATGCAATGCCTTGATGCGTTTGTATGTTCCAATCTTTGTTGCCTCAGGGGTCAGGGCCACGGCGGCTATAGGAGCAGCAGTTGGATAGGGGCTGTTACGGTGGTTAACTGCATTTTAACAAAATTGCCTTGGATGTTTCGCTGTATTGCCGTGTGTGGTGTTGGTGAGCCATTCGCTCGCGGCTTAGCAGGAATACAGGACTGGTTAAAAGCCGTCCATTTAAACCTGTTTTGCCCCCCTGACCTCTAGCTCCCTCCTTACCCCGGCAGTGCGATGGGCGGAAGACGACTCAGTTCTGCAGAGCACATCAGCCCAGTACCGTAAGCTGGGTCATGCCATGGTCACGTGCTTCATCCTCTGTCTGGGCTCGCGCGAACACCTGCGGACCTTTGCACAAATGCCGTACTGTCGTATCGGGTGCAGAACCTGTCGGCTATCGCTCATGCAGTCTTTACTTCCCCGTGATGTGCAGGGGAAAAGCGCGGTCTTCGTATTGACGACCAGGGGATGTTGCAGGAATGCGTATACAGCGCAGCGCTCGGGAGGCCCATCTATCCGTCGTTGTTGTACATGTACGGCAATGAGAAGGAGGCGTACGAGAAGCTGGGTACGACAGAGAAACAGGTGCGGGCCCGTCTCTGGTTCCCGACCCATGGGTCATCCCTTGACGAGTGCAAGGCGTTGACAGGCGCGCGCTGGGCTGCGGCACTACCGGTTCTTGTATAATGTCATAATGGTATGAAGTGCCTGAACCCTTTTACGTTTACCTTGCAGATGTATGACCACATGCTAAATCCCGTCTACCAGAGTTGGCACGATTACGAAGTAAGCTACGGCATCAACGGCTTCCTGATGTTCAGGGGTATGGGGGGTAGAAGTGTCACTGCATCTGGGCTTTTGCGCTGCTTCCACCAACAGTCTGGGCCCTAAAATGCGAGCTGCTTATCTTTTGGTAACATTTCGCGCCTTTTCCACTTTTATAGAACCATACCGTGCAAGGAGAGCTGGCGAAAGCCGTGTGTGAACATTACATGGACGCCAAGTGTAACACGACAGTTGTAGGAGAGGTTATCATCTCTTCAGCTATCCTTAAAGCGCCACATAGCGGTGAGCTTGGAGTAACATGCATTTGGGAAGGCACTCATTGCCTTGTGTTTGCGATGCGTGTCGTGGTTGTCGTACTGTCGTACCCGTACGGCTGAACGATTGTTGTTGTTGCTACAAGTTTCCTTTTGATCTACATGGGTACGCTTCTTCTGTGTGTGAGACACTGCCCCTTGCGGAAACCTGTACCCGTAGGCGGCAACTGGCCTTTGAAACTCGGCGGGTAAGAGTGCAACCAGTGTGGGGTCAGCGCGCAGGTTGCCCTAAAATACTTGGCTAACTGCATGCGAGTGCCTGTCCGTACAAGCCAGCTTGGTGTACTGGATGTCACGCAACCCTTTCAAAACGTATTACAGACAGCTAACATAAGGCTTACCTGTCTTGCCTCACGCGTTTCTCCTAGGTACCCCTTCAACCGGCAGATCGGGCCTCGTACGGCCGCCTTCCGGCACGCCTTTGCCGATTTGGGTAAGTGTGTCATGGCCGGCAGCCGGGGTTGTTCGCATACGTGTTCCAACCCGGCACCCGTAGCTATTTTACCTCACTAAGTCACCTGGCCGCAATATTGCAGCAATTGTTGTGCACGGTTAGAGACAGTTGTGCTTTTTTGCACCCCCTCCACAGGGTGTCGGCCAGTTTTCTTAACACGGATGTCATGCCCAATCGCCGGCTTGGAGACCTGAAGACACTGGGGTGCGGACGCAAGGACACGTGCACAAGTCGAGAATACCCGTCTTGCCCTCGAATGCACGAGCCATTAACGGGGCACGACACGGCAACATCACTATCTGTACACGCCACTAACAAAAATAGCCCTTTTAGCGAGTGTTGCCTCTGCACGCACAGCAGCCACTCCCTTTGCCGGATCCATGGCGTATCCAACCCCCATGGGTAGGCTTCATCCTCCTCCATGGTACTTCCCTACCGCCTCCTGGAATCATTTCTTTTACTTTATCCATGTTACCTCCAACCCTCATTTGCCCCCTTGCTTCCCTGCCGCCACCTGGAACGGCACTCCCCCGCAGGCGTGCCGCTTCCTCCCGACCCAGATGACCCTGCCACAGAGGCGGCTGCACGGGCCATACAGACCGAGAAGTTCGGCTACCTGGCGCATCGAAGTAAGCACGATAGATACGACAGGTGTCCTGCAACCAACTGCCTGCATTGCCGCCCCCATGCATCCACCCAGTTGCCATCCTCTGGTATACACGCCCCTGCTGCCTGTTTGCCCCTTGCTCCCTTTGAATGGGCATGCTAGGGGATTATCCGCTCATTGCACGTTACCCAACCGCACGGTTGGCTCTTCCTCCTCCCTTTCCTAAGCTCTCCACGACATACATGACTGCTGCTGTTTGGCTCATGCGTCCAGCCATGATTGCACTTAAGACCTACAGTATTATTCGTATCCAATGTTGCAGGGTCGGATGAGTACTGCACGGGGTGTTGGGCGGAGAGCAGTTGGTGGATGGTGGGTCGCCACGGCTGGTGGCACACACACCTGCTGGGAAACTCCACTGCTCCCAAAGTCGCAATGGGCCATATTTGGGCCAATCTGTTCCCAGGCGATTTTCAAAAGGAAATGGTGTTCATGTTGACGGGACACTACGACTGGCGTGTAGCGGCCAGGTAGGTTGGTGGGTCGAATGCTGCAATAACATTTGTATGAGGGACTGAACTATGGATAACTATGATGAATGGGCACAGCGGGTATAATGCGGACCCAATGCCACGCCGTGTCTTCTTGCACTGTAGAGTTGTGTGTGAGTTACCGCACCCGCATTCGACTACTTCGTGAAAGGGTAGCAGCATTCATTCATCATGCACCCGCCGTACTTGCCACCAGGGTTGCTCGGAGCCGGCCACGGGTCTACTTGACCAACCAGCCCTTCCCCGGATCGCCATTTACTGCACACCAACATGTTCCGGAAGTTCGAACCGTTGTAGCCTTCGCACCCGGCGTCATACACGCCGCCATGAGTGAGTTGTTGCCGCTTTTCCTAGCTTGGAGCCGCGAATTACAGCAACTCTGCTGCTGCATCCGTGACCCCTGCCTGGCTGTGTGCCTGACTGTGTTATTGCGTTGCGAAGTCAACTTCACGCGTATCTCTTGTCAACTGCGGCGTGTCGTGCAATGCGTATGATGTCCCATATACGGTCCTCGTGTCCCATATACGGTCACGTGTGCCGTACTTGGCGTACTGTTTCAGGCAAGGAGCAGTTCATCCGAGCGGCTCAAGGGCTCGCCCAAGTGGCAGTGACGCTGGGTGCGATTGCGGCCTGGCCCGCGGTGCCGTGCGACAGTGACTGGGTGAGTTCATGGGGGACGTCCGACCGATTGAGGGCTCCAGCGCGGGTGGAGTACGTTCCGGAATTCGTTTGCGGCGGCCTACGTTCTCACCTCCCACCTCCCTCGTACGCCCTCGTAACCCCCACTCGGTGCCACAGGCTTTGCTCCCCCAAGTTCGCAACACTACGCAGCGGCCGCTGCAGCACTCCATTCCCTGGAGCAGCTACCTGGATGTCAACTACCAGGTGCAGCCCTTTGGCGACTCGCTGGAGCAGCTGAAGTGCGAGTGGCCGGGGTTCGCGCATGCAGGTGGGTGCGGTGCGCTTGCAGGGGGCGGGTGCAACACTTGTAGCACTACTGGTAGCATGCTGCGTGCGCATGACGCTGTCCCGTGCAGCTATCTTTGGCAAACCCCCAGTGAGCCCTCCTCTTCGCCCATGTCCCAACTCCACCCGACCCAGATTGTATCTGCAACCGGCGGCTCGGTGGCGCCGAGGTGGGTCGCGGCATGCTGGCAGTGGAGTTCCACCACCTGACCAACGGATCTAGGGAGGCGCCGCCTTTGGAAAACATCCTTGTCCTCGCGGTGAGGAGCTTGGGGATAAGGATAACTCTCCTGAGCATAAGACTTGGCCACCCAAGGGGCCGACCCAGCCCTATCCATCCATGTTTGTGCGTTCCTTCTGTCCCCTCGTTGGCTTCTGGGCTGCTGACATCACGTCTGGGTGTCTGGCACCTCTTCCCTCAGGACACCACCACGACTGCCCCGCTGCCCCCTGCTGCGGGCAACACGGAGCCCCAACGCGTGCCGTACGCCGACCTGCTGCGCCTCAACGCCGAGTCCGTACTGCGGCGATTGCAGCGGGAGGTGATGCCGGTGTTCTGGTTGGATCGGTTGGTTGAGGTGGTTGGGATGCAGGGCGAGGCGGCCGCCACCTACCAACGCTGGTACGACAAGTGCCCGGCGCTCAGCTACCTGGAACTGCCGGAACAGCGGAGGGCAAACTGGTAGCGAGGAATGCGGGAACGAATGCGGCGGGAAACAGCGCTTAGGTAGGGTCTGATACCGGCACCTACGGGGTAGGCACCTGTGTAATAGGCGCCGGTCAGGGTATACGAAAGGTCTTCCAACAAGACATGTCCCAGCCACATGCGTGCATTGGGCCTATAGGGCTTCGAAATCCAACGTTATGGTGCGTTAGGAAGCCTGCGATCCAGAAGAGCTTGCTTGGTCCTACCTTTCCCTCCATTATGTGTCCCGGGCAGTCCTGTAAAGTCAAGTTGGCAAACAGTCTGCGTCCAGTCTTGCTGTGCAGTGTTGCGAAATTGTGACCCACGGGTCATTGACCACGACCGGTTTTAATACCATGTATTACCAGTAATGGGCACGAACGTCATATATGTCCCCAAAGCTCACACGCCACGCCTGTGTTTTGCCTACAAAACTCATCTCTGGCATCGTCTACGTGTCGCCCTCAGGAAAAGCCTCTGATGAGGTTCCTTTGCCTGATGGAATCCGCCGTACAGAGATCCCCTAACGCACCTTGGCATTGCTCGCCATGCATCCCTGCACTGCCGCAATGCTCGCACGCCTCACTAGGTTCGGTTGCAGGCGCATTGAACCCATTAATGCGGTTGAACAAGGTCACACATGGTCCGAAAGACACGTTCATAGTACCGTATCTTTCCCACCAGGTCACAGCAGGCCGCTGCAGCGCAAAAGTTATTACCCATGTGAGCCCAGGTGTGAGTCATCAACGTATCCTCCTCCTCACCTGTGGTCCTGGCCCCAACCTGGCGGCCTCCTCGTCCTTGTAGAAAACGCCGCCATGGTGTATGTCGCTCGGCTGCTGCACCCTTCACCCCACGACCCCAGCTAGCCCCGGCCTCCAGCCATGCATACCCAACTTTTTATTTCACGTTCCTTTTACGGGGTCGGCGGGACTTGCTCGCAAAGCACGTAGCTGCTGCTGCAGTAATGGCTGTAGATAGCTGTACCTCAAACTGCTTATTGACGCATGGAACAGCGGGCGCTGCTTAACTACCGTACCCATGAAATGCTACATCCTGCTGTAGCTACAGCCTGGTCTGAGCCCGGGCAGCTGCCCTCTCAGCCTCCTTGTCCCAGCGGATGAAGGCACAGATGGCTCCGTACGCCACGGCCTGTAGGCGGGAAGAAAGGGGAAAGCAACCAGCAGTTGCATTTCAGCCCAGTTCAGCCCTCGAGCTTTCCTCAGGCCATCTTCGCCATCACACCCTCCGCAGCTCCCAGGTAGCTTGACAGCCCCCCAGCGTGCCCTTATTGACGAACCCTTCCAACCCCCGCCTACACAGCACGCCACCCACAACCTGACCCACCGCCCAGCCCTAACAGCGACCCCAAACCTTGTCACTCTCGCCTACCCTAGTCCTGCTTTGGTCTGGTTCCTTGACCCACCCCTTTCGGCCCCCCTTCGCCCCCCCCCACATCGCCCCCACCTACCTGCAGCATGGACCCCACCAACATGCCCGCCCACATGCCCACCACGCCCAGCCCCCGCCGGAAGGCCAGCCACAGCGCCAGCGGCACTGCCAGGCCGTAGAACACCAGCAGGTTGGTGTAGGAGCCGTGCAGCTGCTTGCCAGCACCCTGGTGCGTGCGGAGGACCACATGTATGCGGGTGGGGCTGGAGCAGCGTGCGCACTCCGCAACGCAAACTGAGATGGAGCTGGTGTTGGGCTGGTGACCACGCTCTTGCCCCCGCCACCCCCTCCTGTCTCCCACGTTGTTGTTGTTGTTGTCGCCCAGTTGCCTCCCACTCCTTGCACGTTGCAGTACTCGTAATCATGCATGTGTGGATCGGCCTACAAGCCCTCCAACATGCCCTGCATCTCCCATGACACCCCACCACACCAGCCCACCCCCCACCCCCCCATGACATCACACCACACCAGCCCACCCCCCACCCCCCCATGACATCATATATATTTTTTACCCCCCCATGACACCACACCACACCACACCAGCCCACCACACCAGCCCCCCCCATCACACCACCCCCACGCACCTCCACCACGCCCGTCAGTATGGTCTGGGTGCCATCAAACAGCGTCACCGCCGCCACCAGCGCCATCAGCGGCCGCAGCAGCCCCAGCAGCTCTGCATCCCGACTGCTGGTGAACACGGAGATGACTGCGGAGGCACACAGCGTGTGTGCATGGAGCCGGTGCGTGCGCGCGACAAGGCATGCACACTACAAGTTATATCTCACTCCTTGATTCAGGGGGCTGCTGCCGCAGCAGAGGAAAGCAGGCTCGTCACCAACACTCAAGGACCCCACCTGCCGCCCTGCAGTGGGGTTCCAGCAGCAGCGGCGCCGCTGTGCAGCCCCACAGCAGCGGGGCAACCAGGGAGGAGGCAAGAGCGGCCGTGCGGGCGGCACGCCCGTCACCTGCGCGTGCGTGGGTGCGTGCGTGAGTGAGTGAGAGTGTTAAGGAAACTGGCAGCGAGTCGGGACGTCCTGTGAGTGAGTGAGTGGGTAAGTGAGAGCCTGTAGGTGCCGACGGGCCATGCACGAGCAGCACGCGCGCAGGCATGTATGCATGCAGATATGCAGGTATGGTGAGTAAGTAGGTACGTAGGCACGTGTGATGGTAGACCAGCACTAGCATCCCATGGCATGGCGGGGACAGGGCTCGTCGGGGTTGGGAAGTGGGTACGGTACGGTAGTGGGTAGTGGGTACGGCTGGGTGCGTGGAAGCATCCTTTCCTGCTGGGGAAAAAAGCGCCCCACATGGCGCCGTACGCCATCCCAAGGGGCCCATCTATCCAACAGCCAGCTTTAAAGCTTCTGCAAGCTAATAATGTGCAAAGCTGCCCCAGGCACATCCCCCAGCCACCCTCAGCTAGCTCCCATCGCCTTGCCCACCCGCGCCCAGCATGTTGCCCACTTGCGTGCAGGCGGTCATTCCGAAGGCGTTGAAGGGCATGTAGAGCACCGCGCAGGTGCTGAAGGCCACACTGATGGCGGCCACGGAGGTCTGAGGGTGGGGAAGAGGAGAGAGCTAAGGGTAACGTGGGATCGTGGAGAGGCGCATGCGTGTGAAGCGGACCAGCAAGCAAACCTATGTTATTTGCCGGCCCTGGTAAGCACATACACCCACTCGGACCGGGGGCCCCACCCACATACACACACAGCCCACCCAGCCGCCCACATACGGCGGGACATACATCAGGGTTGGGCAGTGCTGCTGCGATGACCGTCATAGCGCTGTAGGCAGCCGCCTCCGCCACACGCATGACTGCAGGCGGGATGGGGGTGGGGAAGATTGGGTCCTCTGTAACAGTCCACAGTCCACATCGGATAAAAAGATGTACTGAGCCTCGGGGAGAGGGCGTGGTGGCACGCTCGGCAGCACACATGGTATACAAGGCTAGCTGTAAGTGGTATACATCCAAGGTGAGCCAATTAATGAGCCGATGCCGTACACCCACCACCACTCGCGCACCACACAGCTACCCATCGCTGCTCCCCACCCATAGCTACTACCGACCCACCCATGGCTGGGTAAGCTAGTGCCGCCATGTCTCTCCAGCCCTGCAACAGGGGCGGGGCAGGGCAAGTTGGGGGCAGAAACCGTAAACACTCAACAGGCGGCTGAAGTGTTGAGTGGCGGCTGATGTGTGTTGGTGACAACGGGGCTCCATGTGACTAGGTCGCTGGTGTCATGACAAGTCTGGCGGCATGAATTCCGGTTTCACGGAATTTCCCCCCTCTTCTGCTGAACGTCATCATCAACGGGTCATCCCATGGTCATGGTCAGTGGTTCCTTGCGGCTCAGTTCATCTGAATACCCCCACATCACACCCTCACCTTAAACACGCGAGACCATTCACCCCCGAAGACCCTTGGCGCCAGCCCCGCCCAGCAAATGTAGGCAGACGTCAGCAGCACATTGTAGCCGTTAGTTGCGCCGACCTGCGAGCGACAGACCCGTGGGACACACGACCCATGCGAATATCAGGACATGCATGAGCAGCTGAGCACGTGACCCGTCCGATTCCCACCAGAGTCAAGGACATGGTGAATGTTGGATGTTATTTGTTGTTTAAGCAACGAAAAATAACAAACTGCTACCTGCAGTGTACCGGTATTAAAAAGCAAACAAACCGCGAACTGCAAACCCCGTCCCTATATGTCTCCCTGCAGCCATGCCCCCAAGCTGCACCACCCTCTCTCACCGCCAGTGCTGCTCCCACGTACCCCAGGCCCACTGTGTGTATGAAGAGGTAGGTTGTTGCCACATGGAGGGGCACAATGAGCAGCGAGATCACCATCTGGGGGCGAGTGATGCGCTGGGCCACCAGGATGCGGTTGAGGGGCCTGGGTTGGGGCCAGGGAGGGAGGGAAGCGAGGAGCATTACTCATGAGGTGGAAAGGGAAGCCCATACCGGCAGGAGATCGCCAAGGAAGAGTGCACCAATTGCCCATGCATGTAAGCTGCTCGGTTGTTGCACCTGCGGTCTGTTAACTCCGGCTAGCACATGCAGGGAGAACGCCACCCAAGCCTCCCTGCATGCCCCCCCCCCCATGCCGCCCCCACGCCCGATCGTCACAAGCCCCATGAACCAGCAGTCCCCCACGAACCTGACCCACCTACCTGGCCGCTGCATCCAGCCAAACAGCAGGTATGAGCGCCAGGATGTACCTGCATGCGCACACGGGAGGGCATGTTACCACCTACCTGAGATGCGATAAAAGCCTTGACCCCTTGTTAGCTACATGTATGCATGAACAGGATAGGCAGCATAGGACGCATGCCTTTGCTTCGTGCGGCGGCTGCTAATACGATTGAATCTAGGGTTCTAGGCTGGTATACCGGTATCACAGTCAGCCACATTCTCCCCCCCCCCTGCCTGTGCGCCCCCCAGTGTCCGCAGCCCACCTGCTCCCAACCCGACCCACCTGTGCGCCCGACCCGCCAGCTCCTCCTCCCGGCTCAGCAGCCGCAGCAGGCCTGGCGCCCCCAGCAGCACTCCCGTCAGCGGCAGGCAGTGCAGCCACAGGAACAGCAGCGTGCGCTTGAAGATGGGGCCCAGGGCGCCCAGGTTGCCCGCACCGTACGCCTGCACGGGTGTGTTACAAAAACCGGCCATGAGGCGGAGTCGTGTGTGCACAAGAGAGCGGTGGAGGATCCATGCCAGTTGTGTCGGGGCTGTGTCGGCTGTTGGGGCTGTGTCAGACAAGGGCTGCCTGCCACCCTCAGTCCGCCCAGCGCCCCCTCCTGCACCCACCCACAGTCAGTTAGTTGTTTCCTAATTACCCACCCACCTGTGCAGCCTGCGTGTCTAGCGCCCCACACAGCCCCTGCAGCACGTAGCGAGCCGTGATGCCGGTGAAGGAGTTGCCCAGTGCAGCGGCTGGCAGGAGGGTGGGGGAAGGCAGGGGAAGAGGGGTAGGCCGGGGCATGGGTGGGTGGGGGTGGGGTGGGGGGGTAACTTCAACCAGTCGCAAACAAGCAGGAATGGGAAGGCCAGGATAGAGTACAATAGTAGGGAGCAGTCCGCACGCAGGCAAAGCCAGCAGATGTACCACCGTACTGCAGCACTATCACCTCCTCGCCAGGAATACTCCTCAGGTGCAGCCACAAACACCTTCTGCTGCTCCTGCTGCTGCGCCCCACCTGCCAGCTCGCGGGTGCCCAGGTGTCCCACGAATGAGAAGCTGATGATGGAGGTGGAATAGGCGGCAAGCAGGTTGAGAACTAGCGGCCAGGCCAGGGAGGCCTGAGACATCATGTCCTGGGGGGGATGGATTGAGGTTTGGGAGTGTGAGAGGAGTGCGGAGAGATGGTGCGGGTATGGGCAACAGAGACGAGACATGGGTTGAGGGCAGGGCTAGAGCTCAATACCTGGAAGACCCCCGCGGATGCATGTGGAGCTTCTTTGTCGGAAGGATGCAGCTGCGGTCCTGCTGTTTCCGCGTCCTCTGTGCCCAGAAGCGGCTCTTGTAAGCCGCCTCTGTTGCCCGCATCTCCAGCATTGCCATGACATGCGCTTTGGGGCACTGATTGTCGCTCGTCAACATTGGGCATTTCCGTAATACTACAGGAACGCGTTTCTTATATTTTTAGATTAAGACGAACGTTAGTGACCTTGAACATGGCTGGCTGTCGTTCGAGCAATGAGAAAGTAAGCTCAACAAATACACGATTTTTAACATAGGTTTGCAGAGTTGCTAACCATAATTATCACAGTAGCCTGACGCGCTGTGTCGTTTGGCCGTTATTGTACGGCAAGCAAACAGTACAGTAAGATCCAAGCACTGCTAAGCCAGCTTTTGTTCTATCTGCCCGTGTTCTAGCTGCGGAAGGAGCGGATGGGAGTTTTCAAAAAGCTGCAGGAGCAGGCACTCAGGCCCAAGTGGTGTGGCGGTGCGGAAATTGAATACTATGAGGCTGGTAAACTCACCCGATGACAACCTCTGCTTTCACTCTTGGGTGGAAGCACTGCGTATGGCTTTGCGATATTGATGCCTACAACTTTCTCTTTTGCTTTCTCTGCTTGTTTATCGGGCGGTCCATGAGCCTACTGGCTCGTCTGGGCCTTACAAGCCTGAAGCTTGTAACATACCATACCATACCATACCGTGCCATAGAGCTTGTAACAGCTCACTCACTCACAATCTGCCCCAGATCAGTCTACCTATCCTCCAAGCTGAGAAATGCCGGCTTGTTTGAGTTGTCCCAAACTGGCTGGGTTTAAGCAGATGCCGCCATGTGAGGATGTGACTGCAGTATCCAACTCGATTGTCAGCGACCACTTGTCAGGCAGCAGATCCTCATCTAGTATGGCCCCTACATTGCATACTCACTGCAGAGGCTGCCCTTCCTCAACTTGTCAAACACGGTTAACCCATCCTAAAAATAATACATGAGCAGGTAGAAGCAGGAAAATAGCCTTACAAAGGAACGAGCACAGTGCCGCGCCCAACAAGCCTGGCAAGGGGTTTCCTAAGCGCCGCACCAGGGCCCCTACAAAGAGATTTTACCACTCAACCATGATCACATTTGCAGTCGCAGCCGACATGTTTTGCAACATCTATAATGTCCCAACCTGCTGTAACCACATGCATGCTATACTATATACCGGCTTGGTTTCTTCAACACAAGGCGCACCTACAGTTATTTGCATATGCAACTCGTCTTCCTTAACCCAAAAACTTCTCCTTGAAACAATGCAGTTCTATATAGGCTTCCTGTCCACTCACAGCTGCCTGGCTGGCTTCAGCTTCCTCCAATTGTGCAGCCACTTGTCCCAAAACTATCGCAACCTGCTGTGCAAAGCACCCCAGCTAGATCCTCTTTTGACCTGCTAGAATCCCTTGTCCCCCAGCAGAGACAGCAGCAGCCCTGCTGCCACCTCCTGCTTCAGGCATGCCTCCCTTGCTTGCACCAAGCTTCACTTGAGCTGCTGCTGCACCAACTCCTCACTCTGTGAGAGTGAGGACCACCCATTTGAAGTTACTTCATCTCTTCCACTTGCCGCTGCAGCAGGGCCAGCTTGCTTCTTAAGTTTGCCTGCTGCACCTGCAGCTCCTCCTTGAGAGCCGACTTCTGGCACCACTCTACCTCCAGTTGTGACTGCAGCTCCTCTGTCCACCTGCTGCTTCAGCAGGGCCCTCATACGACTTGGTGTTCGCCTGGTGCACCTGCTGCTTACTGCAGAGCTGTCTTGTGGCAGCACCTCTCCTCGTCCAGTTGTGACTGCAGCTTCCGCACCTGCTGCTTCAGGTTTGTTTGATCCTGGTTTCTCTGCTGCATTTCCTTGTCCAGCAGCTCCTGCAGGGACACCTTCTGCTGGCTTGCCTTGTCATACTGCATTTGCAGCTTGTGCAGCTGTTGTTCCTTCTGTTGTAACCTTTCCCTTAGGGTGTCCACATCCACAACTAGTTTACGTGCGATGTCCTCAAGTTGCGATATTGTCTTGTGAAGCTTCTTGATCTCCTCCTGTGTGATGTCCTCAAGTTGCGATATTGTCTTGTGAAGCTTCTTGATCTCCTCCTGTTTCTCCAGCTCAGATGCTGCTGCCAGTATCAGGGCTGCCCCCTGACCAGCCACCTTCCGTTCTGTGTCCAGCTGTTCTGATTGAAGCTTGGCCACCTTGTGCATGGCTCCTGCCACATCAGCGGCTGCCTGGCATCGCTCCTCCTGTTGCTGCACCCGTACATCCTTCAGCTCCTGCTGCAGGGTTGACTTCTCAGCCTCCACAATGCACAGCTTCCTCTTTAGGAACTCCACCATAACCCCATCTGTCTGCAGTTCTTGATCCAGTTGTTCAGCATGCAAGGCCTGCTGGACGTTTAGGTGAAGGTTAGGTGGATAACGGGACTATTGTTATTGTACATCAAGAAGCATTATGGTGGTACTTGTGCTTAACACTACAATACATATCATAATGTCAAACAGTCACTAAATCCTGACAAACGTAAAGAGGGTCCATGCCCAATAGCTATCTTAATTGCTTGAGTTGGAGCGTCAACATAGCAAACTGCGCTCGATGCCCAAATGCGGCAGGAGCATGGGCATGCCATGAGACGTTGCTCAAACGAGTAAACGCGCGATGCTCTGTAAACCAAACTGTGGGTCTTCCTTTATAGTCGAAGGTCACTTACATCATGCTGTGCCGCCGTCTGTTGCCGCTCGACAGGTCCTCGAGAGATGGATGGGTAGTAGCGTTTCATCGTGCAAGCGAGCGTCTACACTGAAGTACGCTATGAAAGTTAAAGTATTGAAGTATTATCGGGCCAGATGAGCTTGAAGTGAAGTACGCGCGCACCGAGCCTACACCTTTCGGTTGATCACCTTCACAGTCAAGGGTGCTCAATCGTTGGCCTGATGGCTGTCTTAGGGATGCCCGTGAAAAACCTCGACTGCAAAGCTGCTTTATTTAGACTTGCCTTTCTTACTGAGCCGTTACTGGCATGAACGTACGGTGGTGGGCGGGCTGTAGCATTGTTGGGTTGCTGCAGGTTGCTGCGTAACCAGCGTAAGTAGTTTCTTACTCCAATCCCTTTCCTGTCCCACTGCACACCGGCAGTTACGTTGATCATCAACATTTGCACTATAGTCCGTTCCCGTGCGCGATGTCCGGAAGGGCTTGCTGGGCCCTTAAAGAAAGATGCCTTTTTCCTTATTTAGGCGAGTTCTGTTCCAGAAAATATGTGGATGGCACTTCAAGCAGACGCTAATAGTGATTCAAGAACCTTTCAAGCTCCTAAGGGATAAAGGAAGGTTTGTCGCCGGGATGATTGACCAAGCGAACTAGCCGTCCTATGCCCAGCGAATACGTGCATATAGCGTTGTGTTTGTAAAAACATTTTATTTGACGTAAGCAGATTAGGTCTCCCAGATTAGGTCTAAGATTCGCAGGCCAACTCTTCCAACCCCGCACCATCCCTGCACCAACGCCGCACCTACCTTGTTAGGCGGACTAACAACGCCTCGATAAGTCAACTAGCGCCAACGCAAGTCACCAAAATCTGCATGGACACTTCAAGCACCAATGAGAGACAAGCCAGTGTACAAAAGCAAAACGTGTAACATCATGTGCAAAACGCGTAACGTCATGTCTTGTTAATTGCCCTAAAAGTGGTCACGACTTGAGCGCAACACGCCCGACTTGCCTCACCTACCAGGTGTCCTACCACAGGAGCCATCTCACATTCAGCAGAGCACACAGTGATGCTGTACCCTTTGGATTGCTCGTCTTGCTCATTGGCACCTGATACGGCAGCCGCCGTTTCCCAGCCCGCCTTTACACATCCAACTATAAGCCTGCGGCTGAGCCTGCTGTGCCAGCCATCGGTGACTGCAGCTTGCAGACTGGCAGTGATAATGATGTAGATGATGGACACACCTCGTGGAGGCCCAACCACGCCATACACTTGGCAGGTACTGTAAAGGATGTGCCAGCATGAAGAGCAATCAGATTAACTGCAAAGGCGCTCTTGGGTTACACTGCAAGCTGAGTATCCGACTTGTCCTTGTGCTACAACCTCAGCTCTGCCTGCAAGGTAGCAAACCCTCATGTAGCCTGGCTGCAGAGGTTGCCTTTCCTCCAAGCACGGATAGCCAACTTCCAAAGGACAAAATCCATCCGCAACCTTTATGACTGTGGCGGTTCACCCTGACAGTCACATATTAAAGTATGTGCCCACAGGCGCAGCTCCATCTGTAAATTTGCACCTCACATCCCAATTCCTGTTACATCTCGTAAGCCACCGTGGCATATTGCACCCAGCGGTTGCAACCAGAAACCAGACGACAGCAACAGTGGGCTCGTCCATGGCAAAGTCCCGAAGTGCACCTGTGACAAGATGGCGCTACCGCTACTAGCACCCAAGCACACCTGTCACCAGTGTAGCGAGCCTCACGGCACAACGGACCAGCTAAGCAGCTCGAAGGAAAACACAACAACAGATGCCACAGGCCACCACAGAACCAGAAGTACTTTCATTACAATACCTATTACCTTCCTTACTGACTGCCTTATGTCGCACAGAGAGGTACATGTAGGGACGTGCCAATGGCATTCGTACACCGTAGTAACATTGTCACGCTTCCCGGCTAGGATTGTATGGTGAGTCACTGTTAACCAGGTCCGATGGATATCATCAGTTAGTTAGTCCATAACTATAAGCCAGGAAAGTAATCCCAAGACCTATAGTCGACAAAACTGGATTTGAAAAACATGCTGTCAAATTCCCAATCTCCCCAACACAGTTCAGACGACAGTCCTGCAGACGGAAGACTAACGGGTGCTACAACGTCAAACCCCTTTTCCTCCGCAGCCCAATCGGCTGCTGGAACTCATCCCTTCCCAATTGCTTACACAGTGACCCAAGACCACTCAGGAAAGCGCTCAAGTCGTTCCCCACATACACACCCCAACCGCCTTCGTATTCTACTCCCCGTCCCATGGAGCGGGGCTCTCCGGCCGCACCGCCTATCTCCCTCTGTACCTCCCTCTGTACCACCCATCCATGCTGGGACCTCCCGCTGCCACCATCTCAACCACCCTACAATCTGTCTCGTCACCAGAGGTGCGCACGAGCAGGGCGCAAACCCCTCTCCCTCATTTGCTGTCAGGCGGCACCAGGCTCTTATTGTAGCCCACTGCCGCGCAAGCTATGAGCAGGGAGATGGCGGCCCCCGCTGCTCGGGTTTACCCCTTCTTGTTGTGGTGGTTGGGCAGGGAGGCCAGGTGCTCGCGCATCTCCTCCAGGTTGAAGCCCTCCCAGGCGGTGTGCGCTTGCTGGGAGAGGGACGGAGGGAGGAAAGGGCAGGCAGGGGTTACGAGCGGAATTGATGAGGATCGGAGGGACACACAAGGGACCATAAGACACAAAACTCATGGGAACACAACAACCTGTAAGTTAGCCTATGGCACCCAGGACACCCACAACCCCCGCAGCACCCCTACGCCGCCCCCCAACACACACACACCTTGAAGGTGCGGTTGGCGCGCCACACTGCGCTGTTGCACTTGAAGCCGCTGCCAAAGCCCATCTGCCAGATGCGGTCGCCGCGGCGCATGCCCTGGAACGTCTCCAGGTAGGCCAGCACGTACCAGATGGAGGACGAGGAGACGTTGCCGTAGCGGTACAGCGCCGCGCGCGAGGGCTCCACCATCTCCGTGGTGAGCTGCAGCTGCCGCTCGATCTCGTCAATCACGGCGCGGCCGCCTGGGGGCAGGCAAATTAGGATATGAGAAAGAGGAGGCATTAAGGTACGAGAGAGTAATCCGTGTCGTGATAGATGTAGGTTCAATGAAGAGCAAGACAATTGTGGGAAAAGCAGTAAAAGCGTAGAAAGATTGCTCGCTTGCTTGCTTGCTCCCTGCTTACCAGTGTGGATGCAGACCTTGTCAAAGGCCAGCTTGAAGTCCGGGATGTAGGGCTTGCCCTTGTAGCCAAATACCTTGCGAGCCACGAGGTTGAAGAAGAAGAGCAGCTGCTCCGAGAGCGGGAGCACCATGGGGCCCAGCGTGGTCACGTTGATCTTGAGCGCCTCGCCAGCAACCGCAAAGAGCTCCTGCGAGGTGGTGGGGAAAGCGCCATGAGATTGGCAGTGATTGCGATTAGTAATTACGATTGGGTGTCAATCGATGGACAGGCAACACAGGACAAGCATGGTGCGTTAGACAAGAATGATGCGCGAGAAAAGAGAGGTGGCGGAAGGTAAAGCAAAAACAGACAATGCGAGGGGACAGCACTATGCACACGCCCAGGGCGGCGGATACGCATGTATCCCATAACATAAGTACCCTCAGAGACCCATGGGTCGGTCGACCCGACCCGCACCTTCGTGAGGCGCACGCCAATGTTGCGCTCTCCGTCCTCCATCTGGAAGATGCAGCTGTAGGCCGCGTCCTTGGCGCCCAGGTGGGTGCGCACAGTGTGCATCAGCTCGTACTTGGCGCGCCTGAGGAGTGTGGGTGGTTGTGATGTACGACAACACAGGTGGTTACGTGCGAGGTTGTTAGGTACTGGTTATGTACTGTTTATTAGAACAGAAGATGCGGATGGAGACAGCAATGGCGAAAGGCACAAACCCAAAGAAGGGAGGTTTCCGCATTTCTTGTTGTTTTTGTCTTTCGCCATTTAGACACCCATTCATCCAGCCCACAATGCCCCCCACCATTCAGACACCCATTCATCCAGCCCACAATGCCCCCCACCATTCAGACACCCATTCATCCAGCCCACAATGCCCCCCACCATTCAGACACCCATTCATCCAGCCCACAATGCCCCCCACCATTCAGCCCCCCAACAACCGGTCGTCCTACGCACATCACCCACCATGCGTCCCGGCGGCGGTTGGACAGCAGGATGGCCGCACCGCCCACCCGGAAGAGGCAGTTGGGCAGCAGCTTGTCGCGGTCGTTGCCAAAGTACCAGTTCTGTGGAGCGGAAGTTGCACAACACAGCAACGTGGTGAGTTCAGTGAGAGTCACCTTCTTCATTCCCCTCCGTTGCTCATGCCCTTGCCATGCCTCCCACAGGGCTTCATAGTCGTCCCGACCCACCTGCAGTCGCCTGATTTGCCATTCTCATTCAACAAATTGAGTATTCGTCTTTTACCCACCTGCGGTCCCTCCGAGCCCCCAACCCACCTGCGTGATGTTCTCGGTTGACACCACCAGCGCGTATTGCGAGGGGTGCAGCTGCAGCAGCTGCTTGGCCAGGTCGATCGAGATGGGCGAGGCGGAGCAGCCCATGCCGGCGAGGTTGTACGACAGAATGTTGGATCGCATCTTGAACTTGTTGATCACCATGGCCGCCAGCGAGGGAGTGGGGTTGAAGAGGGAGCAGTTGACCACCAGGATGCCAATCTGCGGGGGAAACGGGAGATCGGAACGGGAAAACACGAGATTGGGAAGAGGGGGAGTACAGCCGAGACAGGAGGGCGAAAGGGCGGGGAAGGCGTACCGGTACACAGCGGTCACACATTGGCGCCTCACTCACCCGGCCCCTTAATTCTCAAACACCAAGCCCTCAATTCGTTTTTCATCGCCCGCCAACCCTCGGCCGGCCCCCGCCCCGCACCTGCTTGGGGTGCACTCCCGTGCGCTTCAGCAGCTCCTCCACAATGGGGAACACCACCTCCTCAAACTCCTTGCGAGCGTTCTCCATGGAGCACTGGGCAGGAATGACCTGGACAGCTGCAGTGCACGAGAAACATGGGGGATTAGATAAACTGAGCCGCGGAAACACCGACATGGGAGAGTGGTTCGTATAGAGGAAAAGAAAAGTTGTTTCCGCTGCGCAAAGCGCTGATTAATGGGTATGTGCGAGTAACAAGAGGCATGGTTACTACTATTGAAGCTCGGTTGTTAGCAAACCGTGGGGCAACATTGGGACAGCGTGAAAGTAGTAAGGACGTATGATGTGTGCCGTATGATGTGTGCCTACACAGCAGCTCACAATGCGGGCTCCAGCTTTCAGCTCTGCAAGCGGCATCACAGCCCCTCCCTCGCATGGCGGCAACTGCTCCTACAGTCAACACCAAGCAGTGTGGCAACTACCTCTCAAGCTGCGTTTCCCACCCCACCTGGCGGCAGGTAGGTTTCCTGGCCCAGGCCGGAGCGCACCAGGATCTTCTCCTGGAACTCCAGAGCCTCAGGCGTGAAGCGCTGCGGTGAAACGAGAGGTAAGGTACAAGGGAAGAGGTAAGGCGCAATAAGACCTAAAGGGCCTAGCCTGGGGGCATATCACCCAAGAGGCATCCAGCCAGCATGCGCACGCAGGCCTTCTGCAGGACTCGGCAGGTACATGTTTACATGTATGGTCTGGTGCAGTGCAGAGGCGTGAAGATACCCACATGCTAAGCATACACACGCAAGCCACCAACAAAGTTAAGTGCACTAGAGGAGGCAGTACGAAACACCAAGATCGCACATGCAACAAGCTTACCCCGCAGCCCCTGGAGCCTGCCATGAAGCGAGCGTACGTGGCAGTCCAGCTGTGCATGTTGAATCAAGGCAGAAAGGGAAGGGCAGGCGAAAGGCCCAAGTCAAGACAGGTCATGGCGTAGGTTGATGCGGAGCTGCTTACTGTGTTTGCTGTTCCATGCAGATAACTGACAATTCCGGTAACTGTTGTACGGGGGGTCAATGCAGGTGCGGATATAGGCCCTATATGGAAGGCACCTAAAACCCATGAGGAGCACTAAGGCAAGCAGCAATGCATGCTGAGGCGGGACGCAGACACCAAAAACCACTGTACGGTAAGCCGGGCTGTCATATGCCGTACTATGCCAGGAGAAGCATGTTCGAGTGCTAGTAAGTTGAAGGGGACCAAGTTCCCACCTCTCAGGGGCACGGAAGACTTGGTAGTCAACCAGATACACAGGTCGGGTGCGGAGGACGTAGTAGCTAACGATGATAGCTACAAGGGCTGCGACGGTCAGCACCACTGTTACCTGGGTGAAGGGGAAAGCGAGCAACACGGTTTTAGGGTAAGGCCAGAGGTTGCCGTGTTTTTAACGCCTACAGCTTACCAGGTCGAACGTCAGGTCCGTTTGCTTGGCGACGCTGATGATCCGTAAGAGCTCGCCCGTACGATGCATATTGGCCAGCTCAAGCTGCGTTTAGGGTGGCTTGGTTAGCACGACGGCACTTCCGAGGGAGCCGTCCAAGGGGTCCGATGACTCACCAGCAGCATTGCCGCGAGCGGCACCAAAGCAATGGCAAACAAGTAGGACATAAGAAATGTGTAGCCTCGCTTGACATATTTGAGCGCCACGCTGCGGCGGTAGTCTGCGGCATTGTGTGCGTTTTGAAGTAATCACTGACGCCACTTGCAGAGTGTTGCTAGAAGTCGGCAATGCATTCTACCTGGAAACTGCAAGTTGCTCCTACGCTGCGCTCCATCGGTTGTCACCGTAGCGGTGACAGTAGGTTCGGCGCTCATTTTGTGGGAGAGCCGCGGGTGCGAGCCCGCCTACAAAAAGTTTAAAGGTCAGATCACTGTGCTAAGAACCGATCTAACGTCAGAGTAAGGGCTACACATGCTTGGCCCTGAGTATAAAAAGGCGGGGCAGCTTCTTCAAATGACAGCGCATGGGCCATGCCGTACACCTCCTCCGATTATGCAATCGTCATGCGTTGACACGGCTATCTGCCCTCATAGCCCCGTATGTTCCTTGGATTACTGGGATAACATGCCGTAGTCGGTTTCTTGCTGGCGAAAAATTACTTCCTGAAAAGCATCTCACGACTATTTTCTAGCCATATCTTATTCATTAATAAAGTACATTCTAGTTAACAATGGCTGCAGCCGCCAAACCCAGTGGACCGCGCACGCTGACGAATACAATCAGGTTGCTCATTAATGCGGGCGCAGCCAAGCCAGCTCCACCTGTGGGACCAGCGCTGGGTCAGGCGGGGCTAAATATTATGGGTTTCTGCAAGGTAAGTTCCGTATACTTATGTCAAACTGGCCTACGTAGCCCCCATAGTTACATTTGCGTCCGTAGGCCCCCCTTTGTAGCCGTATCTGTGTGTGTTACTGCCTATCCTGCGGAAAGCCGCATCATGCGTTAAGGGCAGTTACGACCCATGCGTCGTGGGTTTGGCTCCCATTGCCCCTCCTGCTGCCTGTCACGCCCACAATTTCCATACCTCTGCATGCATGGGAAGTCCGGCTTCTGTTCACAGTAGGCCCCTGCTAGCACAATAGTAGTTTAGGACCGGCAAGCCAGCCACCACATGCGTCGCCGTCCTACAGTGCCTGCTTGCCTCGCCAACTGCCTGCACATCCACATCCACTCCCACGCCCGGGAGTGGATATGAATGTGCAGGCCCACGGTAGCTGCTGCTGCTGCACGCATACGGCAGCTGCACGGTCGCACCGTCGGGCATGAACGCACCGCTGTATCAGGGACTAACCCGCTCAACGGGCTGCCCTTGCATGCTGGGCCCCGACACCGTGTGTCCTTCCATGCCCCCTGTGTCTTCACAAGCGGCGAGTGTTTAATGTGAGGTCACCGACACCCCTCATGTGCAGCTAGTTCGCACCTTGCCCCTCCCCGTCGCTTTCCTCCTACCTCCCAGCCACCGCCGGGGCTGCATGCAGGGTACCCGGCATCAGCTTCCTTCCCCTCCCGCCCCATACCGCCTTCCTCCGCATGCAACCCCTTCCACCCCAACTCCCATGCCATGGGCTAACCCCATGCAGCGCCCCACCTCCCCCTTAGCCCCATCCCTGCTCTTAACACCTTACCGCCTATACCCCACCCCCGTCCCCGCTCTTTTCATAGTACTACCTCCCCCGCCCCACCTCCTCTGCCCCATCTCTTTTCCCTCCCTCCCGCAGGAGTTCAACGCCAAGACTGCCAACTTCAAGGAGGGCACCCTGCTGCGTGTGAAGCTGCGGGTGTTCTCCGACAAGACCTACGAGTGGGACCTCAAGATGCCGCCCAGCACCTGGCTCATCAAGAAGGCAGCGGGTAGGGGACGGCGGGCTACACGGGGGAGGGGGTGGGATGGGGTGGGGGAACAGAAGAATCTCCCAATGTGGGGTGGGGTGCGGTGCGGTGGGATGCGGCTGCTCCACTTCTCCCCCTCCTCAACCCCACTCCCCCACCCTCTCCACCGTCCTTACCGGCTCCCCTCCCTCCCCCCCTTCCTCCCTCCCCTCCCACCCAGGTCTGGCTCGCGCGGCGGAGAGCCCCGGTCACGAGGTGGTGGGCACCATCTCGCTCAAGCACCTGTACGAGATCGGGCGCGTGAAGCAGCGCGACACGCCCAACGTGCCGCTGCAGTCCATTGTGACGGCGCTGCTGCACACGTGTCGCAGCATGGGGGTGCGGGTGGTGGCGCGGCCGGAGGAGGCGTGAGGGGGGGCGCGGAGGAGACGGGTGGGGTAGCGGGAGGAGGGGTAAAAACGGGAGAGACCGGAGGTCCCGGGAGGGTAGCATGGAGGGATTGGTGAAGGTGGGGGGATAGAAACTAGGGCAATGATGGCAGAGAGGCTGCGCAGCAAAGCAACAAAGCAGGGGAGACGAGGAGGAGGTTGCGGGTGCGGGTGCGCTGCAACGGTGACGCCCAAGCAAGTAATGTGTTCTAGGACTGCCGCTTGCTGCCACTCTCCGCTGGACTCGTAGGACTCGCTAGCGGGGTGGCGACCAGCAGGAGCAGGTCGCTCGGTGCGGAGAGCGACAGCAAGAGCAGCAAGTGGCAGCAGCAAGCAGCCAGCAGGAGCTAGCTACGCAGGTCTGCGGGCTGTTGCTGCTGGCGCCGCACGTACCGGCAGCTCTTGCAGCTCATCACCCCGGCAGCAGCGCACGCCAGGGCGTTGCAGCTTGGGACCACACCGCACCTCAGTCCGAGGTGTGGGAGGGGTGGTGGGGCAACGCCTGCCGGGAGGTGGCCTCCTGCCCCCTACGATACCCGCGGTGCACAGCTGAGCCGCAGTGCATGGCTCGCCAGCCACGGAGCAGGAGAGGGCGTGCGGCGGGGGCCATTGTTGGCATGTGGTTGGGGGAGGGCAGAGGAGCGCGGCTGTGCGGGAGGAAGGAGGAGGGTGGAGGAAGCAAGAGAGGAGGAGGAGGACATTGCCTCAGCAAGCTCCGCAGTTGGGAGCCATGCGTGCGGTTGGCAGCGTTACTCGTGCGATACTTGCCTTCTTTCGGGGGGGGGGGCGGTCGCACGGATGCGTTCACGGAGTTAGGCGCCGAACCATGTTCATACTGTGTTCGTACTTTGTTTGTAGTTGGCGCATGCTGCTCCCAGGTGCTCCCTTTACCTGCTGGACGCGTTGGCCCTGTCGGTACGTAGGATGGTGGGTTGATGTACGGAAGGAGACGTTATGGTTGGTTAGTTGTGGGGCCTGTTGGCGTCGTGACGATGTAGCTTCTTGTGAAGGTACTGCAGCAGGGCAGTGGTGGTACGGCGGCTGCCGTATTCGTTGCGCATGTGAAATACCGTCGCAGAGGACCGCCGTGGGCTGATGGGGTTGCGCGCTGCCACCGTACCGGTAACCTGGTGCTGCCCCGTTAGCATGACTATACACCGGTATGTCGTGGGTAGTAGCTCAGGTCGTGGGCGAGCGGGAGGAGGCTGAAGGGGACGTCCGGTGCTACTCGAAAGATGTGAAACCCGTGCAGCACCCGTGTGAATCGCATCGGGCTATCTTGCTTAGTGAAGTGTTTGGTGCAAGTCCGAAGTGTTGCCGGCTGTGATGAGGAAGGACACGAGGACTCATGTGGAGGACGTGAGCATGACCCTGAAGCATTGCCTGCCAGGTGCCATCATTGGCGACGTGTATATCATGTGTCCGGCTGGGGATTCCACGCCTGCCACAGCTGCCAAACACCCCGAGAGTATCACCATGCGTGCACCTCGCCACCAACAACAACATACACTCCAACTAACTCCATCAACACCCACTCTATGCCGTCATATGCCGCCACCACCGTGCCGCCAAAAAGGTATAACTGGGACCGTGGGGCTACGTGCTATCTGCCTCCAAGTGCGGCCGCAGCTCTTCCGGAGCTCACCTGCGGATGTGTGTCCAGCATGGGTGTTCAAGCAAGGTCTGCTCAGCATGCATTGCCCAGCGTTGGGAGTGTGCAGTAAATATTTGGGGTCTACGCGGGGTGGCCTCACAAGCCGCTCACGGTATGCAGTCCCACTCGAGCTCCAAGCGAGGCGCCAAGAGCTTGGGAAAACACAGACGCACAACTCCAAAACTCATTCGCTGTGTCCCAGCACAGCGAAGCAACACCACAAGTTCCGTTCCGAAGCGCCACACGTCTCATCCAGAAACGCTGACAAGTGGCTCCCCGAGGCAAACTTGCGTTGACCCTCCACACAATACCAAACGGGGCACAACACGGCTAACACGCCCAACAAGCCGTTCATGATGCGCTTTGTCCTACTCTTGCCCGCTCTCCTCTTCTCCGGAGGCTCCCTCCAAGACGCTCTCCTCTTACTCCCCTCTCTGCGGCACTTGTGGCCCTGCACACCTCCTCGTTCGAAAGACAGGTTTTTGAGTCGTGCCTAGCTCAGTCCCCACTTGCTCATGCCCCCCAATCTAGTCGCTCTCCCAATAGCCCTCATCCACCGCATAGGCATCTGCTCGTACTGTTGCTGCAGCTAGCTCAGCCGCTGCACCAGAGCTGACGCCACCGCTGCGGCTACTGCTGAAGGTTCTAGACAGGCTGTCCTTGGAGGCTGCTGCGGCCCTTCGAGCAGAACGAGCAGATACGACAGTTGCTGTCTCCGTACTGCTGGCACTGCTGCCGGTGCTACTGCTGCTGCTGCTGCGACGGCGGTTGCTGCTGCTGCTGCTGCCGTCAGTGGAGGGGCTGATAGCCTCATCAGAGGTGGAAGTATCCGCTGAAGGACCTGTGTCGGTGTTGTCAGCGGTAGCAGCAGCAGCGGTGGCAGCAGCAGCAGCAGCTCGGCTAGCAGCGTCCCGAATGCGATAGCCCGCAACCTGCGACGGAAGGGAAGTAACGGAAGGGGAGGAAAGGAGTTATGCCAAATCCTTTGGAACCGAGGGGTGCAACTGCAATCCCACCCGAGACCTCCCATGCAAGAGACAACAAGATCCAAAGACACGATTCAACGCATTATACACACCTACCAGGAGCAACACTCCGCAATGTGTCACTGCGAACCCCTCCCTGCCACCCCTCCCTGCTAGCCACCACCAACCCCCCCGCCAAACTACCACCACAGCCCCTCCCCAACCCCAACGGCTTGGCTTCCCCCCACCCCGCCCCACCCACCCGCACATCCACCCCACTAAGCACCAGTCGCCGCTTCACATGCGGCTTCAGGCGCAGGTGGCGGAAGGGCGCTGGGTTGCCGGACAGCACGAACGCAGAGGCGCCTGCGGGGGTGAAGAGGAAACAACTGACCGTGTCATTAGGCACCATAGGGGTTGTGGGGGGGGACGTGGGGGGGTGGCGGGAATGCATGCGAAGGGGGTTGGGTAATCAAGCAAAAGGGGAGATCGCTGACCTTGGGCCATGGCTTTGGGGTTAGGCGGGCGAGCTCCTAAGATGCACTACCCGACCTTCCCCCCACCAACACCTGCATGCATCCCTGTCCTGGTGTGATGTGCCCAGACAAGGACCCGACCACATGTGGGAGACTACACATCCTTCCCCCGTACCCACCGCACCCTCCATGCTTCCCATGTCGCAGCCCCTTCTCCTTGCAGACCTCCGCGCCCCCCACCCCTCCCTAGTGCCCGCCCCCCTGGAGTCCTCCCAACCCTCCCTAGAGCCCTCTCCCCACGAGGGTGGCCCCCCCCGCCCCGCCATACCTGGACACTGCCGATAGAGGAAGCCGTCCAGACTGCGCCAGGCCGCCTCCAACGCCGCCTCCTCCGCCTCCCCCTCACCACGCTCCTCCTGCTCCTCCTCCACGTCCTCCTCCACCTCGCCGCCTCCTTCCTCTGCCTCCCTATCACCCGCTCCACCCCTCTCAGCAAACCCAGAAGGCCCGTCAGACGAAGTGCCGGTATAAGAAGAGGAGGAAGATGGAGACGAAGAAGCAGAAGAGGAAGAGGAAGCGGCGGCGGCAGAGGGAGTGAACAGCTCAAAGGACCTGGACGCCGAGTTCCACGTATACAACTCCGAGTGCCCTCCTTGGCGCTGCTGTTGCTGCTCCAGCCACCGGCGCCCTACATCCACACCCCCTGCACCGCCATGCTCCCCCCTGTACCGCTCCGCCTCCTCCTCCGCCTCCTGCATGCCTCGCCTGTCGCGACTGCCGCGTCCATCTCGGCCCCCACGCCCCCCAACCTCCCCACTGCCTCCAAGCAGCCGGGCACCCCAGGGCGGGTTGCACACCACCAGTTGGGGTACGGCGGGGGGCTGCACCGACCCGCAGTCGCCGTGGGTCAGCTCCAGCATGCTGTACACGCCGGCCTTGCGGGCTTGGCGTTCAGCCAGGCTGAGGGCGCCCTGGAGCGAGGGTGGGAGGACGGGAGGAGGAGGCGGAGGGTGGTGAGGACGGCGAGTTTTGGAGGGGAGCCAAAGCGATCGGGGGGCTCACGGGGCTCGACAAGACTCGACGCGCATGGCGTTTGGCATACCGTTAGGAGGGCTGGATGGGAGCTGCTAGGAGCGGTCGGGGTTCCCAGTGTTCCTTGCAGCCCCACACCCCCGCCAGCCTCATACACACCTGGGTCCAACATCCCATGGTGCCACCTGCACACCGCCCCCACCACCTGCCTGCAGCGGTTGACCCCAGCAGCCACCAAACACACCCACCCACCCACCCACCCACCCACCCCTCACACCTCACACCACCCCCCGCTTACCTCATGCACGTCTATCCCCAGCAGCCGCCCCCGCCACACCGACCGCACCCGCTCCCTCGCCTCCTCCAGCACCTCCCCCCACACCCCCGCATCGTAGTCCGCCCACTTCTGAAACGGCCATGCCTCAGGGTCCATGGGCGCAGCCCGTCGCCCTCCGCCGACACCCCCCCGGCTGCTGCTGCTGCCGCTGCCCCTCCCCCTGCCTCCTCCCCCGCTGCGGCTGCTGCTGCTGCTTTCCCTGCGAGAAGAGCTAGCCGAAGTATCATCAGGCAGCAGCAGCGAGCGGGCGAGGCCGGGTGCGATGTCCCGCGCCATGAGGGCCGCCTCAATGAGCAGTGTGCCGGAGCCGCACATGGGGTCCGCCAGGACTAGGCCTGGGGGGCGGGGTGGGGTGGGGTGGGGTGGGGTGGGGTGGGGTGGAGGGAAACTAGGCTAAGATGGCAAAACGCAGATGGAGGGGACGTGGAAGGACGGGGTTTAGGGAGAAGAAGGCTTGGGGATGAGGCATGAGGGAGGGGTAGCGGGACGTACGCAAGGGTGCATCAGTGGTTCTGCTTGAGGCCATCCGTGTGCTGGTGGTGGTGGCGCTGCCATGCAGGCTTGCAGTGGTGCCCTGCCTGCCTTCTCCTTCCCCCCCTGCCGCCGCCCTGCATGCTGCCTACCTTCCCCGTCCCCCCCTGCCGCCGCCAGCGCCTCCCCCCAGCCCGCCAGCGTGAGCAGCCCCGCAGCCGCCGCCTCGTTGAGGGCAGCCCGGTGCATGACATCGCGGTAGCCCCGCCTGGGCAGGTGTGGGGGGTAGGGGGCGCGGTGTACGAGGAGGATGTACGAGCATGTACGACAGACGAGGTTGGTTGTAGGTTGGATGGTTTCAATAGCTTTGGGGCCCAGTCATAAACTGCTTCAGGCCGCCTCCTCAGATTCCTCGCTTTCGCTCCTACAGCCAAGTTAGGCTCGCGCTACAGCTCGGCACCCACTCCTGCCAAACCTTGCACACACACCCGCCCCCCCTCCCCTCCAGCGCCCCCCCTCAACCTGTACAACTCGTCAGTTTCCCCTCCCGCCCACCTCTTTCCCCCACCTGTGCAGCGACTCCCCGCTCATGTCCCGGAAGATGCGCACGTGGTCCCGGTAGCAGCTGACGAACAGCGGCACGTCGGCCACCTGGCCGCGGGGGGGCGGGGCGGGCTTGTCGGACCTGGGATGGGGCGGAGAGGGGGGAGGGGTTGGCGCGGTGGAGGGGACGGGATCAGGGAGTGAGAGGAACCAAACCGGATGTACGACAAACACCAAGGTACGACAAGGCAATGCGGGCAAGCAACGAGTGGGGAGGGATGGTAGGGAATGGAGGGCGGAGAGGGGCGAAAGCGGTGCCGGTAGTAAGTGGAGGGAGAGAACAGGATTACGCGCACACAGAGGATAACCGGTGCGTGCCTGTATTGGCGAATGCTGTCGCAGATTGCGTCCTTGGTTCGGGCCCACACGAGGTGCGATGAGGTCAGGTCGGTGCAGCTCCACAGCCGCGGCTCCACGCTAAAGGTGTGACCGCGCGGCAGCAGCTCGTGCCAGGGGGCCGCGTCGTACACCAGGTCGTACAACTGGGCCGGTGGGGGGGGGGGCAGGGAGGGAGAAGGGAGGGAATGAAGGGGGAAATAATAGATAAATGAGGGGGGAGGGAGGTAAAGAGGAAACATCTAACTGACCGTGTGATGAGGCATCATCATGGGGGAGGGAGGAGGGAGGGGAAACGCATCACTGGTAAACATATGCACAGCTGAGAAGGGAGGGCTGGAGGGCGGGAAGGCAAAGAGAAGGAAGGACAAAGCCATTGGTGATGCCAGGGGTTTGAGGAGCACAAGACGAAGAGGACGCATTCCCGCCTGCAACCCATGCAGCCCCTCCCCCATTTGTTGTTTCACTTTTATATAATTTTTCCCCTCCTCCTGCCTCACCGCCTGGCCCCCGCGCCGAGTGTGCTCCGGGTCGCCCCTCTCCTCCTCCTCCTCCCCTCCTTCCCCTCCTCTCTCCCCTCCTCCTCCCGCAGCTCCTCCCCCCGTGTCCAGCCGCCCCTCCGCCAGCAGCACCAGCACACGGATGGCGCTCCGGAGCCACATGTTGGCCGCGTAGCCGGAGGACACGGAGCGACCCCTGGGTCGGCAGAGAGGGGTGGTGGGGTGGGGTGGGGTAGTATGTCGGCTGTTGTTAGCTTGTTACCCTCTACCCTCTACCTTCACCATGTGCATGGCGGCGTGTGTTGCTGCTAGCCTGCTGCTACTACTGCCGTCAGCCCTGAGCCCCCGGGGTGTGCTGCTCCTCTGCTGCCTGGTCCCCTCAGTCCCCTCTAGCAACACCGGTTTGCATGCAGCAGGCATGCATGCTTGCAGCCACCCCCCCTGCTGCTGCCCGCAATCCCCCCCGGTGCCGGTCTCCCCTGCTTGCCTGAATGCGACCCCCGCCCTGCCCGGCTCCACGTCCCAATAGCCCAACGCCGTTAGCTCCTGGGCCACCACCTGGCAGGTGTGGTAAGGAGGGGTGGTTGGGCGGGTGGGACTATGCGGCCGGAAAGGATTACAGCGCGGTATTAGCGCCTGGGGCGGCTAGAAGCTAGGAGGTATCCAGGGCCGGAGTCAGCCCCCTCCCTGGATGTGAACCGGGGAGTGTGTGGTAGTGCAACATACCGTAGGCGACAGAGCACGCAGGGGCTTAGAACCTGTTTGAGCATCTAGGGATTCCTTACGCATGCAGGCTTCACGCACCATTCACGCGCGCAGTTTAGGGGTATTATGGTACTAGGTAGCAATGGTCACATGCTCCCATCGAAACAATCGGCTGTGCCGACAGCGCCGGGGTACCGCTACCTAACCCCACGAGCATGCTTCTGCTGCATAGCTGGGTGCAGTTGGAAACCGGGCAGTCGACCCCCCTATGCTACTATATCCTGTGAAAAGCGCATGAGCCTGTCCCCCCTCCGTATTGGGGTTGCTGCGGCTGCATTCGCCCCCTCACACGAACCCCCCTGGGGGCGTGTTGCCCAACCCAGGCAGGGCCAGGCAGGGTCCTCGCCTTCTCATTATGGTTGGATTTAGACCCGTGCAGAGTGCGTCCGCTGCGGGGGCAGCAGTCCCCAGCGGAGGCGCACGCCTTGGGTCGCTAACGTGGGGGGTTGGGAAAGCGGTATTTGCTGACGACCGCCATCTTCCTTTGCCAGTCAATGGTTTCGAGGGTCTGCGTGCAAAGCCACTAGAAGTGGATTACGGCTTTCTCATCCTCCTTAAGCCGTCATACCTGTTCAAGCCCCGGATGACATGTGGCGAAAAAGGAGACACCGCCGGAGCTGCGGTTTCGACTGGATTCCGACTGCAGGCTCGAATCTGTAGTTGGCGCAGCAACACCTGATGCGCTGCGAACAGTTGTGGCCGTGCGCAGAAAGGTACGTGCTGGGCGCGCTGCTTGGGACCGCAAGTTGCTCCGCAATTGCACGGAAGCCGGCGGAAGGCTGTCCAGCCATCCTGTACTACTTCCAATAAGGGCGCTAGGTGCCGTTGTTGTAATTGGGGATAGGCATGTCGCTGAAGACACTGGACGCAAAGGTATCATTGGTCGAGATAGACGGGCTTGGACGCTGCCAGACGAGCAAGCTGGCGATAATCGGAGACCCAAGCGAGGAAGACATGGCGATTGTCTAATTGCGCACAAGCTGGGGTAGCGACGGAAAACTACACGTCCACGGCTGCCGAGACACGCTGTGCTGCCCAGAGAGGACCGGACCAGGGTCATCATAGACAGGAAAAGTTCAGACTATGCTAATATATTGTTCCTGTATGTTTTCGTCGGTTCGTGAACGTGCTTAATAAAGTCCAGAATGGCGGATGGCGAAACCAAAGAAGGCAAGGCGAGAGTTAATGTCAAAGGCAATAAATAAGGTAAAACGCTGTTCTGCAATTGGGAATGGCTCCGAACAAAGTGCCCTACATCAGCTCCAAGCATGGGCAACGGCACCAGCTCCGAGTCCGGATGACACACAACACGCGAACATGCACCCTGCACCAAGGTGCATAAGAAAAATAAAAACAAACAGAACTGCGAGAAACAAAGCCCGGCCTGCCCCCGACAGATGCCCAGCACGCCTTTACTGCATTCGTATGAGTACGGCGCCTCCGACAGGTTCTCATTAAGTACGCTCCCGCTACCCCGTTTCCAAATCCTTTCGCCGCCTACGACATCTGGCGCGATAGGTTTTATACATCCATAGTCGTCTGCTTGCTCTTCTTGGAACCCTCAGCTGCACGGTCGGTCCAGCAATAGGCACAAGCCATAGGATAGTGAGAAACCGTTAACGGCTCGTACATTACCTATAAGCTTACTGTTGACACTGTTGTGCTGGTATCGGTCGGCTTCGTTGTGCGGCTGTTACTTCCTGGTGGCATCGTCATAAGGTTAGTCGACGAGCCCACCACTCGGCTTAGGTAACATGGGTTTGTTTTGCATTAGACACATCCAGACGTATACACCGTTATCGGCTCTCGCCACAGCCCCAGCTGAGGGCGGGCCGTATGGGTAGAAGGAAATGCAGCTTTGCCATTGTTTCAGTTGTTTGGTAGGCATCTATGCACAATAGCCACCTACTTACGCAGGTGGATGTTGTTGTACGTGGACCTACCATCCGGGGCATGCAACCCCATAAGTAACCTGCTTTGCGCTGGTCCTTTCCAACACTGTGCTTTTGCAGGTCAATTGCAGGTCAATTTGCATAGCCATGTTGGCAGTTATTTTTGTGGCAGTGGCCTTGCTGGCCGTCGCACCGGAATCAGCCTTCGCTGCTCGGAAGGTGTTCCTTGAATCCAATACCTTCGAAGGCTTTGAGCTACCTCCGGGCGTAAGCCTTGACGACGTTGAATTGCTTGCTGACTACACGACCTTTGAGGTCTACCGCAAGGAGTTTGAGCCTTACCTCGGTAAGACTGTCAGCCGTCGCGGCCCCTATGTATGACTACCGCCCGCAACAAACTCCGGTACAATTTGGGGCAGTTCGAGCTCCGCATAAACTGAATAACCAGTTATTGCCATTCGTTTTAGGTAGTTGCACGCCTTTGCCGCGCCATGTTACCAGCACTTCATCCCAGTCGCATCCTCCTCACTATATATCCCCTCCTCACCTCTCTCCTGTCCTTGCTGCGCCCCAAGGTGCCTATGGCGGCTACGGCCTCTACGGCTATTACAGCGAATTCAAGCGCATCGAGTACATCTACGGCGGCAACGTGTACTATGACTACGAGCTCACGCGTGGTCCCGAGGTGACCGGAGAGTACGAGCTGGATGGCCCCCTGCCCACCAAGCCCTCCAAGGGCTCGCTCCTGGGGGATGCGAGCAGCCGTCGCCGCCTGCTGGCTGACATTGCGGCTGCCGGTACCTACGGCCCTGGCAGCTACGGTGGTGGTTATTATGGCGGTGCGCCGCCGCCCCAGGGTCAGTTCCCGGGCTACTATGGCGATGACTCGGCGGAGGAGGCGGGCTGGTCGGACAGCCTGCTTGGGGAGCTAGCCAAGGAGGCGGAGCTGACGCATTAATAGGCTCTGCTGGCCAGAGAGAAGGGCTCTAAGCTTGGCCGAGTTACATTGCGCTGGGTTGATGGACATGTGAGGACTCGGGAGGCGGCGTAATGGAGAGGCCAAGTTGGTGTCATAGGCAGCAGCCCTGGAGGGAGCTGAGGTGCTTGGGTTGGCTGGAAAGGCTCCTCGGATGCGGTGTGGAGTGCAGAGAACACAGAGGGCAGATTGGTAGGAGGCAGCAGAGCAGAGTGGTGTTTATTGCATGGCATGGGGTTAGCTGGATGTGAACATGACTCACAAGATTCAGGCCTGCAGAGATGGATGACATGGCCACTGTCCAGTGCTGCGCTAACTGCGTGCAGGGAAGATTGTTTTGGCAGTGCAGTCCGCTGTTAGACACGAACGACACCTCTCTGATTGGCAATCGCATGCAAACCCATATTCTTTTGCGCATTTTCTGATCATCCCAGTGCGAATTGTGGTCAACAGTTAACAACTCGGTGCGGGCAAGCATGTGGTTGTGATGTTGCTGAGATGGGACACATGGCCTGATGCGGCTGCTGCTTCCCAACCTGTGAGATTTTACCACGCGAGCTCATGTATGTATGATTTGTTAACACACTTGGAATATGTGTCGTACGTTATTCGCGGTAAAGCATACTTGTAGGACGGGTACCGCCGGTTTATGACTGTAGGGGTTACTAAGACAGACAGCATTTGTAGTTGATATCTTGGAGCATATGTAGTCTTAAGACGCCCAGTTGTAGCCGATTGAATTCTCCTTTCTATCCCTGTGGGTTACGGCAGTATGAGGCGTACGTTCGGGGGTATTTATACTGTAATGGCGCTCAAACACATCACTCCAAGCCGTACACTTGTGTGACAGCTAGCGGGATCTCGCCACTGTGCCTCATCACAGCTTCGCCCCACACGTTCAGCCCGTGCATGATGCGATATGGTGTCCCACTTTACTCCCTACGATGCTTGCGGCGCACTTATGTTTTGGCCTACGTCATCAGCAGCCTCGGCAGTCGCCACGCTTGTTGGTGGATACCGGTAGGTGGTTTGGGGTTGGGTGACACGATCACCAGCGGTTGCCGTCGCCTCCTCTGCTGATGTGTAGCATAACTGGCTCGACTTGGCAGTCTATGTACTATGGTGCTTACATTCATTTGCAAGGACACGTGCGCGCGCCGTAACGTACATCGTCTATCTGTAGAGTAGAGTAGCGCATCCGCAGTTGCTGATGTATACAAAGGCAACCACAAACGCGGCACTAGTGGATGATTTGTAGTGGTCTCGAACTCTCGATGTAGTCTGTCGACTGGTAGTTTAGTCATCGAAGGGCTTGCATTTCGCGAGATGCTGGCTAAATCCACATGGGCATCATATATTCATGCCGTTTCGTAGTAGTATAGTCTAGAAGCCACTTGCGCTGACGGCGTCATGCTGGGCAATCTTCCATGTACGAAAGCAAAATTCTTTGCGCTCTATGGTACTTAAGCGGCCTGCCACCCAACTCTCACAAAACTTGTAACTTGAACCTTCCTATGCACTGTTACTTGTGTGTTGTCACCAAAGATACGTAAAGGTAGCAAGCTTGCAGCGATGCAACGTTGTTAGGCTTGCAGCTAAACATAGTAAGCAGGGATTTTGGCGTTTCAGGGTTTCGCTGTACTCCCAATTAAGTAAGTTACACATGAGCCTTGTTATCTAGTTATCTAGACACAAACGGCGGAAGCCGTGCTTAGGCCGTGGTCACCCGCCGTCCCTGCGCTTTCGGCAAAAGGTAAAGCAATTCTTGTGGCAGTTTCCAACTTGTTTATGTCCTGAAAGAGGCAAGGTTGTTGGTCACATAGTACGTAGGGGGTGTCGCTGAGTTGTCTGTCATCCCTTCCCTTAAAGCCCAGATCCCGGGTGTATGTGCAGGTCACCGGCACCATGCAAGCATTCTTCACTATCCTGGTCGCGCTTGCTTGCTTGCCAGCGACAACTCTGGCCGCACGAAACGCGTTCCTAACGAAGCCCATGAGCGACGTCGAGACCACTGCCTGGCATAACCCGCAAGCTGATAACGTGGAAATGCTTTCGATGCGCGACTTTGACGCTGTGGAAATTCTTCGCTACGAGTACGAGGCCCTGGACATATTCTTAGACAAGGAACTCCAGTATTTTGGTACGTGTACAGTTGATCCACCCCAGTTCCAAAGCATATCCCCCATGTTGAGGGGCTCAGGATCACGCGTAGTTACGACTGGGTATGCTCTGATACCTGTACGTATGCTCAAGCCGTTGCTTGCTTTGCAGTTTTTGTCCTGTACCTCAGCATGCGAGTACACCTATGGATTTCTTTTAGAATTGGGAAACCAGTGCGACCTGGCATGTATCCTGGCATGATCTGGGTCACCCTACGGGCCATTCCTCCTCTTCAGCACACTGACACATCCTTCCTGCCTATCCTCTTTCTGTTTGCTTTCTCTCCCAAAGGTTCGTACGGAGGCTACGGGGGCTATGCGGGGTACGGCTTTTATGGCTATTACGGCGAGTTCGAGCGCTCCATCACCTTCATGTACGGCGGAGGCGTCCAAGAGGACTACTCCTTCACGCCAGAGGCCCTGGTATCCGGCGAGTACATGATGGAGGACTCCGAGCACCGCCACATACCCAACCCAAATCAGCTGTCCAAATCCCGTCGACGGAGCTTGCTCGCCACCAACGTCGACGATCTCAGCGCCACTGTCGGGCCGTCCTATGGTGGGCCGTTGTATGGAGGGGATTGGAGTGACTCAGGCGATGTGGGTCGGCGTGTCTTGTACGGCACCCACAGCGGCTATTATGGCGGCGTCTACTACGGCAGCTACTTACGGCCGCTTATGGCTTTCGGTGGGTATTATGGCGGGAGTGGAAGGGTCACGGAGGAGGCGGAGCAGGGCTGGTCGGACAGCTTGCTTGGGGAACTGGCGAAGGAGGCACGCTGAGAGGAGAGAAGTCGGCAGGACTGGGGAATGGGGTGCTACCAGAACTTGGGAGCTATGGAAAAGCTTTTATGCAGGGTTATACATATGTATTCTTTCTCTCTTTGTGCCTAAGCAGGGTGCTTGGGATAGCCTGACAGCGGGCCTAGTACGGTTTTATGTGTTAGGTGGATGGCATACCACCTCCCATGTATACGAGTACCAATTGACTATGATATGTGTTTCGAACGGCCGAACAGGGATCTCTAGGGATAGGCGTTATGCACTTTAGTGGTAGTCCACAATTATGCGCGCAAGCTATTGCTGGGCGTATGGCATCTGTACATAGCTACACAGCGGAAGGTGGTTTACGTGTGTATGTTGGATGCGGGTGTGCTTGCGAGCGCAGCGGAGCGAAAGGGGAAACACCAATGTATGTTCGCAGAAGTTTGTGTCTGCATGGGACTTACGACCACGTGGTTTACGACGACGGCAACGGGCTTTGCTCTGGATCTTCCTTTTATGCGTATTAAACACCTGCGTGGCATGCATATTGCATGCAATAGCGCTTTCTTTTGCAAGTGACGAGGGAACGAGGGACGAGGGAAGTATGCGATACTAATCCCCAAGAGAGTGTACATATGTGATGTTTGACCGTATGGAGTGCGAGTATATTAGGATTATAATCACACGTAGCAAATTACATCCGTGGGTAACCATATGTTACTCCAGGTGAATCCCATGCAGATTGTCTACTTTAAATTCTTGAAGCGCGCTCAAGCAAGGTGCAAATGCCTCCCACTTGCGGTTAACTGAAGCCGACGCACATGTACACGCTGCTATGTGCGGCCAGCCAGCCTGTGTGTAACGCTTTCAAGCATTCTCAGCATCGCTCGCTGTGTAAAGCAAGGGATGCTCTATTATCCACATTTCAATCCTCCATGCAATGCATCTCAATCGTCCTGCGCCAGATACAACCTACGGACCTATGCCCATGCGACCCTCCGCAATTACCTATCAAGCTACTTGGATCCTATGCTGCTGAAGGTAAGCCCGCTGCCTGCCGTACGCACGTCCAAGAAATCCTTTGCCTCCAATCCGCCCCTGCATGCACGCATGCATGCGCACGCACTACATACACGCCCTCAAGGTTAGCTTCTCCCTCTACACCCCCAATCCCCGAAGGTAATCTACCCCGACCCCTATCGCGTCCTGACCTCACCCAGATTTCGCCCATCGCCCATCCCTCTATACCTTTGCCATCGCAACCCCACCCTTCCCACTCTACCCGCTCACCCTGTCTCCCTCGCTATTGCCCTTCACCGCCCTCCTTGTCCTTTCCATCTTCTAACGCCTTCACCGCGTCCTCCAGCTGCTTGCGCGTGTCCATGGAGATCTCGCCCAGCAGGTCCAGCACCTCCTGGTAGAAGTCGTCCTTGGGCGCCGCCTTCCAGCGCATGCCCGCCATGATGGCCATGTTGAAGATCTTCACCACGTTTGTGCCGTCGCTGGCAGACACGAAGAAGAAGGGCAGCTTGCGTTTGGCGGCGAAGTTGAAGCTCTTGGAGGTGACCTTGTAGTCGATGTCGATTTTGTTGGCGACCACGACGGTTGGGATGCCCTTGCAGTGCTCCTGCAGCTCGTCGTACCACTTCTCTAGGTTCTTGTACGTCAGCTTGCGTGTGACGTCGAACACCATGATGCAGGCGTGCGCGCGGTAGTAGTAGGAGGAGTGCATGCTGTTGAAGCGCTCCTGCCCCGCTGTGTCCCAGATGTCTGCAGACACATGTGTGCAAGCAGCGCGGCAGAGGCAGGCGAAGGGCGCAGGGTTGGATAGGGTGTCATGTGAGAAGCGTGCTGGGTGCGTGGTATAGGCGAATGGGGAAGATGGAGGGAGAAAAGGCGAGGAGGGTAGGAGGGTTATGTGACCGGGGAACCTTCCAAAGACAGACGAGTCCTGCCACAGGACCACTACAGACACCATGGAGGGCAACAATGGGGTACATTATGCTTCGCCCTCAAAGCCTAAACAGGGTAAAAGCTTGGAGCTGCGTGTAGGCGTGCTTAATGTATTTGGGCCGCACGCAAATGATCGGCACGTGGCATGTTTCTGGTTTGAGGCCGGGTTTCGTGCAAGGATTTGCGAAACGCTCGCAGCTATCCAGGCTCCGTCGAGAGCGGCAACCGTAGGAAGGGTCCCCACATTAAACACGGACGGGAGCCCCAGCCACGGCTACACTGTGAGCCCAAGACAGGTCGAAGGCAGTGACATGCCCATGTAGCGTGTTGGCTTCAGCTACCGATACCGGTATGCCGAAACCGTAAGCGATTTTCGGTGATTCCACAGAGGAAGCGCCATTGTGGAAACCTCATGTAGGGCATGTAGGAGGTGACTTAGTGACTAGTACGACTTCTGTATGCGCAGTTCCGGTTCCACAGCAGGCCTTAGCAATCATGTACTGCGACGATGGCTGTGTGTAGGACCACACCTACATGCGTTGGGCAATGCGTGTTGCATCGCACTTTCCCACCCAAGCGACACCCTGCGCTCACCAACAGGCACTCCCTTGCCATCCTGTGTCTTAAAGTTGTATCTGTATAGTGTTAGGGCGTAGGTCGACAGCTGATGTGGTTTATAGTTGTCCAGCAAGAAGCGCTCCACTAGCCTACAGGGGTTCGAGTACGTTAGCACACATGCGCTACGCGGATGCCAGATGGTGCTGAAACCCACTTTGACTTTCCAACAGCGGAGTCCCCCAGCAGGATAATCTTGACGGCATCGGATCCTGTTAACTGCAATTCGCACATGACCAGAGCCAACCTGTCAGAAAAATGGCGCATGGACAGGCGCCGAAAGTCCAAAACGCGCGAAGCCAAATGTTACTTTACACCCACCAATGTAAGTTCATCCCCTTGTGGCCCTGAAGTGCTTGCCCCTGCAAGCGCAAGACGCCAGCCAGAAAGGTGAATGGAAGCTCGTGTGTTTCCTCTGGAAGGTTTGCGGGTACGCATACGCACCGTCCGTCATCCTTGCCGGCAACACTACTTTACTGTGCGGTAAGCAACGTAGCCTTTGGCTTTGATCTGGCTATCTGGTTCTTTGGATGGAAGACTGAAATCTAGATACAAACCGCAATATTGGCAGTTACACCTGCGTGGTAGAAGGTAGTCAGTTGTGGCAATGTGTTCTTGTGAAAAGAGCACGAACAAACGCCGTCTGCTGAGCAGACTCATACGTACGGATCCGTCCGGTCCAGTCCCTCGCGCTCTTTCATATCTCCGGTCCAATTTACATCCTACTGAACTGTCTATAGGTTATTCACACCTCACCTAAGAGCTAACAATTGTTGAGGGCCAGCAGGCATCAAAGACACTTGTGTAGCTCCAATCGTCACATCGAAGCACTGCCACCTTTGACATACTCGAGCACAGAAGCAAATTTGCCAATTGATATAGAATGAGCTTGAACGTAGACGATTTGCTTAAGGAGTTGGATGACCTACCTGGGGGACAGGCAGGTCGAGCTGGCCGAACAGCTGGCCCTGCCCAACCTCCACGCAGTACTTCAAACCCTATACCAGGGCAACCATCAAGCTCGCGCGTATCCACCCCAGCTTCAACTAGCCAACCATCTGCGGCCACGACGAGTAACGGCCGTGGGCTAAGTTTCGCAGGCGCTGGCAAGAAAGATGACCTGGAGTCTCTGCTTAGCGATCTGGACTTTGGTGGGACCCCTTACAACAGCATGAACGGGCGGAACAACTCGAACGCGAACGCGGCAGCAGCGGCAGCAGTGCAAAGGCTCTCAGGAGGATCGACCCCAGCGCGTACTTCTTCAGTTCTTGGAGCAAAGCAAAAGTGCACGGGCGTCTTTGTGGGCGGGACGCGGTTCCCTCGCGGCCGGATGGCAGCTGTCGGGTCGCTGACATGCTGCGACGCGCTGCGCTGCACCAAGTGCGATTTCCGCGTCGAGCAATTCGAAAACCGCGACTGGGATGAAGACGTTGACTACCTCTTCTTCCGCAACAACTTCCCCACCGAGGAAAAGCTCTCACCCAAGATGCGCCCACGGCCGGGGACGGTGGCGTACTGCTGCCAGTGCTCCTGGCTGAGTGCAGATGAGCAGAGCAAGCTCGACTTCTCCAGCGAAGTCCGGTGGATCTGCGCGGGCCATGTCGCTTTGTAGCCAAATGGACCGGACCTGTCTCATACAGCAGCTTACCTAAATACCAAACAGTCAGCTGCACCAGCAGATGACAGAGAAAGCCCCGTCGGCGCGTGCTGTACGACGACTGGGGCCCCGTCAGGACAAGCTGTGCTTTGGCTGCCCGTTTGGTGAACCTCAGTGGCATCCTTGCACGGCAGGTGGGCCGTAACCTTGTGGCTTAGTGATTAGCCGCATCACAGCGTTCGGAGACGGGGACGGGGCTAGGATTAGGGCGCCACGGCTGTGGATCTGCTGCCGGCGTCTTCACTTGGCAGGTTGGAGCAAGGAAGACGGCTGTCATTACCATGCAAAGGGAGGACAGTTTGTTTTCCCTGTTCGTCATAATGCATGCGGCGGGTTCGGGTGGTTTGTTGCTGCTGGGGCGTGAAATGGAGTGTGGCCTCGTATGCGTGAGAGGGTTGCATGGGAGGCAGGGCCTCGTATGCGTGAGAGGGTTGCATGGGAGGCAGGGCCTCGTATGCGTGAGAGGGTTGCATGGGAGGCAGGGGCGGAACAATGCTGGACATCCGGAGAGCTGTGTAGTGTCTTAAGCTGGGTTGCTGCTGCTGCACATTGTTTGCGAGCTGCGTGCGACAAAGGACTGGATGATGGCAGGATGAGGCGGTAGGTGAGGGGTGCGCTAGAGGGGCCGCTACTGCGGCCGCCTACTATCGTGCTGCTGGGCAGGTGCTGCCGGGGAAAGCGAAGTACTGCCACTGCAACTTGCGTGCGCGTATCCTGGGTTTACTTATGACGATTCATGTTTTGTCTCCTTTTCTTCTTTCTCCACTGCCTCTGTGACAGCGTGGCTGCATGAAGGGGCGGTTCGCCCTACTTTGTGTATTATATTATGGAACACACATGAAGCGTCATGTCGCAGGGGTAGTTTGACGATTGGCAGGCACTGCTGTCCGCCCAAAACTGACCGTCATCAGACATCCTACGGTGCTGTTGCGAAGCGGTGGAGACTGTGTTTTGGATGTAAAGGCAGGGATTGGGCAGGTTCTGACTACAGCAGGTGTGTTCGGGCCGAGAAGAAGGCAACTGGCAATACCGAGCCTGATGCGGCCCGCAACCGCATCATGCTAGGCTGCATCATCAACCGTGTTTTAAACTGCTAGGGGTCTGCACGTGAAGCCTGCTATTTCCCTGACCCTGGTGACGAAGGAATGGGGTACGTTTGGTGAGCAAAAAAGGCATCAAGGCGGCTCCTGTGTCCGTGTTTGTGTCATGCTCGCGTTTAGCGTTGCTACGGGCAACTGCATGTGCTGTTAGCAATGCCAGCCCGCCGGATGTTCTGCAGCTAGACAGGTGCTTGGATGTATACGACTGTACTGCCATTTGCGTGCCTGCTCCCCACCGTCCCTGAGACCCGTCATCGGTGCCCGCCGGGGGCCACCACCACCACACCGACGACTGCAAGCTAGGTATTCATGTTCACAGCCCAGGGTTCCAAGTCTCGCCAGCCAGTTGAGTACAGTGAGTACAGTTATGTACACGTACCACCGGTGTTTTGAGATTGGCTGTGCGCCCCAGGTGTCAAGAGATTTGTCCATACAGGCATAACTGTTGCCCGCCCAATGGGACAATCAGACTGCTTTAGCAACGTAATGACGTCCAGCAACATTCCAGCACGCATTATAAACAGCTGGCCCTGACGTTGTAAAGGACAAAAGCCTGGATCCCTTTACCAAAACGACTACGCCTTTGGCCCCGTCAGCTGCGGACTCATGCGCTCCAGATCCACCAACACGTCAAACTCGCCCCGCCACAGGAACCCAATGGATCCATTGTCGTACACCCACAGCCGCCCCTCGATCCACGAGGGTTTGCTGAATCCCGGCCCCGCCACTCGCCCCTGCCCCTTATACACCGCAACCACACGCAACGGCGGAGACCTCTGCACCACCGCCGCCGCCGCCGGTGTTCCTGTCGTACCCAACACCTCCCATAGGTCCACTGGACCCGCTGCGGCCGCCGCCGCCGCCACCACCGCCAGCTGAGCTGCCTCGGGCTCTCCCAACTCGTCCACAGGAGCACCCGCCGCCGCCGCCGCTGCTGCTGCTGCCCCTGCTGCCGCTCCCTCCGCGGCCGCTACTCCCGGCCCCGGCGGCACAGCCCACACCGGGGCGACCATCACGCCGGGCGGAGGTCGCGCTGGCGGCGGCGCAGCCGCCGCTGCCGTGGCGGCGGCCACTGCCGCCGCCAGCGCCGCCGTCGGGTTCTCTAAGTAGTAGGGGCGGTTTGTGATCAGCTCGACTTCACTGGGGGGCCAGGGCTGAGGCAGCGGCTCGGCTTCCGCCCAAAAGGTTGTTTGACCGGCGGGCACGTTCCGGTCGCCCGTGATCTTAGTGGCGACGATGCGGCTGCGAGATCCAGATCCCTCGTACGACAGGGATACGACCTCCAACCCATGCACGCCGTACACACCTGCGTGGACGACGGTTTCCAACCGACGCGGCAGACATGGCGGCGGCATTAGCGAGCTTCAAAAAACACCGAAGAAGCTATTCAGGGCCCCTCAGAAAACCTGCAACCCACCCACAATCCTGCCAGCCTCACCCCCAAGACCCCACCCACACCAACACCATCCAGCCCCTCACCCGTCCACATGCCCCCTAGCGGCCGCTGTCTGGAGGGCGCCGCCACCTTGAGCCGCACCAGGTGCTGCAGGATGGCGGCGGGGGGCCGCGACCAGCTGCCCTGCCCAGGGCCCAGCGGCAGGTGCGGGGAGGGGGAGCCGCAGCGACCCCGGGCCTTGCGGCTGCCGGATCTGTGAGGGGAGGGGGAGAAGGTATGCCAAAACCACAGGTTAGGGAGGGGGATAGAAGGGGGAGGGAGGGCGGAGGGGTTGTTTGAGCGACGAAGGCTAGGACTCATGAGGCGCGTCTGTGTGGCTATGGAAGAAATGAAGCTGCCGGTAAGTGGGCGATCCGATAATGGGGATGTAGACACCCTAGCATGCCGCATGCTCTCCCCCACCTGCTTCCAGCAATGCTTGCGTCCATGAACCTCAGCATCTCCAGCTCAAACGAGGGGGAGGAGGAAATGCCGCCCCCTCCCCCGGCACCCGCACCCCCAGCGGGAGGAGGGCTGCTGCCGTACAGCCGCCCCTCGCGACTGCTGCTGCATGCGCCTGCGCGCGCGGGGGGGGGCAACAGCGGCAGCAACAGGAGCAGGAGCAGCGGCGACGTAAGGGCAGCAGCGGTGTCATGCGGGGTTGCCTGAAGTATGACCAAGATACCCGAAGGTGGAGAGGCAGGAGAGGAGAGAGACAAAGAAGAAACCCCATGCCACACACCCCAGGCGCCACACCCTCACCCGTCGCCACCGCTGCTGCTGCCAGGGCGGCGGCGGAAGGCCCCCGGCCGCCGCCTCCGAAGCCGCCCCCGCCCCCCGGCCCTCTGCGCCCGCCCGTATTGCGGCCCTTCAGCAGGGCCATGGACTGCGCGGAGGGAGGGCGCGGTGAGGTGCGGTGCGGAGGGAGGTTGGGGCGCGGTGGGGTGAGAGGTGCGGATAGGAGCCAAGGAGTGATCAAGGCAGGTCACGGGAGGCGAGGAAAGGAGAAATCAGTTCAGCGCTCAACAGTACACGGTGTACCTCCCCCTATCCCTCCCCTTCCCTGTCCCCTCCCCCCCGCCATTCCCACCTCACCTCATCCACCAGCTGCAACGACAGTCCCGGTGCGCCCCCACCCGGACCCACACGCGCCCGCGCCTCCGCCACCAGCACCGGCACCGCAGCAGCTGCTGCTGAGGCGCCGCCATTGCCACCACCTCCGTCGCCGTCGCTGCTACGACGGCGTTGGGGCACCAGCGCCGCCACCTCCACATGCCCCGCGCCGCCCGGCCCCCAGGCCACACGGAAGAGGGAGCCGGCGGGCGAGTCGCCCACTCCCCGCCAGAGGCCGATGAGGGGCTGCATGCGGCGCAAGGCGGCGAAGACGGACCTGGTGGGGTGGAAGTTGGGTTGAAGGCTGTGGTGAAGGCGGTGTAGGGTGCAGGCCTGGTTTTAGGCGGGTGGTGGCGAAGCCCATGGTACCAAGGCGCTATGTGTTTGAAAGGGGATACCGGTATGTGAGTGACCTTCTCTCATGACCTTCTCAATGGTCCCCTCAAGCGGCCCGTCAGCAACCTACTTTGTCCGACCTTGGACCGGCGTTGCCGCCTTACCTATACGTGGTGGGCGGCGGACCGTCTTCATCGTCGTCTTCGTATCCAATAGATGTCCCTGGGATTGAAGCTCCAGCTGTGTCTTCCCGGAGCAACCAGTTACTGGGATTTGTGCACGTCGCCCATACAGAATTACAAAGAGGCTGCCATATGCGAGCGTCGTCTGCACAGACTGTTGCCAGGCGTTTACATGTTAATGCGACGGCGGCAATTTCACGCGGCTTAAGCCGTAATAGAATGCGCGCTGTAAGGTCATCGCTGAGTTCTATTAATGATGAGGTCGGCGTGCTACCATTTAAATAGATATCGTCGAAAGGCAGCATTTTAGTAGGGGCTTACATGCAGAACAGTGTTCCACAGTAAAGATTTGACTTTTTGGAATGACGACCGTCGGCTAGGGTCATCAGCGCTGCTCGTACCAAAGTTAAACACGTCAGCCGTTTTTGTGAGCCTAAGGTATTGCTCGACTAATATTTCCAATATACTGAAAATCACGTCGCAGCGTTGGACCGCACCTTAATAGGCACCTCAACATCCACAACCGCTGCCGGAAACCCAGATCACCCTAGTGTGCATCACACCATGGCGGACCTCTTAAACACCACTACGGTGGTTATGAAGCACGTGTTGGAAACAAAGACGCTGCCGGACGCGGCGCTGCTGAAGATGCTGATCAGCCAGGTTGGACATTTCTGCGTCTATATGTTTCCTTTCCTCGCAGCCAGTGCAACTCCTGCTGCTGAGTACTATTTAGCACCCCGGCGTGTTCGCACAAGCACCGTTGTTATTAGCGCATCCCAAACCCCATCTGCACACCTACTTGATACCCTGCACGGCTTGGTCCCCGCAGAAGCGCACGCTGCCTAACCTGCTCAACCCCACCCAACTTTCTATATCCTCAACCCAAACACACACACGCTCCCTCCCCTTCCCCCACATTAGCTGCTGGGATACGCCATCCTGGCTGGCGCCTGCATCACCAAGCTGCCCCAGGTGCGAGGGAGGAGCGGGTGCAGGTGCAGGCGGGCGGTTTCGGAGCGCGATTCGTTGGTTCCTGGTTGTTGGTTGATTGGTTGAAACCCTCTTGCATCTTTGCATATGTTGAGAAAGAAGTCTCATTCTGCCGATCTGCCCTCTTGAGGGGCACCCGGTGCCCTTACAGACCCGCCTGAACGTTGCTGATGCCCCACCCGTGACACGTAACCGCAACAACCAACAAGTCTAACCCTTCTTGCAGCCATATTTATTTACTACTCCTTATCTCTGTTCCCTGCCATCCCCTCCTCCATAGATCCTCCTGATCCTGCAAGCCAAGACCGCGGAGGGTCTCAGCCTGGAGATGTTTGAAATCGAAACCTACACGCTCCTCGTCTCAGCCCTGTACGGCTACACCCAGCAGCTGCCGTTCAACACGTACGGTGAATCTCTGATCCTTGCCGTACAAAACGCCGCCATCCTGGCCCTGGTGTACGGCTACAGCCGCGTTCCGGTTGGCCGGCGGTTGGCGGTTACAACGGCTTACGTGGCGTTGGTGGTTGGTGTGCTGTTGGGCCACATCTCCGCCGCCTCCATGACCACGTTTGCGGAGGCCAACACGGTGGTGGTGATGCTGTCGAGGCTGCCGCAGGTGCGTGCGTGCGGGTGTGTGTTAGGCACACTGGCCGCAGATGTGTGTTTAGCGAGTCAGAAACGTGCTGTGTGTGCATGGCAGTCCACCCCCTGCCCCGCATGCCGCACCTTCCTACACCCGCCTACCTCCCATCCCCCTCCCCAACCGCCAACCCCCCATCCCCCCCGCCCCCGCCACCCCCAGGTCTTCAAGAACTTCTCCTCGGGCTCCACGGGCGCACTGTCCGGCCTCACCACCGCCATCAACGTGGTGGGCTGCTGCGTACGGCTGTTCACCACCCAGCAGGCGGGCGGCGGGGCGGCGATGATGCGGGGTTATGTCGTCAGTGAGTCGGGGAGGGAATTATAAATGAGACACGAAGCAACGGAGATAAGTGCAATGGAGGGGATAAAAAAATATATGGAGGGGGGGGGCTTGAAGGAGAGTGTGAAGGATGGGTACGCCGGGTGCATGGGGCCCCCCTGGGGCTGTGGGCTCGTCTGGACGCACGCATGTGCGCTATAACGGTTACCGTTATACTTCAACTCCCAAACCCCAATACCCCTTCGAAGGCCACCCCCCTTTACTACCTCCCCCTCCCCCGCCCGCACCCCTCTCCAGGCCTCATCATCAACGCTACGCTGCTCGTACAAATCATCTTGTACCGCAAGAAGACGGCTGCCGTACTGGCGGCGCAACGGGCGAAGGCAACTGCTGCCGCTGCTGCGAAGGAGACGAAGAAGGAGAAGTAGAGGATAGAGCATGCCGCGGCTGGGAAGGGGCCGTCAGCTTTTCATTCCGCTCTGCAAGACGTTTCCGGGGGGGGGCCTTTGTTGTCCTCGCAGTACTGGGATGTTGTGGAAAGAGGAATAAGACTTACGGTGGAATTGTGTTGGGAGTTGTGTTGACATGAGGTTGAGTTTTTGGGTTCTATTGGTGGTTGAAGGGCGGCTTTTTGTTGGATTTCGGGTTGTACCCTGATGTACCGCTCTCCCCCGAGGCACGTTGCAGTAGCGGATGGCAAGGCCTGTGGGTGGGGTGGGGCAGGGAGGTATGGTGCATAGGCCCCAACATGCATGGCGGTAAGAGGCTACACGGAGAGACGCGGCTGGTGGTGCATGCCAAGTTACTGCAGGAGGCGCATGTGCTGCAAACGCACAACATTGGGCACATCACATCAGAGGGGCCGTTTAGGGATTTCACCTCTGCCTCATCGCCTGACTGTCTTATCGAGCAGATGAGGTACCGGTACCGCCCTACCAGGTACCGCAACGTGTTTTCTATTCCGTGCAGATGAGGGGACATGTGTTGAAGCGGGGGCACAGCGCTCACTGCTTTTGCTTTATGGTAATTTTCAGCTAGCCCCAGCGCCCCTGACTTTCCTTCCAAACAGTCTGCCCGCATGCACGCACGCGACCTAGAGCCCTTTATCAGCGCTTTTCATCCAGCCCCCCGACCCTTACTGTAGTACCAGTGGCAGTGGAATGCATCAAGCCGAGTAGAGTGTCTCCCACCCCGCATTTGCTGTCCGCCCTGGTCACAAAACGCACTCCCCCCTCGCCCCTTTCTGCAAGTATCAAGAGTGCAGCCTGCTGGCGTTTGCAAAGACCCATGGGTCATTATTCCATCCATCCATCACGCACAGCTTTCTCAGGCTAGTAACTGGCCCAGCAGTGTGTTAAAATAACTGGCCGCGAGGAGAAACGTACTGTGATTGCCGAAAGATGAAGTCCTCCCACCGAAACGCCACAGGTGAAGTGAAGTCCGTTGGCCATGGTGTATTACAGCTATCGAGTAGTATCGGAGTCCATCCATGCGCCCCGCCTCACCTCACGTCGACATCGTACCCTCCCACCGCCTGCTTGCTTGCATGCGCACATGACACCTCCTTTCTCAACCCCCCAGGAGCTCTCCCCCGCAGACCTCCGGTGACCCTAGACCCCGACCCCCGACCCCATGTCCCGTTCGCAGCCCCTCACCTTCAGCCCCCACCTCTCATCCCGCCGCTTAAACGGGCGAGCAACAACACCTCCGACCGCAGCCGCCCCACCACCGCCACCATTAACAGTAGCAGCACCCCCAACCACCCTTATAGACTCTAATAGGCTATGCTAGCATGCGCGAAAGCAGCAGCAGGAGCAGCCGCAGCCGCAGGCCCCGCCTATGTTAACGCCTGTGCCTAGTATGAGAAGAAGTAGAGCTTGAGCCCCAGCCCCAGCCCGATGTGCGCCAACACAATCAGCAGCAGCACCAGCGTGGCTCTGCGGGAGGGGGGGGGACGAGAGGTGGCACAGGGGGTGGGGCGGAAAAATAGATGATAAGTGCCGCAACGGAGTCCCAATCCCATATCCCGACTCATGCAGTGAGCGGTAGTGGTGCGGAAGGGGGGGTGGAGATGTGTTTTGTTCTACAAGCCAATTACAGCTTCCGTGACCCGTGGTGGGAGAGGAATTGGAAGCTTCTCGCCCATCCACCCCACTTCCTCACTCAAACCCACCCTCCCTCCCTTCCTTTCCATCCCCCTCCATTGGCTTGCCCCAACCTGTGGTTTCCTATGGTTCGGTATGGTCTTTAAAAAAGACCCCCCCCGCTCCCCACCTAGCGGGTGCCGCGCTGTATATGGTGGCCCTGAAGTTCATGAACAGGAAGCCCGCTGACAGCGCGGTGGCGCCCATCACCAGCAGCCAGCGCAGCCAGTCGATGGGCACGATGCAGGCCACGGAGACGGGCACGTAGATGGTCAGGCAGTAGCCTGGGGGGGGAGGGGGGGAAGGAGGGGAGGCGGTGTTGAGGGAGGGAGCAAAGTAAGGCATCGGCGGGAATTGGCGTGCATGTTGGGTTGCCCCCACCGCGCTCCTCGTCTCCTAAAACGCACACCCCGTCAACCCTCTTCCTGCACCCCCTGCGCCTCCCTGAATCCCTCCCCTGCAGACCTCCGCCCCCCCTCCCCTCCCTCTTCTGAGGAGCTCTATGCACGCTATCTCCGCCCTCCCCATTATACTTGGGCTTTTGTCCCCCCCTCCCCTCCCTCCCCGCCCCGCCCCTACCGTAGATGCAGAACACGTTAGCCAGCCGCAGCTCCCCTCGGAACCACTTGACCGCGAAGAACAGCAGCAGCCCCACAATGAAGACGTAGCCGTAGAAGATGGCGGCGGAGGTGCCCAGCTGGGGGGGGGGAGGAGGGAGGGAGGGAGGGAGGAGTCAAAGACAATACCAAACCACAGGAATCAACAAGGGAGTAACAGGCAAAGCAATTGAGATTTGAGATAGCTGCGGAACGGGGACATGACACAGCATGACATGGCACGGAGGGAGGAGCAGAGAAGTAAGAGGAGAGGGAGGCGGCCCATGCTGCGCGATGCCCTCCCACCCCCCCACCCCTGTTCATCAGTCAGTCAGTTGTTTCCTCTTTACCCCTCCTCACCTCCTTCCTCTTTTTACCCCCCGCTCCTCACCTCCTTCCTCTGTTTACCCCTCCCCCCTCCTCACCTTTGTGTAGTCCGTGAACCACTGGTTGTCAGTGATGCTGGAGGAAGCAGCCGCCAGCAGCAGCCGGCCCGCGGAGGCGAGGGGCGGGGAGGGCGAGGGTGAAGGGGAAGGGGAGGGGGTGCTGCTGCTGCCGCTCTTGCGCCACTCGATGTAGGAGGCGAAGTTGCCCGCCACTGCGGTGATGAAAATGAGGGTGGTGGCGGCCCAGAAGGGACCGTAGCTGCAGGAGGGTGGGGGGTGGGTGGGTGGGGGGGGGGAGGGAGAAACGGGTGGGGGGGGGAATGTGCATGTGCGGGAAAGGGGGCAGGGAGGACTACGCCTAGGGACTTCTGCCGTAAACAATCGCACGGAGTTCTGATCCCAGCTAGTTCCGCTGCGCCGGCGTGTGCCCCGAACTCCGTTGCTGGCCCGTCAACAGCTGCCGCTCCCCTTCTCAACACCCCCAGTGGCGGCAAGAAGACGGCACAGCGCCACACGAGGAGCAGGGGCGCTGCCCCCGACACACGTTGCCGCACGCAGCAGCAGCAGCGGAGTACCCCCCGGCGCCCCTCCGCTGCTCGCCTCCGTCCCCGCAACCCGCTGCAGCCGCTGTCCGGGTTGGCCCCCGCCCCTTCCCGGCTGCCCGCTGCCTCTCCCGTCCGCCAGCGCCCCCCCCCATGACCAGCCCCACTAGCCACTCAAGACACTCCCCTTGCTGCTGCTGCTGCGCACCCCCACCCAGGTCCCTACCCCCGCCGCCGCTGCTGCTGCGTCGTGCACGACTGCCCCACTCCCCGCCCACATGTCCTCCCCTCCCCTCCCCCCCCTCCTCACAGGTCTGGGTTCTTCATGGTGACCTCCATGAAGTTGGGGCGGAACACGCCGATCAGCGAGTTGCCCACACGCCACAACACGTCCTGCGCAGGGGTGGGGGAGGGGATGGAAGAGCAAGGACAAGGGTTTTGGGAGGAGAGCGGCCAAGGTATCATGACAGAAGCTTTGCCTGCCATCAATCACAACAACCCCAACACCGCCATGAGCCCGTTCTCCCCCCTCCACACAGCCGACTATTCGACGCCCCACCTTCAAGCCATTCCCGCTACTGCCGGCCTCCCTTCCTCCACCACCCTTCCTTCACACCCCTCCCTCCCCTTCCCCTCGCCCCCTCACATTGGTGTCCACATCAAAGTACTCCCGGTAGCGCCGCACGTTGTAGAAGGGGTACTTGGAGTAGTCCTCGCGCGGCCCCCCGCCCGCACCCCCCGCAGGAGCCACTCCGGGAGCACCAGCACCACCAGCACCAGCAGCGGCGAAGGAGGGGTCCTGCGGGTTGAAGGGCTGCGAGAAGGGCCCGCCGGGACCCAAGCCGGCGGCAGCTGGGTCGTCGGAGCGGCCGGTGCCGTACACTGCAGGTGGGAGTGGGGGGTGGGGGGTGGGAGAGGGAGAGAGCGCAGAGGGGTTTTGAGGTGGGTGGGTGGGCTCGGGGGTGTTGTGGGTTGGGTGGGGAAGCCCGGGAAGGGTAGTGGTGGTGGAGGAGGATGAAAGGTGGGCTGTTCGCGGTGTGCTGTGCTGGAACCCATCCTGTTGTGCTGTGCGGCTGCATCCTCTGGGCGTCAGCTGCACGCCCTCAGCCTCAGCCACTTCTGAGCTGTGATACTCAAGGACGAGGCCGGGGTGGGGTCACATCCAGACCCAATCCTAGCTTCCTCCCTCCTTCTCCTCCCTCCTCCTCCTTCGGCTCTTATCTACCCCACCCCAGATGGATGCCGAGACAATGCCGGCCCGGGTTCTGCAGGTGCGCAGGTTCAGCTGCGGGCCCCCACCCCTGCCGTACCCAGGTTCTGCCGCTCCTCGGGGCCGCGCTGCATGGTGCCACTCACGAACTGGGGCGCGGTGGTGTCTGCGGGGGTGAGGGGGAGTGGGAATGGGGCGGGGACGGGGGTGACGGCAGCAGCAAAATGACGCAGAAGAAGCTGTGAGGCAGGAGGAGCGTATGCAGGGTGGACATAAGCTCGGGCCCGTGCCCTGAGAAAGATCTTATAAACGCTTAAAGGGCACAGCAGCAGTGGTTAACGGTGGCTAAATGTGTTGTTCTTCCACTTCTCATATCATGCCGCTGCCCTTGCCTAGGAGCAATGTCGGGGCGGGGGGGCAGCCATGTAACCCCGCCTATCAGCAACCCGGAGCTACGTACCTGTGAACTGCAGGGGCACCTGTTGAGGCGCATAGCCTCCGCCAGGAGCCGCAGGTGCGCCCCAGGCGCCCTGATAGGCTGGTGCGAAGCCCGCGTGGGCTGGGGGCTGCTGCGGAACTGCGGGCACAACCTCATCGGCATATTGTGCGGTGGTGTTGACGTTGTAGGCGCTGAAGGGATTCTGACCAGCGGCAGCAAACGGGTTCTGGCCGCCAGGCGGCCCGGCCCCCTGTTGGGAAACACAGCGAGGCGGAGAGGTTGCGGTCAAGTCCGATCGCTGTACTTAAAGCCAAAGGCGGGAGGGCGCGGACGCGTTGTTGGTACAAGTAGGTACCTGCATGTTGCTTGGTTCTTAGCTAAACCGTGAAGTTACTTTAGAAAGGCGTGGGCTGAAAGCAACTGAAGATGAGGGACAGCCTAGAGCGAATATATCCACCAAGCAAGAGGAATTGCACCTAGCAAATCTTTGGCTAATTACCATCATCGGAACTAGCTTCAGATGCATGAAAGGGTCCGCAAGCACCTGTACGGCAGCTTATTGCGATCGGTCTGGTGCAGCTCGTGCCGGAGATGCAATTCAGCTGCATTCCGTCCACCCAAACTTTTATGTTTACTGTGTAGTACTTCCTGTTCTGTGTTGTGGAGGTTAAGAGGCCGCAGGCCGCCAATACGCTAGAATGGGGCAAGGGGAGGGTAACGTCCTAGACTTCGTCCCGCGGCTGTCGTTTCTTCCAGCTGATTGGCATAATTTAGGCGCAGCGCTTGGACTCAAAGATCGCTCGGGACCGGCCGCCAGCGGACGCTACTCTTTCGTCGTTAAGCAAGGAGTCGATGCCGCCGAGCTCACCTCCACCGGCCGTGTCGTGGAGGGACAGGCTGACGTTGGCGTGTCTCTGAAGCTTAATACCTTGGCGATCGGGCTTAGCTCTGCCAACCTGAGCTTCCGAATGGGCCTCGACGACCCCACGGCAGCTGTCGCGCAGCGCGTCGGTGAGGGCAGCGTTCCCAGCCTGAAGCTAACCGCTGCCAAGCAGTTCAAGGAGGACAGTTACGTCGCCGTCAGCTACGACCTAAAGCAGCGCAAGCCGGAGCTATCCGCATGCTGGACGGGCGATGCGGCCAATGAGCGCGCGACGCTGCTGGTCCGCGTGGACCCTGTCATGCGCGCAGTCAAACTATCCACAGCTGTCAGCACGCCCGGCCCAGAATGGCGCAAGGTGTTGTACAATAACGAAACTGACCAACTGGAGTATCCCGTCGATGATGGCGCGCGGCACACATTGTACGTGCAGCACGAGGCCCGCGGCCGCAACCTGCTGCACTCCACACGCATGGGATGCCGCCTAGACCTCGGCCGGCTCATCAACTTCGCAGCGGACTTTTTTGACTACTACATCGAGGAGCGCATCCCGGGCTACATCTGGAATGTCCCGCTGCTGCCACAGCTGTACTACATGCTCGTCCCTCCCGAGGACGATGACACGCAAGTACGACACAGGATCAAGGGCTGGGAGCTGGACGTCTCGCAGGACTTCAGTCGCGGCGCAGCCTGGCGACCCGCAGTTGCGCTCAGCAAGAGCACGCGGTACGGCACCGTTGCGGCGTCGTACGACACGGCTGCTGAGGAGGCTGGTCTGTCGTACAACACGGGCCGGGGCGTGAGCCTGGGTGCGCGGCTGGGTCGTGTTGCCGGTCAGGGGTGGCGGAAGCCCTCGCTGCACCTGAGTTTGGAGCCGCTGAGCCTGCTGGGGTGAGGGGCAGAGGGAGAGGGCAGCAGGAGGAGAAAGGAGGAGGGGCCGGGGGAAAGGATGGGGGGGGCCGGGGAGCTGAGTACTAGAGGGATGGGAGTATGGCGGTGTGAGGTCTGTGAGCATTATGGAATGGGAGCGTTAGGATGTGGTTCCGAGGCAGTGTGGGGACAAGGTTGCGGCGGCTGGTGTGTGTGCAGTGTTAGGGAGGGAGGGGTAGGCGTCTAGTGACTCCTCCAGGAGAGGGCATGACGGCAGCCCCTTGCTGTCCTTACGAGCTCGGCTCCGGCGGGCGCTGGGAAACGGGCGCTGGCGCAGGGGGGGGCGGGCGGGCAGCGGGCTCCCGCTGTAGCTGATTGCTTGGGGCGGCAAATGACGACACGCCCAGTAGTCATGGGCCACCAAGGCAGCAGCGGGAGCTGGTGCTGTGAATGGGTGCTCGGCAGCAGCAGCAGGGGAGGTCCGGCAGCAGTAGCAGTTATAACAGCGGCGTCAAGAGGGATGTGGCAGCAAAGGTCACACTGCTGGCCTCTGTACGTCGCCCGCTGCCTCCCCTACAAGCCAGCGCCGCCTGCCTGGGGCGATGCATTTCCTTTCCCCCCCGCCAGCCAGTTAACATGACGAGTCGGCTGGAGTTGCCTACCCGCTCGTTCGCTCGGCGCCGCATTGCTTGCGGCTTCTGTCCATGCGCAGCGCACCGAGGGGCGGGGCTAGCGGGGCGGCAGCCAGGGGCGGGGCCGGTGGTGGCGGTGGCCCTGCAGCAGCAGCAGGGGGGCAGGCGGAGGTGCTGGGCTGCCCTGGTGCTGGCAGCAGCAGCAGCAGCAACGGCGGCACGGCTGGGGTCAGCAAGCAGCTGATCTCCGCGGCGTGGGTGTCTGGTAGGAGTATGGCCGCCGCGGTCCGGATCGCGGGCCGGTGTCTGACGTGTACGTACATGCGCGAGTGCCCTTGGGGGGAGGGGTGAGTGTTGGAACTGCTGGGGCAACGCAACGCTCTCAGAAGGCTCTCGGCGTGATGACAGAGGTGGTGACAGCAGCATTATGTGTGGAAAGCGGGAAGGGAATGTTGTGATGTGGATTGCACTCGGGACAGGCATGCGAGTTGTTGTGCGTGTGTAGGCCGCAGTGCTTGAGTACAGGCGGGTTAGCCGCGCACGCTACTTGTGCCGCGACGGGCGCTGTTGCTTCGTAGTAGGTGGCTTGCTTTCCGTTGCCGGTTGTGGGGGCGTTTGGCGGGTATATGGGTGCCGTACAGCTGCGATGGCAAAAACTTGGCACAGCTGCATTGGGTACCGTTACGTTGATGCCGTTCTTACGTTGTTTTACGTGTTTCTGGACATGGGACATGCGCAAAGCAGGCTTGGTTTCCAACTGTGGGGTTTGGCTTGCACACGTTTCAACGCGTTATGAACCCTGCCGGCTTGCGCTGATGGCCAGGCCTGGGTGGCTTCATCCGCCTGCTGCCATTGCTGCCCGCATGCGGGTTTTTGTAGCCTCCATTTTGTGCTTCGGAGGCGGCGGCGGCGGCAGCAGCCAGACTATAGGATGATGCTAGCCGGCGAACCTCTATACGGTTCCCACAGAGGCTGGATTGACAATGAAACCAGTTGCAATTTGTACCAGTGTCAGGTGTCATGTGCAGGAGGTGGGCCATGAGCTCTCGTGGGATACGTGCGTGCTGTGCTGCCGTAGCTGTGTAAGGACGGGTCCTCAGGCAGCAGCAGCAGTGGATGTAGCTAACGCTACCGGTAGTGTGAGCGAAAGGGATGGGCCACCTGCCGAACATATGGAGGCTTTTATGGAAGGCGCAGCAGGACTATGAAGGAACGGAAGGAACGGGTAACGGAGGCCCCTCCACGTTAGGAAAACTCAGGTGCAAAAACCAGGCGACCATAACATTCCGACACGCTTTGAGCGGAAGCGGTAGGAATGCGTATAGTTCCCGCCGTCAAGCTGCAAGCGTCCGCGTCAGGGAGGTCATGAGTTTGTATTCAGTCATCTTACTATGCTCACATCAGTGCTACAAACCGACGCGATCGTAAGACGCCGTTGTGCTGCACTCACCCTACGGTGCCGTTAGTAGCGAACCAGTTTTCAGCTGCCCACAGTTGACAGGTGAGGGCATGATGTTCCTGACATCGGTTTTGCAATTTGCGTAAACCAGAGCCTGACCCAGGGGTCCGGATATGGCCTAGACTTAGCGGCCCCAAACATATTCCCCTTTGCCTGCATGCCGCGCGCAATAGAACTATTATAATCCAATGCTATGATGGCCCGGCAGAGAGGCTTGCGGCCTTGGTGCCGACAAAAAAGGCCAAGTTATCCAACGACGCCAGGCCTTCTTTGGGTCACCTTGGAGAATAGGCGACAACAATGAGTGTTTACCATTTGAGCCCAGAGCGCTGGCGTGTGGTTTCGGCATGGGGCGAAGCAGCAATGCATGACTACGACCGCCCCAAGCCGTAACAAGCAAAGCGCTTGCCATCGAAGCTTGGTGTGGCCTTTCTTAGAGCCCGGTCGTTCCTTCCTTACCATAAAGGAACATCCTAGCTAATTCTTGCTTAGCCTGTAAGTTGATGTCCGCGAACCGCAGCCGATAGGAAACTTTGGAGCTACCGTTTTTACTCCAAGCCACGCCGTAGCAAGTAATATACTTGAAATATGGGACTTCGAAAGGCGGCCGAATGGCTGCTGCGCAGCGCAGCTCGATCAGACGGTCTCAGGCACTTCAGCAGCAGCAGCTTGTTAGCGGCTGGAGAGGCAACAGCTGGTTCATCGGTTGCAAGTGGATCTGGCGCTTCTCGTGAAGCGGGGCCTCGGTTATCGGAGACCGTAAAGCGCATTACTACGCCGCTATCGCAGCCCCTGCCGGGAGTACAACCGGAGCGGCCCTGCCCGCGGCCGCTGGCACCTCCTCCCACCGAAATCACCGTCCTTGAAAACGGCTTGAGGATTATCAGCGAGGCTTCGCCCGTGAGTCCCTTTTCACCAACGGCGATGCCGGTTGCGGCGTCCATTCGTTTTGTATTTAGATGCGACACCGGGAGCTCTCCCTCGCTCGCAGGGCCCCACCGCCAGTCTGGGTATGTACATCAACTCGGGCAGCGTCTATGAAAACGAGAGCAACTCAGGTCAGCAGGATGGCACGCGTGGGCGTGGGCTTGGCCGTGGGAAGCAGCGGCTGCAGGGATGCAGGAAGGACACAGTGCAAACAGCACCCATTCACCTCGTAATGGTGTGCCTGAGACGGAATGGTGCTGGGAGCAGCGGCTCAGGCAGCGTGAAGCCAGGGAGTAGAAGCGGAGAGTCTGCGGCAGTAAAGCAGTGAGGATGTATAGCGTCAGGCTGTAGGGACGAGCCCGCCTCCCTCCCGTCCCACCTATTTACCTCCCCCCCCTCCTGCCCTTCCTCCTACCCCTACCCCGCAGGCAGCAGTGCCCTGCTGGAGTGCCTGGGCTTCAAGGCCACCACACACCGGGACACGCTGCGGATCATGAAGGAGGTGAGGATGAAGGGGGGAGGCGGCAGGAGGAGCGGGGTTAGAGGAGGGGCAGGCAGGGAAGCAGGTGAGGCAGGGAGAGAAGGAAGAGGGGCAGGGAGGCAAGGAAGAGGGGCCGGGGGATTGCAAGGAGAGGGAGGAGGGGGAGTGTGTGTAGGGGGGGGAGGGTTACAACAACAGGGGGGCAGCGCAGAGGAAGGTCAGGGGCTGGCGGCGCTTGGGGCGGGCGGGCGCTGGTCAGGCGGGAGGGGAGGGAAGGGCAGGGATGATGAGGGCTCACCACCTCACGTAACGGACAGCCATTCCACCTGGTTTAACGTTAGACGCCAGGGTGTGGCGGCTGGGTCGCCACCCCGCCTCCCCATCACACGGGTTGCCTAGCCGCCTGCCCCGGGCCCCCCGCTGCTCGCTTGCCGCTCCTCCCCCACCCCGCCGCAACGCCTCAAGGGCTTCGTTCCTCTGACCCCCCTCACCAGTGTCACTACCCCATGGCAGCGCCCAAGGGTTGTGTGCTCCTAGGCGAACTGCAGCCGAGCACCACCCTCCCCGCCCTGGGGGGTGGGGGGTGGGGGGGTCGTCTGCAGCTCTAGGCCTCCCTCCTCACCTGCAGCCTTGCCTCCTCCCTCGCTCCCTTTCCCTCCCTTTCCTCCCTTCCTCATCCTTGATGTCAGCTGGTGCGGAATGACCACCTCCTGTTAATTCCCTTGCTCCCGGCTCATCCACCTTGCTCCCCTTGCTCCCAGGTTGAGAAGTTCGGGAACACCATCGTGGCCAACGCGTCCAGGGAGCAGGTGGGGTGGGGGTGGGGGTGCGAGGGCGGATGTGCGTGGGTGGGGGTGATGCTGGTGTAGGGCAGTTGTGGGAGGGAAGATAGTGAGGTGGCGGGTTGGAGGGCGGCGGTCAGGCTAGGTCACAAGGAGAGAACAAGGGGAGGTCAGGGAGCACATGCGGGGAGGAGGGGTATGGAACGTCGGAGGCAGGGGTAGGGCAGGTGGAGGGGTTGGGGAGGAGGAGGGGTGGTTGGCGGGCGCCCAGTAGCTTCCACAGGATGTGACTGGGTGGTGTTGGGGAGTTGTCGGGGGCATGCTTGGCCCCGTGAATCGCCCTAATGCGGCCGCCCTGCCGCTGCTGCTGCTGAACAAGCCCCTGCTGCTGCAGGCGGAAACGGGGCTACTTTCCCCTGACCCCTTCCTGCCCATGAACGGCACCCCTGTCTTCCCCAGCTTGTCACCCCTAGTGTGTCACCTACTATCAACCCATGCATGATGTTTCTTCTTACTCGTCCCCCCCTCTCCCCTCTCCCCCCCCTCTCCCCCTCCTTCCCTCCCCCCCTTATTATCACACCACACTTTGGAATTTCTTTTTTTTTCCCTCCCCCCCTCCTCCAGATGTCGTACACCATCGACTGCCTGAAGACCGGCTTCCCCGCCGCGCTGGAGCTGCTGCTGGACTGCGTGTTGAACCCCGCGTTCGAGGAGGCGGAGGTGGAGGAGCAGAAGGGGCGGCTGGAGGCGCTGCTGGGGGGCAAGGAGATACACGCCACGCTAATGACGGAGGTGGGGGGCGGGGCACGGTGGTACGGTGGTGCGGGGGATGGGGGGTTGTTGGGGGAAGTGAAGGGTGTGGAGGGGCTGACACTGAGGGAGGGGGAATAGGGTGCAGGCTGTGGGGCCTGTGTGCAGGCAGATGTGAACTCAGCGGTGGGGAGCCCAGTCGCCGCACCCCGCCCCTGCACATGCACACCTTTCATCGGGCAGGCATTTGTGGCCTAGATTGAAGCTGGTCCTAAACAGGCGCGCAACCTACACATAGACCCTTCACATGTCCATATCTATATCCATCTTGCCTTCAATTCACAACCCTCCTTCCCCTCCCTCCCTTCCCCTCCCCCGCAGTTCCTGACCCGCTCCGCCTACCGCGGCCCCTTTGGCGCCCCCCTCATCCCCGACCCCCCCGCCCTGTCCGCCCTCTCCCCCGCCTCCCTGCGCTCCTTCACCTCCTCCACCTTCATCGCACCACACATGGTGCTGGCGGCCTCGGGGGTGGAGCACGGCCGGCTGGTGGAGCTGGCGGCGCCCATGCTGGCGGGGCTGCCCAGGATGCAGGCGCTGAGGGAACCCAAGCCGGAGTATGTGGGTGAGTGGGGGAGGGAGATGTGAGGCCGCGCTACCCTTCTTCTAGTGCCATCTGTGAGCCCTCACCTGTACCTGTGAAGCATCAGACGTGTCCCGGCTTTGATACCGCTAACACCTCTCCACCTCCTTCCTTCTCCGCCTCATCCTCCCTACCCTCACCCCGCGCCACCCTGTCCCCACCCCCTCCTCCTCTCCTCTCCTCCCCTCCCTCAGGCGGTGCCGTACACCTGCCCGGCTCCTACCCCCAAGCCAACCTGCTGCTCGCATTCGAGTACGGCGGCGGTTGGCGTGACGTACACGGCGCGGTTGTGATGACGGTGCTCAACTACCTGCTGGGGGGCGGCAACTCCTTCAGCAGCGGCGGCCCGGGCAAGGGCATGCACAGCCGGCTGTACACGCGGGTGCTGAACAAGTACGCGTGGGTGCACTCGTGCGCCTCCTTCAACTCGACGTTCAACCAGAGCGGGCTGGTGGGGATACAGGTGAGGAGGAGGGGCAGGAGGAGGAGAGAGGGAGGGGAGAGGAGAGAGGGGGGAGGAGAGAGGGGGGAGGAGAGAGGGGGGAGGAGGGGAGGCTAGCGTGTGCCCCCATGGCTGCCACCATGGAGCACAGCAGTGATGGGGTCTCGCGGGTCACAAGCAAGTAAACCACCGTACACAATTCCAGCCCCTACTCCACCCCAACCCCTTCCCCCCTACTCCACCCCTCCCAGTCTCTGAGTTGCGTGTTTCTAGAATAGTGTCTCCGAATGCGCTCACTGCATGAGTCGGGATTCGGGATTGGGACACTGTTGTTGCACTTATTTATAACTTTTCCCCCCCTCCCTGTCCCCCCCCTGCCCCCAGGCTGCCTGCGACCCCTCCTACGTGCACGACATGCTGCATGTGATGTGCCACGAGCTGGAGTCGGTGGAGAAGTGAGGGGGGGGCGGGAGGGTTGTGTGGGGCTAAGAGGGGACAGGAGCTGTGTGCCGGTGCATGACGGGGCATTGGGGCGTGGTGTTTTGAGGCAAGGAGTCAACACGCAGCTGGGTGATTGCGCCCCCCAGCCCGCATCCCTCTGTCCACACCCCATCCCATTACTACCATGCATCAACACCACATGGCATTAATGCCCTCCTCCCGTCCCCCTTCCCTCCATCCCCCCACACATGATCCGCTCACAGCATGAGTCGGGTCATGGAATTGGCAATCCAATGCTTTGCGTCCCTCATTCATCCTCTTCCCCCCAATCCAACCCTGCCCCCTGCCCCCCCCCCCCCCAGCGGCACCAACCGAGTGGAGTTGGAGCGCGCCAAGCGGGCCGCCGTGTCGGTGATCTGCAACGCGCTGGAGAGCAAGGCAACCAGTGCGGAGGACATCGGGCGGCAGTACCTCACGTACGGCAGGAGGTGAGGAGGATGGGGGGGGGGCAGCGGGGGCTGGGGGCTGGGATGGGAGGGCTGCGGATGGTTAGTTGTTCCTCTTTTACTCCCGGTAGCTTTTCTTCTCCCCACTCCCCTCCTCACTCCCCTCTTCACTTACATAATTTTTTCCCTCCTCCCCCGCCCAGGATCGCGGGGCGCACCTACGTGGAGATGCTGGAGGCGGTCACGCAGGACGATGTACGGCGCTTCGTACAGCGGTTGCTGTCGTCCAAGCCCTCCCTCGCGCTGTACGGCGACAACACGCAGTCCATCGACCCAACCATCCTCAACCAACGCTACGGTTAAACGAGTTGAGCGGCGGTAGAGAAGGCTGTAACGATGATGATGATGATGATGAGGATGAGGATGGTTACAAGCTTAAGGCTCGTAAGGCCCAGACGAGGAAGGCTTCAGCGAACGGACGGTTGTACGGCAGCAGTATGGACCGAGGAAGAGGAGGTGTCGAGATGTGCTGTGCGCTGGCAGGTGTGCCACGCAGCAGCAGCAGCAGGGGGGTGATGAAGTGCGCTTGGTGGTGTGGTGATGTTGTGGAGGGGGTGGAAGGGGGGTTGCGGCAGGGTGGGGTGCTGCCTGATAACCCTAACCCTGGGTGCGATGTTGCAAGGAGGGGGGGGGCGCGGCGCTTGGAGGCGCCATGGAGGCGTGCAGTAGGACAGGCTGTAGGGACACGACTTCCAGGGGGGAGTGAGGAGCGGGAGGGGAACCGGACCTACGACCTATGACCTGATATACTTGCAGCAAACATGCGACCAATGATGTACCGGTATGTGTTGACTTGTTCGGATGAGCCGACGATGCGGCGTGAGGCCGCGGCTGGTGGCGGTTGGTGGGTTGGGTGCTGCACGAGGTGGTGTCGGTTGCCGTACGGTAGGGTGCTAACGGTAAGGGAGCAGGCGGACGGGCAGGAGCAGGAGGAACGAAGGGCAGGGGCCCTGTTACGTTTACAAGATTCCCACACACGTGCGCCTTTGTCATTGGACTACCCGCCTCTACCCGCTTGATAGCGGCGTTCCTTAGGCAGCCCAGGTTACCGCGGGAGGCTGCGAAGAAGGGGAGAAGGAGCAAGAAGAGGAAAAAGAGGGAGGCATATGACTACGGGCATGGTAGCTGCGACGCACTACGATGTAACAACTCGCGGTTGGTGCGGCGAGTTGTCGGGGCTTAAGACGAGTAGTAAACATGGAATGTTGCGTCTTGGTGGGTCACGACTTGCATGGCTTCCGGCTTAAGACCGCAGCATAATAACAAAGTTCGCTGTGCAACAAAGCTGTTGGCTGTGACTGGGCGCAGCGGCATGAAGGTACCCTTAGTTGAAACCGTCCCGGAGGGTCGTTTGACAAAGCATGTGGTAGGTGCTCAATACCGATCTGCTTGCGGGAATCTGTAATTTGCATTTGAGGGCGTGTTTGATAACGACATTGGAGACGCTACATTTTGCCCTCCTAGGAAGCAAGCAATTGGGTTCACGACTGCTATCCGACCCTCCTATGCTGAGAATACTTTCAATCACACAGATAACTACTTTGGTAGTATAAGAGGAGACTTATCTACATCGGGAATAGGCTAAAATCCTGACGTATCGTTTCTCACCACCAACTCGGTCCATTGCTATACTTGTCGCCACGGCTCATACGCTTGGATTTTGATAAGCGCTGCGTAATTATGCTGGCCTCAGGCCAACCCCTCGCACAGCCGGCGGTTGCGCGCAGAAATAAACGCTGCACACGGCCGGCCAACCGATGCCAGCTGAAGCCTCTGGCGTCCGTGTACAATGTGCCGGTCAATCCCTATCGTGTTAAGCCCGGAGCTGCATCTCTTAGGTGAGGTTAACTGCCTAGAGTTCGAGGCGTTGAGGCGGCTGTGGGCAACATCTTATGGAGGAAAGCCAGCACCTAGCGCGCATAAAACAGTCGCAATGAAAACTCATGCTGCCACGTTGTGTCAATTTTGGTCTATCGCTTTGCAAACAGCAAATGTCGCTTCCTTGGCGTTGGAGTTGCCAGGACGTTTTATTGTTGCTTCTTACGGTGCCAGAGGTTGTAGATCGTATCGTTATGCTTGACAATCAAAGTTGCCTTTAGGTCTCGTGGCTGAAGCCCCAAACCCCAGAACCCATCCTGGGTAATGGTGGATCTTAACCAGGTCTAAGAGGCATTTTGCTTACTGTATGACTACATTTCCCCTTATGCCTGCACACTATAAGAAGCTTCCCTTGTTCCCTTCTCGCGCCCGCCTGTCCAAAAACATGGCCTTGATGCCCACCTCATCGACCCAGGTTTGCGCCTTCTGCCGCGGCTTCCAGCGTCTTTGGCCACCGGTGCCTAGCAGCAACCACCCGGGAGCAGCCTCGGCCCCACCCGCAGCAGCAGCGACCGGCTACGGCAGGCCGTGGCGCGGCTAGCTCTGGGCCATGGATCCATGTTGCAGCCTATCGCCGGGGCACAACCCTGGTGATGTGCGCGGCAATGGTGAGGGTGCAACCCTGGGGATAACCGGGAGTAACACGTACAGCATAACTCGGCACTGGCAGCAAGATGGTTGCTGCTTGTGATGATGGGGTGCAGCGGTACAGGAGGGAGGTTGGCCGGGGGTTGCTCTGGGGACATGGTTCAAGCCATGGCACCCTCTTAATGCTGCAGCGTGTTTGCTGCTTCCATCTGGGTCGCGCTACACATCTGGGTTGCAGCCCTTGTTGCGGTTGGGGGCGTCATCTGGGTCGCATGCTGCAAACCCACAGCAGCAGCAGCAGCCGCTATGGCTCCTCCTGGCTTCTGGAGGTCTGCCACTGCAGTCAGCAAGAGCTGCTGCCCCGGCCCCGGCCCCATCCGCACCCTCGCCCCTTCGCACCCTCCGTTACGCCTCCTGCCGCCCCTCCTGCCGTTCCTCGCCTACTCGCCGACCCCAAACCCTACCCCTAACCCAACCCCCCATCACCACCCAACCCCCAGGCCCCCACTGCCACGGACACCACCCCGGTTCGCTCGCTGCTGGCTCAGCCCATCAAGCAGGAGTCGCAACTGGTGGTGGGGAGGCTGGAGAACGGCATGCAGTGAGTGGAGGGTGGGGGAGGGGAGGAGGGGGGGGGAAACATGCATGGGTTGGATTGCAGCATTTGCATTAGGGAAGGAGGGAGGGGTGCCGCGATGTCCATAGCCTAAGGCCGGGGTCCAAGGTTGCTGAAAAGGCCTTTACATGCAATGCACATTGCCAGATGAGGGATGAGGAAGAGGTCTAAACTGGGGGTGCGGCGGCGTTGGGTCGATTGCGTGTGTGGGTAACGCTCGTCGGGGGCATGGGAGGTGGTCCGCTGGGCCATGCAGGTTGGTTGAATGAACCACCTCCCCCCTCTTCTCTCACCCCTGCTCAGGTACGTGCTGCTGCCCAACAAGCTGCCCCCGCAGCGATTCGAGGCGCACCTGGAGGTGCATGCGGGCTCGGTGGACGAGCGGGAGGACGAGCAGGTGGGGTGGGGGCGCGGGGTTGGAGGGCTGGGTGGGCGGGGAGACTAGGGAAAACTAGGTGCACCAATGTAGCAACCCATGGTGAAGCCTCGTCATATAGCTCGTCAGTTTCCTCTTTTTACCCATCCACCATTGGGTCCTCTTCTCCCCCACACATTGGAGTTTCTTTTTCCCCTCCCGCTCCCTCCCCCACGCTCTCCCCCCTCCCCCCCCGCCCGCCCCCCCCCAGGGTGTAGCCCACCTTGTGGAGCACGTCACCTTCCTGGGCTCCAAGAAGCGGGAGGACCTGCTGGGTACGGGCGCACGTGCCAACGCCTACACCGACTTCCACCACACCGTCTTCCACGTGCATGCGCCCGCGAGGAACAGCATCACGGGGCAGCCCATGCTGCCGCAGGTGGGGGTGGGGGGGTGGGGTGGGGGTAAGCTAACGGAAAACGACGAGGCAACTAACGAGCTGTGTGACAAGGCTTCACCATGGGGTGCAAACCTGGTGGCCGGTCCATGGTGGTCGTGCGGAGGCTGGGCGGAGCTGTTGCTCGCGTGCGGCAGCTCCCGAACCCCCTTGCTCCTCAGCAACGTAGCCCTCTCCACCCCACCGCAACGCACCTCCTCCCTCCCTCCCCTTAACCTCCCTCTTCACCCCCCACACCCTCTCCCCTCACCCCTCCCCTCTCACCCCCCCCCTCACGCCAGGTGCTTGAGGCGCTGGAGGAGATTGCCTTCGGCCCGCAGTTCTCCGCCTCCCGCATCGAGAAGGAGCGCAAGGCGGTGCTGGCGGAGGCGCAGATGATGAACACCATTGAGTACCGGGTGGACTGCCAGCTGCTGACCTACCTGCACGAGGAGAACGCACTGGGATGCAGGTGGGGGGGGGCGGGGTGGGAGAGAGGGAGGGAGGGAGGGAGGGAGGGAGGGAGGGCTAGGTGACGGTTGGTATGACAGATGTGCAGCTGAACACAGACAGACACGCTATACAAAACCACATGGCCTCTCATTCTATCCCTCACCTCCCCTCCTCGGGATATGGGTTTGGGACTCCAGTTGCTGCACTTTATCTATTATCTTTACCCCTTCTCCTCCCCTCACCTCCCCCTCACCTCAGGTTCCCCATCGGCCTGACGGATCAGGTCAAGTCCTGGCCGCACGACACGCTGCGCTCCTTCTGGCAGCGCTGGTACTTCCCCGCCAACGTGACGCTCTACCTGGTAGGGGACCTGGGCGGCAGGTCGGCGCAGGACACGGTGCGGCTGATCGAGCGCACGTTTGGACGGGTGCCGCCGGCCAGGGAGGCAGTGCTGCCGCCGGCGGAGGGGCTATCGCTGGCAGCTGCAGCAGCAGCAGCTGCTGGTAGCACTACCAACGGGAGCAGCAGCAACGGCAGCAGCAACGGCAGCAGCAATGGCAGCAGCAACGGCAAGGCGGCGGGGGCAGCAGGACCAGCAGCAGCGGAGCAATTGGGTCCGCTGAAGCAGCGTCACGCGGTGAGGCCGCCGGTGGTGCACAAGTGGGGCTACGGGCCGATGGCGGCGGGTGAGGCGCCCGCGGGCGTCAAGATCTTCCGTCACCCGCTGCTGCAGCACTTCATGCTGAGCGTGTTTTGCAAGCTGCCCATCCAGCCCATGAGCCACATGGGGCACCTGCGGCAGCTGCTGATGATGCGGATCATACTGTCGGTGTTCCAGTTCAGGATCAACGGGAGGTAGGCGGGCGGGAAGGGGAGGGAGGTACCGGTTAGGGGGAAACGAATAACGAATCGTGTGATAGGACGTCATCATGGTTTTGGGGGGGGGATTGCGTGATGGGGAGGCGGGAGGTGGGGAAGGAGATAAGGAGCTATAACGCAATATGACATCTGGCCTCCACCATGGGTTATTGCATGTTCATGGGTGGGCCTCCACTCCCACGCCCACCCCCTCCTCCACTCCCACGCCCCTTCCCTCCTCAACTGAGTACTCCTCCTCCCCCTCCCTCCTCCCTCCTCCTTCCCCCCCCCCCCCAGGTACGTCACCGGCCAGCCGCCCTTCCTGTCCATTTCCCTCGACATCAGCGACA